GGAAAGCTGCGCCTCATATAGGGATAGCTGTGGGTAGCACACAGAGTGATACTACAAGTTCATGCTGTGAACTTCCTAGTGAAAGGTGCCATATCGCACCATGAGAGGCATGAGTCTCTACACTGCACTTCGTGATGTATATGCGCGCATGCTTTCCCACGCTTGAGTGCCCTATAGCACCAGCCATCCAGAAGCATCCATCCACTGTCCACCAGGCCCTCTAGTGTGTATATTTCCATTTCTCTTATTAGCATATTGTTCCACCTTTATTTTTATCATGGACTCTCACTCATATATATCTTTACATATCTTACTCAGTAGCACTTCGGCTCCGCATGACAGCGCTTAGGCGTGCTATATAAGCGCCAGCAGTACATACTATTACTTTACTTCACTTTGGCACTCACTTACTAGTTACTACCCACTTACTACTTAGTAGAACATAGTAGAAATCTATTTGTCTACACTTCACATCTCTCTTCTCTTGTCTTACATCATATCATCACTTAAGCAAGCTTATTCTTACTCTTTCTCATTTCTGCATACACGCACGCACTTTCCCACGCCTTTGTGCCTTGCGCGCACCTGCGCACTTTCTCGCGCTTTGCATTGGCCAACCAGTAGCGCCTTCAGCGCATATCACTAGATCCTTCTGCACTCGCTTCCCCTTTAGGGTTGAACGCACTTGTCGTCTCAAGTATAGCAGACTAGGCAATGTGCGACCTTACAACATTTACAGATACAGTCAGGAGCCTCATTCGCACCTTGCTGTATCGTTGTTTCTACCCTGCTTCACCTTGTCCGCCATCATCTGTGTCTCACTGCAATTCAATGCCAAGCTCATTGCCCAATCACGCTGAATCATGATGGCATCTCTATCTCAATGCATATGCAGAACTTGAACACTTCATCCAGTTGGTCATACCATCGTCACGCATCATCATCATCATCACCACCACCACCACACCTACCTGCTCTCCACTATACCGCATGCGGACTTGTTCAAGAGGGTGTAATTGCTGGAGCTTGTGTACTCACAATTCTGGGGGTGTTCATTGCCTATATGCACATGAAGTACCACTAGGGGACCATAGCAAGACCATTGTATCGCATATAGATGAACTGGCAATCATGCATAGTAGAGTCCCATTGGAGAAGTTGCTTAGGTGTTGTTCACTTTCTCACTGTTTTGTAGTTTATTCATGTGCTTATACTGTCTTCCTCATGATGTCTCGGTTGAAGGGGTGTGTTAGAGTTTGGTATTTCACCCTTCGTCATTGTTCATTGTTTGGATAGTGCCGACTTCATATATATACCTACATCGTAGACTGTCCTCTTCCCACCATGTTGTAGACACTTCTTACAGTGTTGTTCTCCAGCTTCTATAACTAACACTATGCCAGGGAGTGATACTGAATTATGTTGAATTATTATGCCTATTCAAGATGCTGCCTGACTACTGAGTGTATCTAGCTTTAGATAGGCAGCTTTCAATATTGGAAGCTACCATTGATGAAAAAGTGTTAGGGCTTGGTATTAAGTTATCATTGCCCTATCAAGTTGCTCATTCTCTACTGAGGATGTCTAACTTTAAATAGGTAGATTCTAACTGTGGGCGGCAAGATGTCAATCTATTTGAAGTCAGGATGTGGCGGAGGTCCGAGCCCCTACTATAAGATGTGGCACCCGAAGGCTTGCACACCTGGCTTAATTGCATGTAGTATAACTTTGGTATGTTTCTGATATTACAGTATTGACCATTGGTAACTGAACAGCATCCCCCAATAGATGATCTTTTTGCTGTCTCCTGATCAACAATTCCCAGGTTCAGGTGTCAGTGCCACCTCGTCAATCTCTTACTCTGCTGTCTTTTGAACTGTCAAGCAGTTTTTTGTCGCCCAATGGGTGCATCCACATGTTCAAGCCATCATGAAAAACATGAATGACTATGTTTTTTAAAACATCAATAAGACTGCTCATGATGCAGACGATGCTCAGGCTACGGGTATGGAGGATTGTACTGATTTGCTACAGTGGGTGATGGCTAGCTTGGATGATGATGACTCAGATTCAGATGACGATAATGCAGCACAGGCAGCACCACCAGCCAGCATTGGCCCATATGGCATCTATGATAGTGCACTGGCACTGCCCACTGCACCAGCCCTGCCCACTGCACCTCCTGCACCCAGCATTACTGTTACACCCAGTGTCACCATGTCTGCCACTCATATCCCCACATCTGTCACGAGTTCCAAATACAAATCATTATTCATTCCTAAATTCTAAGTCCTTTAAGCGCCCAGTCACAGCGCCTGTTTCTAAGAATGTATTTACTGTTGAAGAAGTTCCTATTATTGTGTCTATTGTAGAATTACCAGAGTCACGTGATCTATCGGACAATGCCGAAGATGTTGACGTCATGCCTCGCGACACTCTTGGAATGTTCCAGAGTCTTACTGCGGCTGCGGCACATGTTATGACATCATAGTTATATATAGAATCGTACGATACCTTTAATTATTCTGATTGGTTAGTTAGTTCATACTCAGTTTCAATCTCAGTTTCAATATGTGTATATAGGTAGCTCGTCGTAGTCAGTAGTTCTTTAGTTCAAACCTCTTGTATCTCCAAGTGAGCAATACCAAGATGTACCTGCTGCCTACTTCCTCTGCGTGATTATTCTTTGTTTGAGTCCTAGTCTCTGCCCAGCGTTAATTCGTTATTGGGTTGTGACAACATCCCAGTCCATACCTGCTGCCATTTGGAGCAACAACAGTAGTCATCCTGGACCGATATTGCCTGCACCTCAGACTGCACCTGCTACTGCACCCGCTCCCCGATCCCGCCCTGCTGCTATTCAAGTAGTAGTAGCATCTGTGGAAGATGTGTCTGGTGAGTGTGAAGATACGAAGGTCACAGTGCAGAAAAAGGGGAGGAGAAAAGGCAAGGCAGTTGTGGCTAGCACAGACATGACCCCTCACCTCTCTTCCCGCAATGGTTTTGCATAATACTGACTTGGATATCAGAATTCTGGGTGTCATGAATTGTTAGTGCAGTCATACTATGTACTTACAGCTAGTAGTCCTTTCATCCATTGACAACATGCTTCTTTGCTTGAAAACTGTCTGCCACTAGTCACTGTTTCATTCGATGAGCTCCCACGTTCACCCTCACCCAAGGATTTCATTGATATTGTCCCACCCGCACCTGCCTATGCTCACAATGCAGCTGTATAATAATTATAATGTTATAATAATAAATATTAATCAATTAAAATAAGTTGCCACATCATCGGAATCTGAATTTACATGTCAATCTCTGACCACATTAATCACAGCAAGTCTGAATCATCACAGCCTCAATATCTCCTTCCTTAAATTGTTTCATGTTGTCTCTGAATCACCCTTGCACTCTCTCATGCTCCCCTGATATGGCAAGACCCCTGGACCAGGAGGCCTTCAATGGTCCACCTAACATTCAAGGTCCAGAAATTCTAGCATGTGGAGCGACTACATCAAGTCCTTTGCTCCTAGCAACTCTCCAGGCTTGGTATGTTCCATCCCCCCCCCCAGCAATCTGAATCACACTCACCATTCAGCCTTAGACTGCCTGACTGCTATCAATGTTTTACAACTAATTATTTGCCAGTTCTCTTGATGATTCAGACCATTGTTCCCCCACCTTTCTACACGCCGCCCACCCCATGACGAATGATAAAGTACAGGTGTGTCCTGCCTTTGTCTCAGAACCTATGGAAGCTGATGTTACTATCAGTCCAATCAGGATACCTACCTCCCTGCCTTCTTCAACATCAGGTACAGGGCTTTTGCCTGAAGCAGCTCAAAGCCTGCCATCCAATTTTGAATATTTCCCCTCAATCAGCTCCAGCATTTCCTTGTCGACCAGCAGCCTAGAGCACAACTGCATGGAGCACACCCTTACAATCACCGCCTTCATTGCATGGATCTTCATCCCCACATGATGACACACATATCTTGCGCACATCTAGTGCCTCACTTTCTTTTGGATGCATGGATATTTAGTCCAAGGAAGAGCTTCGGGGCCCACTTGATTTAGATGAAATGGACAATATGAAGTTTGCAATTGAGTTGAGTCTTGCAGAAGCATATAGTCAAGGCGAGGTTTGAAAGTGCGAGTCGCCAAACCATTATTGCTACTGCAGATTCAGAGTAGAATATATGCCTGACAGTGTGATTTATTAGCTGAAACAATCTCAAATAAGATGCTCATTGCAATGCCTAACATGAACATCATAACACCACAAAATGGTTACAATACTCATTTTAAATCAAATTGTGATTGCCATTGGAATCAGTGTCATAAGGCCATCTTATGATTAAAATCGCAGTTTCAAACTCAATTGTGACCGGAATGGGAATGTGCGTCGTAATGCACTTATCAAAATGCTGATCAGAATCAGGCCAGACCATTAAGGCATTTTAATCAATCAAAATGCAGTAATAAAAGTTCTGACAAATTTGAATTCTCACTCGTGCATGTGGAGCATTGCATTCAGTAGTAGGCCTTGGACAGCCTTTCGATTCATTTTTGCTATCGTGCGACAGAGAATTCAAAGGATGATGTCATATCATGATATCATGGCAACACAGTTGGCTTTCATTAGCTACACATACAATGGACACCAGGACACTAGAAATACTATAAAAATTAAACTGGAGGTGAATTGTCGAGTGAACGAGGTGCTGAATCAGAAATTACGTCCAGAATAGCAAATTTCAAGAACTCAAGTATGTAGCTCTGTCTAAAAATTATTCTCCAGTTCAAGGAGTACCTTGAGATCGACACTGACACGAGGAGGACTCCACAGATATATCACACCATTTGAGCCTGGCAACTTGCATCTCACATCATTGACCATCGAGAGCTGGAAGCAAAAATTCCAACAACACAAACAACACTTCTTGTTCAATGCAATGGCACCATTGATGGTTGCCTAGAAATCCCAAGCTCAAGAGTCAGATCATGCGACTCGAAAATGTAGAGCAAAGACTTGCCAGTTCGAGCAAGTTACGCAGAGCCATGACATGTTCATCAGGAAGAGGGATGTTGTGAGCAGCATGGCAGCGGTTAGAAGCCAAGAAATATGAGACAAGGCTCATCAATGTAGCCTCTGCATGGATGGTGCCGTGGAAGGCTTGTGGAAGATAGGTTTTCATAAAAGATTTGACCACAGCTTTGTGAGCCTCTGAGTCCGATTCATACCTCTTGAAGTATTCTTCGTAGATATCATCCAAGGTGGCAATTTCAAAGCCACAATGTGGAACATCAAGCAAACCAAGGGTAAGTTTGCCATGAGTAAACTGGGAATTTTTGGGCGAACAAAGTGTTCCTATGGCAGTATGCCATGCAGCGATGGCCTTCAAGTGCCATAAGACACGCTGTCCAACAGATTCACTAGGTTGTGGTGATAAATCATCAGACTTGTTCCAATCATACACATCTATGTTCAAATAATTGGTTTGGCGGCAACATGAATGAGAAACCACTTGCTCTGACTACCTGAAGGATATATGATAAATAATATCAGATTACGATGTAGATATTGAAAAAACAATGCACCTTCCAAATTGGGAGGCAGCTTGCCAAATGTCGAGGCCAGTGTAGTCTTTGTCAAGAGGGTCTTTACAATGTCGGCCTTCCAATAGATATATCAAAACAACATCAGACATTGGTCTGAGACTCTGGCAACTGCATCCTTGAATACAAGCATGTTCTCCTTCTCCTTCATCCTCTGGGCTTCTGCAGCTTCAGATTCGAGTAGCATGATGAGGCGGCCAAGCAGCCAAGCCCAAAATTGTACAGTCTTGCTTGAGAATTCCAGCTGCATGACCTGCTTGTCTGTCGGACCTTGCTTATGCGTCCTGAGGCCTTTCTGAGTGAAGCTGTCAGGTGGTATGGAAATCAGGCCAAACCATGTGGGTGCATCAAACCAGTGAGTGTCTGAGAGTTCATTGGCCTCCGGCATCCAATCACATAACTTTTGGGCCACATGGACGTCCCATGGCTTCTGGTCCAAAAAAATTTGCGTGAACAGGTTATGAAAACAACAACTGACAATGAATCTACATAACACAAAGAGGTTGGCTGAGTCTTGGTCATCCTCGAAGGATACCAAGGCCGTCCAAACATCTGAGACATGTTCTTTGAGGGATACATCACCATTTCTAAGAACCATAAGCGGCCTGTAGAGAATATGGACAACATTGAAGTTCACACCTATTGTTGACAACTTCTTGAAACAATTTGTGAGATTTAGTCACTTCTTCTAACTTTAACTTGGACAAGGGAGAAGAGGAGTAGAGATTTTGGGTGACTATTAATGCCTGGAGCTTCATGTTCACCCCATCATGAAAAATGGCACCTGTCACTGAAATAGCTTTCTTTTCTTTAGAGCTGGAAATGTCATCGTGGGTGATAATATTGGCAAAGTGGCGTAAGAGGGAAGGGACATGTTTAGGATCCACCGATGGCAGACTATGACGGCCCATGTTTCGTAGCATGGTTGTAACAGCTCGAATGCGCTTTTTGACAGTGGCAAAATCCACCTGTGGGTGAGGATCCATGATTAAGGAAAGTGATAGCTATTCCTTGCTACTGCTAAGTTACAGATACGGTCTGACAAATGATACAGGGCCGGTTTGCTGTTCTCGTGTTTGTCAGCATCACCTCCTGAGTCGATTGTTTGTGCTTGCTGCTGTCACAAATGTGCATCACTTCTAGCACGAGACAGATCTTTGGTATCTTGTATTAGTAGCAGTTGTTTCAAGGGTTTGACTTTAGCGAATGGAAATGCACTAGCAAAGCTCATCTCTCATCGTCCCTCTTGAAACCCTGGAAATACTTCTCTCTGAAATCTTTATGCACCAGAATGTGTGTGTCCCTGCTCTCCTCTACTTCCCTTATGTAATCAAAAGACAGAGGTAGGTACTCAGCATGCGCAGTCTTCTTTATTGTGATCAACTATTCAAGCATATCAATACCACAGGCATTCTGAATATAATGCCTATAACTTACCCTCTGCCCCCAGCTTTCAAAATCCTGCAAACTGTTTGCTATAAGTTCCATCCCCTTGCACAATACCATATTGATATCAGTGGGGAGTATTCAGCGCTTACCATAGGCAGGAAGAACACGAGATGTCCACCTGGGTGGAGGAGATACTGTGCAAGGAGAACAATATTTGTGACGAGTTGAGAAAGCTCATAGGGCTTCATTGGGGGTATGTAAGGTTCGTTTCTATATCAAAATGTTCTGGTAAACCAGAGGAATTTGGGGGTCAAGAACTTACAGTCATGGAATGGCTGATTGGAACTGATCTTCACAGATTTTTTTTGCACCCGAGGCATTTTGCTCCTGCACGAACACCATCTGCAATAATCCCTTGTGAGCGGAACTGATATCATCGATCAAAGAGGTGCATACATGGTGGGTCAGTTATGATGGCGTGAAAGAAGCTGCCACAATGCCACAGGTGGTTTGTGACATCGAATGTGCAAAGATCCATGATGCAGGAGGCTACGCTGTATTGTGAAGCAGCCCGAATGATGCCTGGAGTTTTATCTGTGAGACAGTGTTAGTGCACAGGAATACTTGCAACGCTAATTACATGCCCTTTCCACGCATCTGTCTCCGGTTGATGTCTGAACCATAGACAAAAGCACCGAAGTAAGCTGTAGTCTGATGAAATTATCAGGCTGAGATGGGTGAAGCACAGTTGACCAACATATGCCATGCTACCAGTGCCAATGAATGGGTCATAGATCAATTTTCCAGGGGATGCCTAGTGGTCGTGTAAATTCGATCACAAGCAAGCGCAGGACAAACACACTAGTGTCTGATTCGCCATCAAGAGGGAAATCTCTGCCTCCATGCTGGTGTTTCCAAAGTACTGGCATTTCTTAATGTCGAAGGTTCCCATCAGTGAGCATGCAGTTCCATGTACGACCTAAAGATGAGTGACAATTCAGCTAACAAACAGGTAGAAGGTGTGCAAAACGCACCAACCTGCCGAAGTAGACTTGGGTGAATTCCCCATCCTTGTGCAGTTCACCATCAGGTGCTTGGCCACTCTCATCTGGTGATTATGAGTTTAGAGTGCACGACAACACTACGAAGGTGTGGGGAAGTTGGAACATACACTCCTCAAAAACTGTGAGAGTAACTTCTGGGTTCTTCATCTCAATCTTACCCAAAAAATCCATGTACAGTACACTATCTCATAATGCATAATGTCAGGACCACTCAATTGTTATGCATTATGAGATTTATGCATTAGGACATATATCATGCTTCATGACTGTTTGTGATGTTGCATGACTCCACACAAACTGTGACACAGTTACAGCGCATCTACCTAACAAAAATAAGAATCTAATGTAGTTTGTGTTCCATGAAGCAGCTCATTGTGTCGTAAGTAAGCCCTAAAAAGACAGATTTGCTTTACAAACTCAAGTGGAAGTGTTTCAGAGTCACCATTTCTGAACTGAAGACAGGCTTCTTCAAGTTGCTGACACAGTAAGAGTGTTTCTGTGCGAGAAACTACTGGTTCAGCACTCGCCTCATCATCGGAATCCACCTCAATAACCTCGCCCAAGTTCTCTGCCATCTCCCGCTTCACTGTAGCAACAATGGACCCATCCCCACCTTCAAACCCAAGGGAATCTCCAACCTCTCATTCCTCAGCTGGCTCAAGAAACTCATCCAAAGACAATGTCTCATCAAAAATGTGATTACAGACCTTCAAATTTTCAACAGAGGCAGTGACTTCATCCTCGAGGGCTGTGAGTTGAGCTGGAGGGGGCTGGCACACGGGAATTTGTATTTTTAGACCAGTCCGTCGAGAAGCAGCTTGTGCAAGCTGTTCAACTGCACTTGCGGCAGTACTGGAATCCCCTTAGTGCCTCCGAAGTCCGGTTCGGTCAGGTTCATGGCCCTATGTCTGCGAACCCTGAACTTGACCATTGGTCAGGTTCAGGCATGGTGGCCGAACCTTGGACCGGACGCCTTTGAACGCGTTCGGAAGGGTTCAGTTCAGGTTCAGAACACATTCAAACTCTCAAACCGTTGTTTAAATTGCAAAAAAAATTAAAATTGACAAAAAATGAGAACAAAACCTGCTAGTACGAATAACTACTAAAACTCTTCCTCGACGACAACGCAGTTATCGTAAGGAGCAGCAAACTCAGCCTGGGATGTTGCAGAAATGTGGCCTTGACGGTATGCACTCTTGAGCAACTGGAGAGCCTCGAATGTTGCTGGCTGCAAACAGCTGCGACGTGCGGTCCCAGTAATGCCGCCGCTTGAAAATGCACGCTCGGACGCAACTGCGGATCCCTGGATGGCAAGGTAATCCTTCGCGATGCGGGAGATGGTCAGGTACTGGATAGAATGGTGCTTGAAAAGTTTTTTGATGATATTAGTATGCAAACAACATAAATTAAACAATAAGACGTACCCCCCACCAGCCCACTACGTTGTTGACATCCTCAAGGGGTGCATCTAGGTAGTCCTCAAGTTCTTGACGAGGCCTTCGTGTAGTTGTGTCGTTCATGACACGCGATTTGACAGAGCTGCGCATCCAACTATGGCCATATGATCCTTGGCAAGTGAGCGAAGATGGGACGGTGACAGATGGCTCTGCAGGAGCCTGTGAGACAGTACTGCAATGATGATATATATCAAACTATGTAAGATTAGTATACAATTGAGGTGTGGGAAAGGGTGACCAGGCAAAGACGTCCACGAGTCAAACGTCATAGAGATTTTGCTATCGATGTGCTTGAGCTTCTCTTTCACGCGCTCGACTACCATATTTGCACGTTTGAGTATTTCGTCCCGAGTTTTGGTATGGTGGGGAATGTCTCGGTCTGAAAGTGACGGCCGGACATACTGGAGAAGGCGACGGAAGGGGCCCTTATCTACAAGTTGAAAGGCCTACATGTATAAGTATCTTAGAATTATATCAAAAAAGGAAGTCGCGCACCTCATCCTCGGCAACAATGAGTTCGATGATGTAATCCATAAGTCTGGACTTCGTGAATGCTGGAATTTTGGGAGGAAGAGAGGCGTCCAAGGTTGCCTGACTCATTGTCTTGAGGTCAGTCTTGAGGTCATGAGGTATTGCATGATTGTGCATTACAAGACCGCGTTCTTTGCAGCGGTCCCGATAAACTGGGAAATGGCACTTGGGATTGCGTGCGATGTGCGTTCGTCGAGTTGAGATACCACCCTTGAAAAAGCACTGGTGTAGTGCGACATTGTTGGCCTTACATACCTCACACCACCACCCATTTTCATGCTCCTGAGTGTGGGGGTTGACACAACCTTTCTCAAAGGTAAAGACCGTAGTCAAGTCAGCGCTGCGTTCGTCCTTCTTGAGAGATTTCCGGTCTTCACGATCCTGGTCGCCAAGGTTTTTCGTTCTCTGGTAAGCCTCCTCATTCTCGTTCTCTTCTTCATCGTCCGTGAAATCCTCGAGTGGTGGGGCTTCTTCTTCGGCATCCTTGTCCTCATCAGTACCAGTAAATGCTCGCTTGGGTGCAGGGGCACCTCGAGGAGGTCCTGGAGCTGACCGTTTGGCTGAATTGCTGCTGGCAGTCTCACAGACCTTCTCCGTAGGTTTGACAGCACGACCCGAATGACGTATGAAAGAGCTGAGAGTGCCATTGTGCGCAGGAGGGGGAGGGGGAGGAAGCATCGGAGTGTCATCATCGGCATCATTGTACCAATCAATCTCGCTAGCATCTTTCAGCGAACCATCAACACGACGTGCGGAGGACATGGTGGCAGCAGTAGCGGTAGCAGGGAGTGAAAATGGCCAACTTATACAACAAGTAAGTATATTGTAACTAAATTCAAAATGATTGCGCACCATAAAGCCCTGATACACGAACATTCCGCACCAGAAAACGCCGGAGTGTGAACAAATGCCAGAACAGCAGTGTGGTGAATCAAAAGTGCGGACAGTATGTCCTGAAATAAATGGCATTAGAAGTTAGCAACGACAAACAGTGAACGTGTTGTGAACGTACCGGCACCTTGATAAGTCGCATTGCTGAAGAGACCAAGAGAAGAACACGGATGAGGGCAATGTAGTTACTGCAAGTAGGCTAGAAGGGGGGGAAGACAGTAAAGTGACGGGCAAGCACAATGCTTAAACAGAAAACCTTACCAAAAACATGAGGCTTCGTTGCCGGTTTGAGAATCTAAGTTGGATAAAAATACATCAGGTTCAAACCGGTCCGGACGCGTCTGGACCGGTTCACGTGCTCCAGGAAAATACCGGACCTCGGACCTATTAGGGGGTTCGGTCCAGCAGAAATACCGGACCTGTGACTGAACCAATGGTCCAGTCCGCAAAGGTTCGAGTTCGAACCTAGGTTCGGGACCGGACTTCGGAGGCACTAAATCCCCTCCTGCATCCATCACAGCCTTGAAGGCAGGCTGCCAGTTGGCATCAACATAATGAGTGCCGAGGATCTCTTTCATGTGCACCTCTGCTTCCAGCAATGTCATTTCTGTTGTTGTGAAATCTCGAATAACACGCCAAGCGGCTGGGTCTGCGTGCAGCAAAGAACTTGGAGGTAGAGTTTTACATTGTACCTAGTCACTAGAACACTAAAAATTACGGTACCCGATTGAAGACCCATCCAGCCAAAAGTACTATCTCATAATGCATAATGGTCACCCAGGTCTATGCATTATGTGGTCAATTAATTGGGAACCACGTTGGGACTCTAGAAAGTTGATGCATTATGAGATAGTGTACTGTATGCGAAGCTTTCGATGATCTGACGCTGACGACATTGGCTGATGGTAGAATTGTATCCTGGGACAAAAAATTTGAATGATGTGTCTGGGATGAATTGTTCCCATTGCGGGCGAGCTCGACTGTTTTTTTCATGCAGCATCTCGTAAGATGCGCCTTCGGCATAGAACTCATGAACAGACTTGATTAAATATCTTTTGAGCAGACAGTTAGTGAATATTATAAAGACACACTTTATCAGGGTGCATCTCTGAGCCAAAATATGTGCATGCTCTTCCTTGTCTAGCATCAGAATCATGAATGGTCATTTGATGGCATTGTCGAGGACGTTGGCGTAGCGATCAAAGCCTATCGTAAAGCCATGGAGCTCAGATATCGAGAGGAGCTCTGGCACACGGAATTCCTCGTGTGATTGAGCGAATACGAAGAGGTACTCCATTATTTGATAATCTGTCGGGAAGGCGTCATTTCCAAAACAAGTTTATCTTTGAGGTGTTGTTTGGCAAGAGCTTTTGATCCAAACATCATGCAGAGAACATAAGCGGCAGGTACACTTAAGGGTGATTCTGACAATGTTTCATATGCCGTGATGATTAGTCCGTATTACCACCCATTGACGCCAACACGTATTCCAGCTTCGTCTATCAGACGGCATCAAGGTCATTCCAACAGTGGTTGGGCTGGGGCCGAGCGTTAGCTCGGTTTGGACGCTGACGAGATTGCCGCTGGGTGGGCGGGAAACAAACTAAACAGGCGGACTGTCAGATGACCATTATATGCGTTAAGGTAGGCGGCTAGATACGATAATAAGTATGTATGTACGGGTATTCGAGATATAATCTAATGTGACATGAAAGGATTATATTGCGACGATAATGGGAGTGGAGGGTGGGCGAAAAGATGAGAAACGAGCGAGTTGGACGTGCGGAACAGAGAAGAAAAACGATGAAAAGAGGAGCCGAACACTCTCGCTCAGCTGGACGTGTGGTGCCGATTCTGACTTCCGGGCACTCTGGAACCGGCACCTTTCACATGGCCCTATAACCAAGTCATAGGCGCGGGCATCAGAGGACTGGTGAGCCGCAGATATTGTCGTATATGCCGATATATGATCATATATAGAAAAGGTTTTCGTTATATAAAACGTCGGAAAACCACCGCAATCAAGCACCCTGGGGAGACTCATGAGTTCTCTGATGTATGAACCTGCTTTCTAAGTCTTTTTCGGGGATAAATCGTAACGAAAGCATCGTTTACAAGGCTCCACTCTTGCGTCCCCCAACCACCCAGAGCAGAAATTGCTCGTGAATCATCCCATCCAAACCACGCAACATGAGGAAATCGGCTGTGAGCAAAGCTGGACACACGTTGGCTTGCCGCGACTGAAACCAGGGACAATCCAACCCAGAGTTCACGAAGCGTACTAGATGACGGTCCTTCGTTCTGATGATCCAAGTGTGCGCTAGTGGCAGCAGTATGAGACAATACACCCTGGGTGTTGGTGCGTCTTTCTTGATTTTCGTATAACGTTCCCAGATCTTCCGCCTCTACTCCCTCTCTACTGAAATCCATTTTCGGATCATCATCAAACCAGTCTTGGGCGTTGAACCACATTCCTAGTGAAGAGAGTTTCTCACACCGGCTGGCTAGGAGCGCAACTTCGGCCAGAGTAAGTCCCTCTGATTCCCATGTTTCGCCGTCGTCGTCGACACGTTTGTCCGTCTATGTGCCACTTCTCAACCACTGCAACCCTAGTTCCTCGATATCCTTCCAGGCCTGAGGAATAGTCTCCAGGTCATCTCTGCAAAGCGCCGGCAGCCGTCCGCCAATGGCACGATCTGCAGCCACCGTATCCGTGACATCGATCTTGAAGCTACGCAAGTCATGGAGTGCGAATAAAGGAGATATCATAGAGACTGGAGCCCCTTGGCTGAGGTACCGACTTGAATGGGTTTGAAAAAAAATATTCTGCTATGAACTTGAAGTTTTTGAGATTGATGAACTTCAGCCGATCTTCGTCGGTCCGGTTGGGAGACAATAACTCCGCAATTGAGTAGAGGGCAAAGACTGACACGGGTCTATCCACCCACAGCGTAAGGTCCTCTATTGAATGGGAGCCAATCATTTCCAAAATCGCAGTGGTATGCTTCAGAGTTGCCGCGCGCAGCCTAAGCTTCTTGAGGGTGCTCAGAGAATGTGATACAGGACAGGGCAGAGCAGATTGAAGGATGTATGTCGAACGAGGAATGCGAGTTGACGTATTGCTCCCAGAGGATGGTATCGGCTGTCTCAGATTCGAAGTGTGTTTGTCCATACGATATGCTTGGCATAGCGACAGTCTACAAGAATTGCATCAGAAAAAAAGACGAGAAGCACATGCAGTCAACGTACTAATTGAATAGGCATTCCGCGGTATCCTGTGTCCCGTGTTTTATCACTGTCTTCCGGCTTTGGGCGTACGATCGATGGCCATTGGGCCGCAACACGCGCAGCACCACTTTTCGACATCCCGCACTAATGTCGCACTAATCCCAGGATTCGTACATAGCTGCATCACGAACTCAAGCGCCAGTCGATCATCGGGACCACCGAAAAAGGGTAAAAATATGTGGCGTGCACTCCCGGGACCGGTACCAGAGAGAGAAGTGCCTGGATCGATGAACAGGGCAACATCCGTATTGCTCTCTGCCAATATTTTACGCACGAACTGCGAGTGCATCGTGGCTGCCGAATTTCCCGTACCTATAGGTTCGATCTTCGTGCTGTGTGTGGACTAAATGGGTCCTGTCTGTGAATAGACGATGGCGGGAACCATTGCAAGAGGATGAGCTCGGATCCATGTTGCATCGCATGATTGGAGACAGTTTTTGACATGTCCTCATACGGGACAAAATAAAGCGAACGCGAAACGCGTATGTTATTGAGCTCTCCAAAGGTGCGGAAGGCGTCCAGAACCGGATCAGCACGGATGAGGGTACGCACTGCTGAAGACATCCTGATTTCCGAATTCCAGTCTGGCATCTCAATCAAACGGAGAGCGTTCACGCATGTCTGAGTTCCTCGAGGATTTGGCAGTGCCAGTTGGGTGGCCGCCAGCATTCCCGACATGTGGTCGAATTTGTCGATGACAACAGTGAAGCGGGAGCGCCATGGTCTATCCTCAGTCACGGGAGACTGGGGGTCATCTATATCTTCGTCCCTGTCTCCGATTGACCAACGTGGAACCTCTCCAGCTAGCGCATGAACCCGGTGTTCAGGACGATGAAAAACGAGAATCAAGGGTGTGATTATGAAAGTCAGGACTAGGGCTTCGAGGACGAACATCGAGAACACTCTTTGGGTGAGAATGCCAGTAGAAAGCCCAATGTTGAGAATGATTAATTCCACGGGACTGAGAGACTGTCAGGACCACACAATCTAGATGAAATCAGAAAACTGACCCTTTGCAACACATCAACGATCCAATCGTGCTTGACTCTCGCCAATTCATTCCGGAAATCCGACTGGTGATCGTACAGTGTTAAGCAATCCAAGATCGGTATTCAACCCGGAGAGCGTGAAGTACTGTTAAGTAATGAGCCATATCGATCGCAGCAGATCCAGCGCCCATACCAGAGGTAAAAACACGATCGTCACCACATCTTCAAGTTTTTTCATCAGCGAGACGGCAAGGGCTCCTTCGCGGGGGACAATGACACCCGCCAGGAACGCACCTGAACATGAGGTCTGCATTGCTTTATCACAGCAGTGCACATCACTCACCGAAAAACGCACTGATCCCCACGATATCCGTGAAAAACGCACATGCCCAAAGCACTATCAAGATAACCATCATGAAGAATATCGTAGGGCCGTTCTCCAAACTTTCTGTGAACCTAGCGAACTGGAGCAGCGCGATTCTAATGGGCCACATGAGAAATGCTGTGAATGCCACGAATGCCAGTAAGATCCACAGAGCTGTAAGCCCGGTGGTCCCATTGACAAGAGCTACGGCCAGTGCCAACAGACTCCAACAGAATACGTCGTTGCACATGCTAGCCGTCAGAGCAACGACGCCAACCGTTGTGTCTAGGAGCTTCGATGCGGTGAGGATGCGACGAAGAACGGGGAAAGAGGTGATAGAGAATGACACGCCGGTGAAAAGCATGAAGTGAACAAACTCGACGGACCAATGAAGTTGTGGTAGAGTGGCACAGAGATGGCAGCACCGAGACCAAAGGACAAGGCCGTGGTAGATAGTGCAATGAACAGCGATGAGCGAGCATTACGCGTGATGATACTTGCGTCGACTTCAAGACCCACTATGAAGAGAAAGAGGCAGATGCCAATGTTGGCAATGAGTGAGAGATATGAGAGGGATTGAGCGGGGAAGATGTGCCAGGTATTCGACCCATTGCACTTGGACCTACGATGAAATGAGTAACTGTTAGTACCATATGAGGGATGACCTCACTCCACCAAAGACTTCAGCAATGACTTTTAGCTGTCTGATCTTGCCCAAGGCCAGTGACAGCAATCGCCCAATCAGAATAATTATACCTATAATTATAATGGATTTAAATTGATACCGTAGACACACTTGGAGCAAAGGACGCTTGCATATTCGAATGATGCATAGCCTCAGTGGATCAGCAGTGGTAAACGCTGTAGGATCTACTCCTACAGTACCCTTTAATCATGCGCGAATGATGCATCATAGAAAAACCGCATACCTGGCCCGTGGTCTCCCTCTTCCAGATTCGAAAAAGTAAAGCATCCGAGAGCATAGACATAAGAGAAAGATAGATACGAGTGATGGAATCTCACCTTGACTAGTCTACACTTGTAATACCAACCGCAAGAGCGGAGTTCCATCACCACCCCAACATGACGCAGGCCGACTTATTGCAGACGTCCCTCTATGATCTCCCGTGAAGTTGCCAAGATGAAACTACGGATCACTTGTGATAACTTTTGGCTGCGGCGCTGGAAAGTCTGCTGCGTGGCTAGATGCTGTTCGATGGCGCTCGTTATGTAATAATAATATCACCCGGAGTGGCTCGGCTTATGCCGGATTACGTTCCTGTCTGCCCGTTCACCCAAAGCTAAGCTACACTTCTTTGCTAGAGTACTCACCACACACACTTAGCTATTGCTCATAAAATCAACCTAATTCATTGGTCATTATGGCCACACAGGTCGTCGTCAACATCAGTCACATCGCCGACAACTCCCTGGGTAGCTTTCAGACCTCAAGAGATAACTTCAATTCACAGCCTGCGCCAGATGCTCTTCTCTTCATATTGCCTTTGCTTATCGTGCTCTCCACTTTCCTTTTCATTCTCCTCATCTTTCTAGTATGTGTTATATTCATTCGAAGACGACGCGGTATCGTCTTGCGAGACAGTGATGGACCTACCGACATGAGTCGAGAGGAGCTTATAGACGGGGAAGGAGGCTTTGAAGGCGTGGAGTCTCGCTGGCTCGAGAGTGTTTCTGAAAATGTTCGACGTTCATATCTCAGAGCAAAAGGTCCCTTTTGTTTCTCAAAATTTCTTGATCCCATATTCATGCAACCTTTCTTCGCTCAGATTACCAATTGCAATATGCTCCGAACTCGGAGCCTACAGATATCACGTTATCTCAATTCCTTTCTATCCAGGAGAAGGGTGTCTCAGCATGGTCCTTTGAGCCAGACTACGAAGCTATTAATTCACTTTTGGTTCATGCTCGCACGGAAATCACCTTCCTTCCCGATCCTGCATCCGCCTCGTGCGTGCAGTCAAATTTACCCCTACCCAAATTGAACGAGGTCTACTATTGGGAAGTCAAGATGTTTGATCTTCCCGAAACTACTACAGTTGCCGTTGGACTGGCCACCAAACCCTACCCACCTTTCCGACTTCCAGGTCTAAACCCTTTCTCCGTCGCTTACCACTCCAACGGTGACAAGTGTTACAATTATCCCTTCAATGCATCACCATTCGGTCCTCTACTCAAAGAAGGCGATGTTCTTGGCATTGGTTACCGTCCTCGCACAGGAACCGTGTTCTTCACTAGGAACGGTCGTAAGATGGAAGATGCTTTCATCGGCCTCAATCGTTACAATCTATTTCCCACAATTGGAGCAGATGGTCCATGCAGTGTCCATGTCAACCTCGGCCAAGCTGGCTTCGTCTTTATTGAGGCGAACGTAAAGAAGTGGGGTCTGGCTCCGACCGTGGGAACTCTGGCACCCCCACCTGCCTATGGGAGCGAACGAGGCAGTATCTTACTGGATGTGGGAGGTGGCGTACGACCCAGCGTCCCAATTATTTCTCCGCCAAGCACTTCTTCCACGCCCCGCAGACGCTCTCACCGCTCTCGAAGACCGAGCAGTGCAATCTCAGCATCAACTATTCCTGTCGCTTCTTCACCACTTAGAGGTACTCCCATATCATCACATACTGGGGATGCTAGCGGTCCTCCCCCACCGATTACACCCATCATCGAAGAGCCCGACAGCACAGACCCCTCAAATGGTCAAGAATATATGTCTCCAACAGATTTACCTTTCCACACGCCACCAAATCACACCCTTCCATTGTACCCTACGCCAGAAGGCGAGAGCGAGCGGGAGGACGGAGAGGGCACCCCCTCCCAGTCACCAACCTCCTCGCGTTCACAATCGCCAGAAAGTGAAGGTGCCGCAGGTGCGAGCAGCCTTTTTAGCATCCCTCGCTTTCGGCGCGAATCCTTTACTCACTTCCTGGCCGCGATGCAACACGCAGGTTCCGACTTGACCATTCAGGTGCATCCACCGCCTGATTCGCCCCGTTCGCCGAATCCGCCCACGCCTAATCAGCGTGATATTCATTTGCAGGCTTTCACTAGCTCTGCATCGACAGAAGGATCGGATGACACGTCGGAAGCGAGATCTCCGACGTTTATGAGGCGCGATCCACCAGCATATTCACCGTTGGATGCATTCACATATGCGGAGGGCGTTCATATTGACTTACCGGCCGATGTGATCGCTGCAGCTCTGGAAGGGGGCAGTATTCCTCCTAGTGCAATTGGTCAGGGGAACAGCGAGCGGTCAGAGAGGCGTCGTAGCAGACGAGACAGACGGTGACACGCGAGGTTTTATATGACTGGATTATGATGGTGAGTCCCAAGGGCTTTGACTCCGAATTATACCTGAACGCGCGAATATTCCAGTATCATTTGTGCTGTGTAATGCTCTGTAAATTCGTTGCGAATGTCAATCTTTGCTCTACATCTACTACCCACATATCTCATGTATTACGCATGGACACTTTTCGCTTTCACCTTACAATTTAATTCGACACAACACTCAGCATTTGGGGTGGGGTTACTTGCGATGTGATGTTACAAATGTGGCAAACAGTAGATATCATTTATTCGTGTCAATCTATGTGTGTATCATTCGTGATTGCTCTAAGGCTCAAGGCGCTTGGGGTCCCTTGGGAAGAGGGAGGCGCGTCTAATGTTGTTCAGCTTTAAGAACAGCATGAGTACCCGCTCGAGACCAATGCCTCCTCCGCCATGGGGAGGGCATCCCATACGGAATCCGTCGATATAGCCCTTCATGCTCTCAGGATCAACACCCTTTGCCCTCATTTGCCGGCAGAGGAATTCAGGGTCGTGGATGCGTTGTGCCCCGGAAAGAATTTCCTCGCCACGCATAAAGAAGTCATAAGAGTTGGTGAGAGTCTGGATGAAAAGAGTAAGCGCCACGCCAAGATAAATGACACGTTTACGTACTGGGTCATTAGGGTCAGGCATGGTGTAGAACGGACGAAGCTCGAGGGGGAACTTGTCGATGATGAAGTAGTCGGTATCATACTTTGCTTTTACAAGCCGTCCAAGCCTCTTCTCGTTCTCCGTGCTAACCCACAGATGTCAGCGTATTTATCATTGAGATTTCAAAACGCCCACTTGATATCATCCAAATTTCCGCGGTCGACACCATCCTCGACGAGAAGGTCCACTGCTTCTCTAAATGTCAAAGTCAAGTCTCTTCTCTCCATTTGAATTCTTCCGCCTCGAATTGCTTGCCGACCACTGCGATCTCTTTCGCATACCTCTCTTTCAGACCCTTGAAGATAGTCTTGAACATTCCGTCAAGAAGCTCTTTGACCTCGTGATAGTGCTCTTCGATCGTCATCTCCAGATCAAGGCCGATGAACTCGGTAAGATGTCGGTGGGTATTCGAATCCTCAGCACGGAAGACCGGTCCGATCTCGTAGACCCGCTCAAAATCAGCGGCGATAGCCATCTGCTTGGCCAGTTGAGGGGACTGCGCGAGGAATGCGTCGCCTGGGATATGGTCAAGTTAATGATACGAATAAGTCAACGCAAGTAGCAAACCTTTAAAGTACCCAACCTTGAAGACAGTTGCCCCTGATTCGGTAGCTGCTCCCTGCAATTTCGGGCTGTGGATCTCGGTGAAGCCGTTGTTGTTGAGGTAGTCACGGAATAGGTCTCCAATGGCATGTTGAAGCTTGAAAATTGCTTGATTTGTTTGTGTCTACAAATTGAGTGAGCAAACAATCATTGAATAAAGATGAAGCGAACCCGGAGATCGATGATACGGTTGTTCAAGCGGGTGTCCTAATAAAACTCTACTGAACTGCCCCTCGACTTCAGGGGCAGTTTCTGATCTGGATGCATCCTCAAGAGAAAATGGCAATCGACCTTCAAGGCCTGCAACTAACCAGAGCTGATGGAGGATCAGAAGTAAGGTCAGGTGGTGCAAGGAGAAAAGATAAAATACATACTTCGCTGACTTGGATTTCAACGTCATCAATTGAGCAACTTTTAATGGATTCTGGCGACTTTACTACTGTCCCATGAACGAGGACGATGCTCTCGTCGGAAAGACTAGCAGCCCACTTGACCATTTGTTTGCTGACTTGTTTATCGTCGACAGCGAGCATGGCCTGGATTGTGTCGGTCCGTTGACGAAGACTTAGAAACGCCATCTTGTTTGACTGAAGACGTGAAGTTTGAATCCGAGCACGAAGAAGGACGTGTTCGGAGTCATTCTTGGCGCTGAGAGTCGCGATGTCAGTGCGCTTACGATTGGGGCGCGACTGGGACTGGTGCAGAGGAAGCTTTCCATAGTGCCCTGCCGCATAGTCCTGCGATCGTCGATGATATGAAATAAATACATGAAACAAGGACATGCATGCGATCAACGTACGGGCCCTTCTGCAGCTTCTCTGACCTGCTCAGCCTCTTTAACCTTCGCGGCTTTCTCTGCCTTCTTTCGAGCCTTTTCCTCCTCTTTTGCTTTCTTTTTCAGAGCACTCTTGGTCAGACCTTCCTCGCCCTGTTCAACAACGTCGGTCATGATGATGAATGAAAGTCTAGTCGAGTCAACCAAAAAGTTCTGATCTTATCTCTACGTGATTTGTATGCAATTGTTGTGACGCTCCAACTGTAACCCTAGCATGAGGTTAGGTTTGAAATTGTTATTGGGCCTCGGCCGTGTGTATTAATTGATGAAATATGATTACATGCCAGAATTTGACTGGTGACGGGTTCTTAGGCTCTTAGCTAGCCCCTACCGACGAATGCGCATCAGTCCTCTGTTCCGGTACTGCTAGAGGCTCCACATGATCAACAGCAGTGCTTTGAGCCATCATGCATCATGTTTCGGGTTAAACCCACGTTCTAATCGGCGCTCTACCGCCGAAATCGGCTTTCACCGCCCTCGCCATCACCATAAAAGTTTACTTTCCTTAATCTTCCAATAACCGCTCAAATCCTCTTTCTTGACTTTCCCTCTGTGTTTTAGTTTTAAACCTTAGACTAATGCTGGCCATTAACGCTGTCCGTCGTGCGCCTGCAATTTTGCGCAGTGCTGCACCTCTTTCGACTTGGTCAGCTGTTCCAGCCGGCCCTCCTGACCCAATCCTCGGTAGGACTAGCTTACCTGAAACCTGACAGTGTTGATTGATCCGTTCGCATAGGTATCACTGAGGCATTCAAAGCCGACAAGGACCCTCGTAGAATCAACCTTGGTGTTGGTGCATATAGAGACGAGGACGGCAAGCCGTACGTTTTGAACGCAGTCAAGAAGGTACGGGATAACAAGTGCCTCTTCTCTGCAGCCACTGACCGTGTATTCTTCGGAAGGCTGAAGAGAGGATTTCTGCTGCTAAGCTCGACAAGGAGTACCTCCCAATTACCGGGTTGCCTGGCTTCACGAGCAACGCAGCTAAACTAGCGTATGGCGCTGATAGCGTGCCACGGAACCAAAATGCGGTGAGCAAGCTGTGGTTGATTGTCAGAAGTGTCGTCATGATTGGTAACATCGCAACTTCTCAGATTGCCGTGACTCAGTCTATCTCTGGAACTGGTGCTCTCAGAATCGGTGGTGCTTTCCTAGCAAGACACTACCCGCACTCCAAAACCATTTACGTTCCTTCGCCCACGTGGGGCAACCACATACCTCTTTTCAAGGATTCTGGCCTGGAGGTTAAATATTACAGGTACTTTGACAAGAAAACTGTCGGTCTGGACTTTGAGGGCTTGAAGGAGGACTTGCAAGTACGACAGCTCGATTCGTATAATTGTGTCATACATATTGACGGTTTTCAGACTGCCCCAGAAGGCTCCATTGTGTTGCTGCATGCTTGTGCACACAACCCTACTGGAGTTGACCCCACTCAGTCGCAGTGGAAAGATATTTCGGACATCGTTGCTGAGAAGAAACTTTTCCCTTTCTTTGACATGGCATATCAGGGCTTTGCTTCGGGCTCGACTGATCGCGATGCATTTGCTGTGCGATACTTTGTCTCGCAAGGCCACCAGATTGCTCTCTCACAGTCGTTCGCAAAAAACATGGGTTTGTATGGAGAGCGTGTTGGTGCGTTCTCTCTTACGACCGCCAATGAAGAGGAGAGAAAGCGGGTGGACAGTCAATTGAAGATCATTGTGCGCCCGATGTACTCGAACCCTCCCCTGCATGGTGCCCACATTGCCAACACGATTTTGTCGGACCCTGAACTCTACCAAGAATGGGAGGGTGAAGTGAAAGGCATGGCGGACCGCATTATCAACATGCGTGAACGCTTGTACCAGCTGTTGAGCAATGATTTCCGGACACCTGGAGAATGGAGCCACGTAAAGAGTCAAATTGGCATGTTCAGGTTAGTGTACTACTATATATTACCCTTGCTGGTACCGACTGGTTTTCATTTTTAGCTTCACCGGACTTAATAAGGAGCAATGCAAAGTCCTTGCGGAGAAGGCGCACATTTATATGACTATGGATGGACGTATTTCGATGGCAGGATTGAATGGTAGGAATATCGAGTACTTCGCTAAAAGTGTGGATGCGGCAGTTAGAGGTGACTTGTAGAACTGCCGAGAAATAGATGTTCCTTTTTGGGTTGTGTTGATCCCCTTCGTACGTCGCGTGCTAAGTCCGAGGGCAATTGAATTCCAATTGAATTACATATTTTTTTCGAGGTGCGGTTTAACTCTTTCTGTGTTAACTCTCATGTCCAGTCCTTCAACTCCTACAAAACTCATACCAGGTGCTTGGTTAGACCAAGGCATCTCTTCATCCACTACTTCCTCCTCGGTACGTGATTATTGTAATCTCAAAGTAATTTCCGTCTCATTGAGGTTCTAACCAGGGTCAGACCATCATACGAAACGTTGACCAGGTGATTACTGCCTCGCCCGGGCAAGGAACCCCTGAAATGCCCACGACGAGTACAGCGGGCGACCGTCCCCTGAGTATCATCGTGCCAACACCAGTCTTTGTGCCACCATTGGCGTATTGCCCGTTCAGCACAGATTTTTCACTGCCCCCCCTGCCAGCCTCGTACATTGGAAAGAATTTCACCCCAGATGAGCACACAAGCTCTAGTATGCCATCTACGCCTGGTCTTGAGCATACCCCATCTTCGAGTCACTTCTCATCCGATCCAAACAACATGACATCTCCAACACCTAGCAATTTCGCAACGATGCCCATTACTCCCGAGGCACATGATAATTGTGACATTGCTGCCATAAATACGTCTCCGTCAAAAATATCTCACATAATTAAACCTCAGGCCAGCATGACGCTGATGATGGACAAACCGCCCAAACTACCAGATAATCTATGGGTGTCTGCTGGATCCAACTGGCTCAGCGACCTCGGTGGAAATACAGAAACAGACCGCATATTCCGCAACGCTCTTTTTGGTCCAGTTCCTTCCCTAAGCCCCCAAAGCAGCCCACTCACCTCGAGTGTCGCATCCCCCACTTCCTCTTTCCCCGCAGCACTCTTACCGAGGATGTCTGCATCCCTCAACAGTACTCCGGTTTCGTCTCCCTCTGCACCGTCCTCTCTCAATTGTATGTCTTCAGCCTATTCACCAACTACAGCACGTCTGGCGTTGGCACCGACCTCGACTTCAGCCTTTCCATCTAGCATTGATAGTTTCGAGCGATGGCGTGAAGATGTTACAGTCCAGACGAACAGACGAGAGACCATGCCAGAGACTCCCTCTGCATATGATGACACTGGTTCTAGTGCAGAGCACACCGAACGCATGAGCCAGCCTCCACCTGGCTTAAATCAGAGAGTGGTGAACTCCAATGCGCCGCCTGCAATGAAGTCAAGAACATTCATACAGAAGGCGAAGACGATTGGCGGACGCGTCAAACGCTTCGTAACGCGCGGCAAAAGAAGTAAATGGAATGCCGTCATCGAAGCCGGCGCTTTTGATGTTACCACTCACACAGGAAGCGATGACTCGGATGGGAGCATCGTAGTCATTTCCGCGTGTCCTCCGTCGTACGACACACGCCTTTCTCCACGCATCTCACCACAGAGTCCTGAACAGCGCAGGAGGTCTATGCCTATGCTCTCTCCGCATTATGTCCTCGTTAGAGAGCGTGTCTCAGCGATCGCTGAGGGGGTCGTTGAGGTACCTCGTACAGCGACCCCCGCGGACGCGAGGGGACTTCCGGGGTCCATTGTCTCGAGGGTTCCTACTCGCCGTTTTTCTCTCGCGGCGTTCTCAAGTCTCGCATCGCTCAAACGACCATGAGAGGGATTTGTAAAATATTTTTATTCCATTGTATTTGAGGTTAGATGCATTGCAAGTCAATGTTCGAGCTTTCCTATCGGCGAACATTTCTTCTAGATTGTAGTATTCCTTTGGCTCTTGACTAGTAACTTTACGACCCCCATCTTGGAACGGCTTCTTGATTTCGTAGTCCATACTCGAATAGATAGTATGGGCATGTCTGTAGTTCATGACATTGGCATTAATGACTAGATTACAGTAATTTTCAATGTAACATCATGTTCATATACCCGATGTCGACGGCACCCTGAGGTGTGTCTGCTCACTGACGACAACCTCTCGCACAGACCAGAAAGAGTTGAAGCATCACTAGCACTCACGCCGATGTCCGAGAACATCGAATCAATGCAAAAAGAAGAAACACAATAAAAATACTCGCAACCCTACTCTGCAGCGGAATCGGGGTCAGAAGTTTCATCCGGATTCTTTGCTGATCATATTTCCGCCGGGATGAAATCCGCCGTGGTCAGCTTCAAGTGCACGAGACCAGCCTCCAAGTCGAGGTGTCGAACTATCCGGTTGAACAAAAAGTACATCAATGGATCAGTGCCAACGTTTTTTATGACACAGGAGGTGCGGGGGACCTAGAATCAGGGTCGCGGGGATGGGATTCACTGCGATCGTGATCCTAAACAATGTGAGAGGCGTCAGCGGTGTCAACGAGTTGGAAATGTTATTGCTTTCCTCTGAGCGAGATGATCTCCGAAGTCGCTGTGCCCCAGTCGTTCGGGACCCTGTGTGCGATACAACCAGCAGACAATATGCGCGTCAAAACATGCGCTTACTACCCTTTGCCATTTGCTTCCAACGCTAACGTCAACACTGTCTGTGCTCTTTCATAAGAGCGCCGATGTCACGTAGTACATTTGGTCAAAGGAAGATACAGACGAAGAATCATATGCGTTATGTACCAGCAAGGCACTGGAACCTACAGGACCAGCTTCGACGCCTTTTGGCCGGTTTCTATTGTTGACGAGAAAAGTTGACTCAACTTTTTCTTCACTCTTGTACTCATGCTGCAATACAGTGGCGACCAGTGATCCATTGCGTGACCTGAACGGGCACCGCGACAGAAAATCGCAAAAGATTATATCCACGCAGTCACGTTCTGTTTAACTGGAGAAGAATGCGAACGACTTGAAGGTGATTATTACGAGTTTGTCGTCGAGTAAGTACAGTGAATATCATCTACCCAACTGGCGTTGGGGCCACGGCACAGATCACTCTAGAGCACGGAATGCGCAGATGCTGTCCAATAACTTAGATAATGGGGACATGAAGATAAGGAGAGGACGTACACTGGAGATCATGAGTCCTTAGGGCTCTCAATCATGGGCGGCACCTTGACCTCCGACCAGCTCCCCCCGCTCATGCGTTTCGTCGTCTCTGTTGCCAACCTCTTAGTCTCCATTCTAAAACGCTTCATTATTGCAGAATAGCATGCTTTGCATGCATGATGAGCGAGCTTAGGCTCTCCGCAAGCTGGACAATTGACGATATCTTTAAAACAGTCAGTCAGTTGGGGGAAGGATATGAATAGAAAAACTTAGGGCTTACTCCGCTTGTCTTTAAGTCCTTTGTTTGCACTGCGCATCGACTTTCGCGAGTGAGAAATTTTACTCTTTGGAACTGCTAGGACAATGGGAGGAAGCAGTTCAAGTAGGGACTGCAAGCCTGGTAGAGCCCAACTGAATGACTTTTGCCGCAGGTCCAAGTTGGCAGCTAGAGAAGCAGCAGCTGGCAGCTGCGCCCATGACGACCTGAACGTAGAGATAAATGAGCGCGTTTGGTGTAGAGCTAATGAGGCCATGACGGTGTAGAAAAGCTTTTGTAACTTTTGATGACTTCTCGATTTGTACTCCAAATTCAGACAGTAAATCAAACACTCTTGCTAAACAGCAACCGTCATGTTCAGATTCACGCGCCCATTGCTGCAACAAGTCACTAAGAGGACGACTGGTATCGTCGGTCTTGCCGTCCACCAAAATCCGCTCCCAGAACTCTCCAACACTTATAATTCGACGCTCAGCGTCCTTGCTTCAATACCGCCGACCTCCGTCTACAGACAGGGCGTCGAGGCACTCACCAAACACAAACTCAACATTGTACAGGGTGCAAATGGAGACATTGGAAGTGTAGAGAAACAGCTGGATGAGGGGCAAATCGAGGAGTCGTTGGATATTGCTAAAGATGAACTGAAGCTGGCCGAGAATATGCTCGAATGGAAAGCGTGCGTTTCGAGATTTAGCATGTCTTTCTGCGCTTATTGATTTTATTCTTTAGCTGGGAGCCTCTAGAAGAGAAGCCATTACCTGGTCAATGGGAGTACTTTGGCAATACATCGAGCCCGACATCTTCGTAGTGTCATTCAATAGCTCGGGATTTGTCGGGGGCAATATCACACTGCTGGACCACGTCCGGTAGTGGTCGTGGAGGGAACTTTCGCAAAAATATATTGATGGCACATATCCAGACTCGTTTAAACCATGCTACTGCGTGACTCTACTGATTCTTCTACCTGGTCTAACTTGTCAAAGGTTTCCGAAACACTACCGCATATCGCTCTGAGAATTATCACAAACTGCTGCGATGTATCTGGGGCCCACAATTGTCTTCTTCTTCTTGCGTTCCGGGAACACCTTGGTCCGATATAACCTGGTTCGCTTCGTCAGCGTATCACTCAGATTTCCACCTGCTCATACACTTACCTTGCCATTCGCAATCTGGATATCCTCCAAGCCCCAGTCCCTGGATGCACCTTCCTTCAGGTGGCTCCCTGAAGCCAAATCCTTGGCTTCCCAAGCTCCCAATACACCTGCAGCGTTCGATTTACGAGACAACTCAGAGATTGAGCAGCAGCCAACTCTCAAAGGGAGATCTGGTTGTGCTAGCAAGGCCCGACACAGCACGATAACAGTCGCAGCATGACTGACTAGAAGAATGTTCTTATGCTTGACGCCAAAGCGCTTTTCTACCTCCGTAATGAGCAAATCTAATACACCATTGGCGCGCTCATGCAAGGCTTCGACGTCCTCGCCTCTTCGTGTGGGATACCAGATCGAGGACCACGAAGGGTCGATCTCTGAAAAGTATGTTTGCATGACTGTAGCGGACGATGGCCTAGGGTGCAAGCCAGTGCCAGGAGCGACAGGGGAATACCATTCCGACAATCCTAACCGACTATGAGCTGATATACGTACATCGCTACTTGGATTTGCCCACCGTGTTCGACATAGATGGGCACTTCAAGAGCTTGGGAGGTCGGCTTGGACGTTTGCAGACACCGATCTAAGGTAGTCTTAGCCCTGAGAGAATTAGGAAGTGATATGCTCACAGTAAGGGGAAGATAATATGATGGTGGGGCGCTTCTCTTCGGGAAGAGCTAGAAAGTAGGCAGCAAGTTCCTGTGCTTGAACCTAAGAATCATGCATGAGTTGATGATCTTTGTCAACGGTCCGATGATACCTCTCCATAAGCAGCCAAGGGGGGATCTCTTGGAAGACCTGTAGGACTCTTCCTGTAGTATCCGCGGGTTAAATTATAGTTTGGCCTGACCATCATCCGCTCACCAGTTAGTGTTGATCCAGTTTAATCTGAACCCTAAGACTTGGTGAACACCAGATGGAATAATGAGGAGATACACTGACCATGTCTGGCAATGTAGATCGTCTCAATCATATTCTACTATAGCTAGTGGGTATACCGAAGAGCTGGGAGTACATTGATAATTCATAGTACTAGCGGTCGGAGTCTAACCCGAACCGAACAAAATGTCAGAAGACCGAAAAAATTCGCTGACAGCAGGATTTGAACCTACGCGGGCAATGCCCAAGTGATGATGAGTATTCAAATCACTCGCCTTAACGACTCGGCCATATCAGCTTGTATTCCGTGAGGACGTCGAACAATATGACCTCACTCTCACTAACGATATCAAGAACAAATCTCAAACTTTTACAGCTTTTGGTCTCTCCTTACATCTCGTAGTACTTATTCGCTGCTCGGGAGCAGCATTAACCACCTTCCATGGATTCTTTAATCCCATTCACGACATCGGGATCACTGGTAGATTGCGTGGACAGTACGTCTACACAGTCAACTGCACGGCAACCATTCGACCTGAAGTCTCCATGATCACTTTACCCCCCAATTATGATATGCACTCTTTCGCCCGTCCCAGGAAAGATGTTGGTCGTCCTCAGAGACGGGCGAAAATTACACGGTGTACTACGCTCTTATGATCAATTTGGTAAGTTTGTTCTCGTTAAGCATACGATAGGTCCGCTGACTCTTCCAACTCGCCCGCTTTTTCAGCTAACCTCGTCCTCGAAGACACCGTCGAGCGAATATTTCATGGTAAAGCATTCGCAGAACACTGGCACGGCCTCTTTCTCATACGCGGGGAGAATGTCGTGTTGCTTGGCGAAATTGTACGTATTCGAGCGCCGTCCAGCAGGTGCATTTACGTTGTTGATGTCTCTTGGCAGGATCTCGATCAGGAGGATGATGTCCCATTACAACAAGTGGATTATTCCGTTCTTGACCCATATCATAAGAGGGATATCGCACATAAGAAGGCACGCGAAGATTTCAAATCCAAGGTCTTATATGAGCAGAAAGGGTTCTGTAAGGAGGGTGGCGAGGGCGATGGCTATTGATGGACTATCGTACTAGTACTGTTTATTCATTCCTCATGCATACCGCCTATGGGCGTATTGGTTTATTGAGTCCATCTAGCATAAGTGTGCGGTATCACCGGGTAAATGCCAGGGCTACAAAAAGGACGAAAACATCATTATCAAGAACTGCAAAAAAGCGAGATAGGACGTCAAATACTCTGACAACAAACAAGAAAAGATGTCTTAAAAATACAGTGGTCTGAATTACGATTTCTTCTTCTTCCCCTTTTCTATAGTCTCCCCGTTAATCCGAGGTTTGCTAGTGCCATTAAGTGGCGGATCTGCAAGTGAGGGCTTGGACGGCGCCTGAGAGGCATTCGTTGATGGTGGGTATAAAATATCTTCGATTCCTTTCCTTATTTCGCGTTCGCGAGTGGTGAGATTGGAGAGTATCGTTTCCTTCGTTTCTTTATCAAAAACAACCTCGGCAACGCGTAGTTTCTGCCACCTAAGCCCACAGTCAGATCCCCCACGTCAAAATTCATGAAATCAACGCTCACCCTGCATGTCGCTCACACTTTTTCTTCCCCGTACACCACCACTCCCCATGACCGGTCGTGACGTCATCTACCTGCATGATATCATCTGATGCTTCCTCCTTTGCCTTCTCTTCATAGCTCTCCAACACTTCCGCACCAAAATCATCCCACTCCTCCTCACCAAAACAAAGCCTCTGATCCCACCCACACTCATCCACCTTTTCCGCCCGCTCAGAAGCAAGTTTCACCAACTTCTCCCTCCACAACACCATATCCATCTCACGTTTCATCATCTCCCGCTCCCTCACCACATTCTCGAGGCGTGAATTCAAGCATACAATTTCACGGTTCGCCTTACGCTTCTGTGCAGAAATAGGCGCAGGTGATAGCTTACTGTCGATCTCCATCTTCACGTCTGCACAGACGACAACGCCCTCACGCTTTTCTGCGTTCTTGACGCTTTCCCAGAGCTTGTCGCGTTTGCCACCACTGCGCTCCCATTGCGAAATACGCATCTGCATGTACTTGATGCCGCATTCGTCGGAGCAATACTTCGAAAATGCACCTCGAGAGGGCTTGTGGCACGCAGTCGACGATGATGGGTCTGTATGCTTCAACCCGAAAAAGCAGCGGCGCTTATACGTCGTTTGAAGGTGCAAGTGGGGGTTAGCTGCAAACGCATCCAAAACAACTAAACAAGTTGAATCTCTGCGTGATAGTGATGACTCACTTTGGATGCACACCGGGCAGATGAATTGATCCACAAGATCGACCTCAAGATCGGGCATGTTGACGCACTGTGTATGATACCATTCGTCACAGCTACACCACAAATACATTAGCTCTGCTCTTGAAAAGAGGGAACACTCACCGATCACATGCAATCATGACTCGATCTTCGTCATATCGTGTTTTGCACACGCAGTACAGCTTATCGTCCTCTCTCTCGCTGTCCTCGTCTTCCAGCTCCTCCTTTGTGTCGACAGGCATGACAGACGCAGATCGTGACCGTGAGGCAGCAACATGCTTTGCAAAGAGACTGTTCTTGAGAACATCTTTCGGCGTGGGTTCCTTGGCTTTGGTCTTTGGAGGAGGTTTTGCGCGCGCTTTTGGTGGAGGCTTGGGTTTCGGAGGAGGCTATGATACGAAAATGGGTCATCTGAAAACTACAAAATAAAATGAAATATCACCTTGGGAGCAGCCATCCCTTTCTTCTTCCCGGCCTTTGCTGGCTCTGCCTTCTTTTTGATAGGCGCCGCAGGGGGAGGAGGCATGAGCTCATCATCTGGAGGAGATGGGCGTTGTGGAGAAGGCGACGGCTTGGGTTTTAGACGCGCAGCTTTGTGATTTAATGATGGGCGATCCTCGATGAGACTCAGGAGTTCCTCGTCTACATCCATAGAAGAGGGGTCGGGTTTGTGTATGGGAGAGTGGAAGGGACGAGTAGGGGACACACGAGTGGAAGATAAATATAAAGGGGATTGCGGGCCTTCCGTCGCGGAGGGTGCAGTGGCGTGGACGGGAGAAGGAAGGCGCGTCTCTTGCTCCTCCACCTTACTTGGTTGGGAGAGCGAGAGCGTTGGAGAATGTACCTTTGTCTTACCACGATACATTGGAGGCAAGTTACGTTCCGCGGTATCATCGGGCGAAGGTTGGATGGTCGGGGAGCCGGATGTGGAGGTAGGTATAAATGGCTGTGGCTGCTCGTCCTCGCCTTCCACAGCGTCTGGACTGGTATCAACATCTTCGTCCTGCTGGACTTCGTCCAAATGCATCTGCTCAAGCTGCTGTCGGCGCTCGAGTTCCTGCTGCTGTTGAAGTGAAAGTTCTTCTTGCTGTCGTCGCAGGGCTTCTGAACGTTGTTTCCACTGGAGTTCCTCTCGTTGGCGTTGTTCCTGTTCCTCTCGTTGCTGCTCCTCTCGTTGACGCTGTTCTTCCACCAATCGTTGGCGGTCAAGCTCCTCCCGCTGCTCACGTTCGAGGGCTTCCCGTTCCTTGCGTTGAATCTCTTCAGCTAATCGCAATTGCTCGGCTGATTCTCGCTGCTGGCGTTCAAGTTCCTCCAATTTTCTGCGTTCGAGCTCTGCACGCTGGCGTTCGGTTTCCTCCTTCTGTCTGCGTTCGGTCTCCTCTTTCTGCCTGCGTTCTGCCTCTTCTCGCCGAACCTGTAGTTCGAGATCCTCAAGACGCTTGCGCTCAAAGTCTTCCCGTTCTTTCCTCTCAGCTTGTTCACGCAGCCTGCGCGCACGATCTTCCTCCTCCCGGATCTTGCGTGCTTCTTCTCTCTGCCTGAGCAAAGCCTCCTCTCGTTGCCGATGCAACATCACCTCGCGCTGCATCCGCTCGAGCTCTTCTTGGCGTTTATGTTCCTCGTCCCGGCGGCGCTGTTCACGCTCAATGCGTTGACGATGCTCAAGCTCAGCACGCACGGCTTCTGCTCGTTCAGCCTCTGCACGTTGGCGTAGCTCAGCCTCTATACGTTGGCGCTCAGCCTCTGCGACACGTTGACGCTCAGCCTCTGCGACACGTCGTCGCTGGGCATCTTCCTCCTTGCGTCGGCGTTCAGCCTCCCCTTCTTGACGTCTGCGCTCAATCTCCTCTTCCTGTCGTTTCCGCTCGACTTCTTCTTCCTGTCGTCTCCGCTCGACTTCTTCTTCCTGTCGTCTCCGCTCGAGCTCCTCTTCCGCCCTCCGTTTCTCGAGCTCTTCTTGGCGGCGTCGCTTCTCGATTTCCTCCTCTTGCCGCTTTCGAGTGAGTTCTTCACGCTGACGCTGCTCGGCTTCTGCACGAATGCGTTCGTTCTCAGCCTTGGCCTTCATTTGGACCTCTTCTTCTTCGCGCCTCCTCGTCTCTGCCTCCCTCTGCCTCAGAGCCATTTCCTCCCGCCGGCGTTGTTCCTGACGCATTCTTAGCTCCTCTACCTGCCGAGCAGCGGCCTCTTCTTGCTGTCGAAGAAGTTCCTCGCCCTGCCGACGCTCACGCTCTTGACGTTGCAATTCCCGCTCTATCTCCTGCCTCCTCTGAAGCTCCTGATCGAGCTGTCTCATCAGCTGTTCACGATATCGAGGGTCCATATCATTTGGGTGGAGGAGGGGATCGCGCACGGGATGGAGAGAAGTATCACGTTTTGGGCGATGTAGAGATGGCTGGCGATGTGAGGATCTGTCACGACGTTGGGAGTCTTCCCGGGGGGATTGATGCAATGTGTCTCTCCGCCCGCGCATGTCTTCTACTTTCCATGCAGAGTCTTCCTGTGCGCGGAGGACACTCTCACCCTGCCAGCGCTCGAGCTCTTGTTGCCGAGGGATCTCTTCACGCTGTCTGAGAATGATTTCGTTTGCATGGCGCTGACGGAGCTCAAGTTCCTGACGTTGACGGATCTCCAGTTGGCGGAAGTCTAGCTGGTGGGGGTCGGATTCTTGTCTGTGCCGCAGCTCGTAGTCATCTCTATCGTGCTGGCGTTCCTGCCTGAGGGGTTCTTCACGCCGTCTGATGTCATCAACTTCCTCTTCATCCCATACCGCCCTGCCGAGGCGAGGGACGTCAGAGCGCATTGCGGCGTATACGATGGGTGACATTCGGGTAGGAACGATAGGAGAATGGCGTGCTATTGTGGGGGAACGATGTAGAGGCGGGTGATAGTGTGGAGGTGTTATGCCTGGGCCTGACAAGGGTATATTGGAGGGAGAAGATAAATGAGGGATTCCGGGGCCTGTGAGACTTGAGCCGAGAGCGCTTGTTGTTGGACTCGGGTTTGGGGCTGAGCGTTGTGGTGGAGTTGGAGAGCGAGATTCTCTTATTCTCTTGTGCGGACGAGGTGAGTCGTCTGTGATGTATAATGGATAAGGGCGGGGAGGGGGTAAGCTGACTGGACTTGTACTAGATTCACTTGTTGATGAACCTGCGCTTATGCGCCTTCGTTCTTCTGATGCCGCATGAACGAGAGCGTCAAGACCTGTTCGAGGATGTGACATTGACTGTGTAGGATTGAGAGATAAAGGGTGTGATAAAAGAGGAATACTGACGAAAGGCGAACGAACTGGATTTAGGAGAGCGTTTACCGAAGAATGAGAATGAGAAGAATCTGGACGTGGTGAAGGATGGTGCAGTAGGGCATCGATAGTTCTTGGTGGCATGTTGGGTGAAGTTAATTCTGGTATGTAATTATGAGTTGGGGCCTGTCGTGCGTGTTTACCACGAAGATGTGGAGCTAGAATAACAGGCTGATAGATTAATGGTGAGGACGACGACTGTTGCTCGTCGTCGTTGTCATTGTTGTCGTTGTCGTCGCAGAGTAGCGATGAAATGTCCATTCGTCTTGCAGCCATGACATTGAAGAAAGAGAGAGAACGTGAGACTCTTTAACGTGCTTGTTTACGAGAGTTTAATTGCATCAAAAACAAGCTTGTACGGACATCAAAGCTTGTACAACGAGACATTGCGAATTTCGCCCAAACGGTGACCATGAATAGTCTCCACTACGAACGTACCGCACCCAAGTCCCATCGAAAATCTCTCTTCAGCCCATTTATGACGGTCTCAAGGTCATAGTTCTACAACCATCCAAAAAAAAGGCGGGTAAAACTCGTCGAGATGCTTTTGAAGGCTATAAAATTTTAGTTAGAAGGACGTTCGTCTTCCGACTGCACGAAACTAACCTGTTTTGTTTTAAGCGTAACCCTTTGAATTCGAAGCAGACTGGTTTTTATACGTAGCACGTGTCATAAACTGTACAGTGGCTTGAAAGGACCCCAGTTCGTGTTTACGGGGTCATCACAACTAGCACTCTAATCTCATCCCTCACTCTGACTGATCCTTAAAAAACCGGCCATGTCGGTGGCCACAAGAAACCCTTTTGCACTCTTGGACGGCAGGTTTTGATTTTATCATTTCATTCAGTCACTTACTTTCTTATACTAACAGAGGACAGGCCATCCACTCCTCCTCCCCCTTCAGCTGAGCCTGCGACACCAGCGCCAGCTCCACAATCACAACAAACTCGTACTCGTGGACGCGGAGGCCCTGCCTCTCGTGGGGGTAGATACTACCAGCGTGGAGGCGCTGCACCCCCTGCTGCCCCTCCAACTGATGATCAGCCAGCTCCAGAGCCAAAACCAAGGCGATGTGAGTACTCTCTTTCTTTCAAATACATATCTAATAAATAAAAGTCGATGGCGAGCGCAAAGAAGGCCGTGGAAGAGGCCGTGGTCGTGGTGGTGACCGTGGCGGACGTGGTCGGCCATTTGACAGGCACAGTCAAACTGGTAAAACGTAAGTCCCCCCTCATGCTCATTCTTCACCCACCCTTATCCTCTCACCTAGCGACTCTGAAAAAAAGGTCCACAACTCTTGGGGTGGCGATGATGGAGAAGCAGAACGCAAAACAGAGGAAGCCGCTACCAACGACGCTTTGGCAGAGAACGCTGCTGGTGGTCTAAATGACTGGGCTGCCCCAGCAGCTGACCCCTCTCCAAATGACTGGGCTGCTCCCGCAGATGCTCCTCCTGCAGATGACTGGGCTGCTCCCTCGGCAGCAGAAGGTGCCGAAAAGCCTCAATCAGGTGAAAGGCGTGAAAGGCGCGGTGACAGAGAGGAAGAAGAGGATAACACTCTCACTCTCGACCAATACCTTGCACAACAGCGCGAGAAGGAAAATGCACTCGTCCCAAAGTTGGACGTCAGAAAGCCCAATGACGGTGCAGATGATGATGTCTTCCAGGGTGCTGCACCCTTGCAGAAGGACGATTCTGAGTATTTCGCTGCAAAGGTACTTCTCTGCTTATACCTGTTGATCGTATCTCACAAATCTCCACCAGGTTAAATCTGCTCCAAAGGCTCGCACCAAGAAAGATGAAAAAGTTTTCATTGAGATCGAAGCTCGCTTCGAACGCCCAAGCCGTCCTGGTCGTGGTGGTCGTGGTGGAGACAGGGGTGGTGGAGAGCGGAGCCGTGGCGAGAGAGGTCGTGGTCGTGGGGGACGCGGACGTGGTGGCGCGAACGGTCATTCCGCTCCAGGTGCATCTGCCATTAACGTGGACGACGAGACCGCATTCCCCTCACTCTCATAGGGGAGTTGTACGCGTATAATAGGCGCCCCCAAGGTTGCAGAATAGCTCGATTGACGACTTGATTTAATGTGTACTGACTGAAACTGACACCGATGCTGATTACACCCGCTCGTATACATATCACTTTCTCTGATTCGTTTTGTCTTTTTTTTGGTATTTTTTCCTCTCTCAGTCTGTCTTTTTCGAGGTTCATGCAATATTATTTTGCCATGATGCAAACGTTTGATGTGATCCCACACATGTCACCGTGCGTCCAATGAAAAAATCAGCTCCCACCGCACTTAATCAATTTCCACCCGAAATCAACCGATGAGCTATGAAACCGCCCACTCATTCACTCACCTCACGCCCCATTCTAGTCTCGCAGACGCGTTATGGCCGTCTGGGAGAACTTCCTCAGGGCTAAGAGCGACTCGTAGCGCATAGTGTCTAACTGTGTTTTCCTGTCCTCAGGTAGACTATGGGTCAGTAGTCTGGGCCCAGCGCTCCACACCCGTGCATATTATGATCTGTAGTCAAATATATTGTTGTTATACACTGGCATCGCCGCCGATCGCATTATGCATGCCCCCTCTATAAAAAAGTAACAAACGCACTCGCATAACTCACGCTCCAATCATCAAACGACACACACCGATTGCTCTGCTCATATCGCACCCATTTCATTCTCGCCTGCTTGCCTTTCTCTTCCAGCGCACTGAGCGCGCCCATCAGCACCCCGATGGGATGTCGTCCGCAAATCGTATTGTGCGTGCGTTCCAGGTACGCTACAAAATTGGTATGTGCAGTAGACGCAGGCTGTTGGGCGAGAATATCCATCGCTTCGTGGTCCAGATCGGAAATGGACGCGTGGATGGGTCGCGAGGGTGCGGGGCGCGGACCGCTACGGCGTAGATGAACACCTGGGACATCGCTAGGAATCGTCTCGGGATAATAGAATGTGTATCCATAATGCGAGTGCCCCCTATGTATCGCACCGCACATCAAACACTATTCAATGTCAATGCACCAACACCACCAAAACAAACGCACCAATGACAAAAATCAGAAGAGATCACAAAGAGTGTATCGTCCCTTTCAAGGTACGGCGCTAAGATCTTCCCATACTCTTCTTCCTGCTCCTGATCGATAGCACCGACCATGACCGGCACGATCTTGATATTATCGATGGACCTGCAAACCAGGCTCGAAACGGATGAGGGGAGGGAGAGATAAGGTACAACTTACTCCTCGAACACTTTGTATACGTAGGGCAGGTGCATCTCGATACTGTGCTCACCTTGATCCCTGCGTGGTTGAAGGTATTCAAATCGTTTGGTCTTGTAGAGTTCTTCGATGACTTGGGTGTAGGGTTAGATTTGGGTGGCTAGCTGTTAGTATGAGCTGTACCTTCCCTGTCTAGTGTGAGGTTTCCCAGTGGGGTCTCGTACGTCTCACATTTCGAGAGTGCGCATCCACCGAGATAGAATGCGTGTGATGGGCCTAGGATGAATACTCGGGAACTGCATGATAGTGTATCTCATCAAGGGTGTTTATTATTTGGGAGTGAGGCACTCACATTCCAGCAGTGGATATGCTCTTGTACGCCCAAGCAGCTGCAGGGCCGGAGTAGGAGTAACCAGCGTGGCTAGTAGCTCTAACTCAGGAACAAAGAAGAGACAGGAACGAGAACATACGGAGCGATGATCGCTTTACAGCTTGCGATGGGCGGCGCAAAGTCGTCCTCGTCAGTAGGCTTAACGCCAGCCAGCCAATTCGAGAGCTCCGTATCGAGAGTGTCCCCTGTTGTTTGAGAGAAGATATCCAGTGCTTAAGTAGGTGATCTGGCGGAGCAACGAACCATCTGCTGAATACCACAACTTGGTAGCAAATACAGCTGGTCTGTTGGACGTACTGATTAGCTACGAGCGTATGCAACGAACGTTTTCATGCCTAGATTTGAAAGACATGCTGGGTGGTTCAGGTGAAGGTGATAGCTCCTTTGATCAATGAGCGATGTGATTATGTACCTCATTAGGCAATCTCAGGTTATGAGCAGCTAGACAGGAATAGCACAATATCCTCATGCACATGTGACCGATCTTACACAGATTGACGATACATGATCATTCAGCCTGAAGCATGCTTGCATGTCGAGATTATCTCCAGCATATGGAATGAATACATGGGAATGGCGTGAATAAGAAACGACAACAACAAATCACTCTTCTGACCGCAGCCGTGCTGCAGAGTTGGTCACCTTCACTCCGAGAGCCTTTGCTCTAAAAGACGCATCAGTACATTAAAGAGCACAAGACCCAGAAGTAATCAAGACTTACCGCTCAAGAATGATACTGCGGTTGCGGCTGCTGACGTTGTGTGCGATCTCTGCCGCGTAGCTTTTGTTGTGCATCAGAAGGAGGTCAATTTCCTTGACATTGTTGATGAGGAACTTCTTAAGGCCATTGGGGAGAAGGTGACGAGTCTTGTACAGAGTGTAAGCATGTGCATCTAGCAGCGGAGGAGCATCTCTACCTTCTTGTTGCTCCCGTAACCAATTTTGGGCATGGGGAGCTGACCCTTGAACCGACGCCTCACTCTGTTGTCAATACCCTTGGGTTTCCGCCATGCTTCCTTGACGCTGTGGTAACGGTCGGACTGGTGGCGCCTGTGTTGGAGAAAATGAGTCCTGGTTTATGGAGTGCTGCTGCTTTGTACACACTTGAAATGCTTGGTGCGCTTCTTGACGATGGGGATCTTGATGGCCATGGCGGTCTGAAAGGAATGGTTAGTGGTCGACTTTCAGCGGAGATGCTGGATTCCAGGGTGACCACATCATCAACACATCCGAGTATGAATCCATCCATCCATTGACTTCTTTGGGCTCAAACTCTCCAAAATCGAATATTATCGACATCGGACTGTGCTGTAGACTTATTCGACACTAGCATAAAGAGACTCACCGACGAGTTTTGGATTTTGGGAACGACGGCTTCCTTGTCCACTAGTTTCTGCTCAGCGAAGTGGGGGCTCCAAATAGAACCAAACAATTTGGTGGCTATGCTAAACTTCCCGGGTACTCACTCTGGGCCACATGGCACTGCTTGCCTCTTCCTGCATTCTCTCTCTCAGTTTATACCAACTATTTCAGATTACACCAGTCTCCGCGTAATATAGAAAAGGAACGATCATCATAGTTCCGCCACGGCTACCTAGGGAGACTACATTCCTCATCCCTCTCGGCCAGAGCAAATAGAAGGAATGTGATCTTTCTAGGCTACGGTGTCAGTTTTATGTGGATGTACGCACGGGCATGTCATATGAAGAACGTTGCTTGCACCGGATGCCGCTGTGTGTGAGAGGTCGGATCTTCTCTTGTGTCTTTAGTATAGATAGCTATGCTCTTCTCACGTATTTAATAACGCGCACCTCCCATCAGCGGCACCGCTGCACCGCAGATGAAACCCCAAAATTTCAGACCAGTCGGTGGCACACCGAGTCCGACGGGCGTCTATGCTATGCAATGCAAGAACCATTAATACGCCTTTGAACAAGATTGGAAAGTTTATTTAAATCACAAAACGAAGCAGGTTATGCGCGGACAGGCCCTAGGGTAGAGTTGAAAGCGGCCCTGAGACCGCAGCAGTGCTGCATCCGGTGCTAGGACGTATCCTGTGCATCACAATGCAGGACATCAGCTAGAATTTACCGCTTGCATTGATCTTCAAGATGTTTTACAACCGCAACGGGTCCCAGCTACTGGAGTCACTGGCAAAGGTCATCATGGTGTGAGTGCACGAGTAGTCACAGACTCACCACGTATGATCATTGGCAGATTGTCATTTCATGTTTGGATGCTGTATTGAGATCCGTCCTAATAGCTTCGCATTCGCGTCAAGTACCTGTTTATGAACTTTGGTCAATAAATGTACTAGTACAATAATAGACGTAAGTGTGTGGGGTAGCTTGGATCGTAACTGGGCCGGAGAAGCGTGAGAACAATGCCGGTCTAATATCTTAGTGGCGGATGACAACTAGTCCGCCATGCCATATTAAAGGACTCGATCAAGTGATTCCGGCGCTCACTTTGTTTCTCATCCTTGCACATCCTTGTGTCTTGCAAGGGATCATCGGTGCATAATTTCATGCTTGCCGCAACTCCCATCGATTTTGCCTTCGACGAAGATGATCATTGGCTATCCACAGCTCCTCCTTTGCTATACAGGTCGACAAGTGTCGGAAGTAGCTGGGGAGTCACATCGATAGGTCGCGGCTTTGATTGGTCTGCGAAAGATGATAAGGAAGTCGAAGTCATATCGCAACCTCAATGTCCATTGGAGAAAAAGCCGCCACAGGATGTTCCAAAGCTCGAAGACTCTAAGTCCGCAATGCCCACACGACCGCCTCTACTGGTTTCTCCAGTATCTGTTCGTTTGCTTTCAGAAACTCAAATACCCTCCCCAAACTGTGAACCATTGATGTTATCTCCATCTCCATCTACTCCCAACCTAACGGACTCTCCGATATCTGACTCTCCGTCTCGTTCGCTATCGCGCTTGTCATTGCATTCGACAACCCCACTTCGAGCCAAATGTATCTGAAGCACATCGTCCCCCACTTTCCCGTTCCCCTACCTTGTCACGGGCTCGCAGGAGGTCTTCGCAGCAGCGGGTGTCCCTCATCGCAGGTCGCGTTATGATAGCCCCAATAGAACCGCCTTCACCGCCTCCTACAATGCCAAAGATTCTACATCGGTCAGGAAGCACTGGAAGTATATTGTCTTCCGTTGCGATTACCTGTCCTCCGACCCCCGCTCGTGAAGCCTCCTCATTACCTGATGGCAAGGCCATATCAGACTTTTTTATCGAAGGTGAGATCGGCCGAGGCGCGTACGGCCTCGTCAAAAGAGCACGCGAATACAAAACAGATGGATCCCTTGGGGTGAGGTTTTATCTACTAGACTTTCGCTTTGATCCTTGCGGTCTGACAATGGGATAAGCCACCATTGGTCTTGAAACAAATAATCAAGTCTCGCATCCTTGCTGACTGTTGGAAACGACATCCACGGTTTGGCACAATACCAATAGAAATCTTTGTCATGTCTGTTATATCATCAACGTCGTACACCTTACCCGCAGTACGGCCATGGGATCCATCACGGCGACGGCCTCCCGCTAGAACCGACGGAGACCCGACACGTTTTCAGCCCGATTGTGTCCACATGGACGACGATGAAAGGTGGCAAGAAGGAAAAGAGATCAAGGGACATCCAAATATCTGCCCTCTGGTGGATTTCTTCGAAGACAACCATTATTACTATCTTGTCCTACCGTCTTCCACGCCTGAAAAGACGTCCAATGAGCCTCCTCCAACAGATCTATTTGATCTCGTCGAGACTTACCCTCAGGGACTTTCACCGTTTGATATTCGCAGCTATCTTGGACAGCTTGCAGATGCCCTATGTTTCTTGCACTCTCATGGGATAGGTTAGCAGTTCGTCTCCAGAATCTCTTGGTGATATACTGATTTATCATCAGTTCATCGAGATGTAAAAGATGAGAACGTTGTCCTCGGACCGAATGGCAAATGCGTTCTAATAGACTTCGGAAGTTCGGGACTTGTGAAGAAGAACGGATGGGATACATTCAGTGGGACGTAAGTTTTCTCCATGCTCACGGCTTCTACTTGTCGATGCAGTTGCTTACCCAATCAAGATTGGACTATGCGGGCCCTGAAATTTTACGTGGGGAGCGATATCACGGGAAGGAGCAAGACGTATGGGCGTTCGGTGTTGTGGCATACGTCCTTCTCGTAGGAGAATGCCCTTTCGTCACGGCAGCTGAGGCCCAAGAGGGATTGACCTCGCCGTTTGCGAACGCATCTATTGCACTGGATGAGCGTTGCGGTGATGATAAGGAGAAAGATGGAGAAGAGGAGGATGGTGGTGGAGCAGCAGGAGATGCTGCAGCTCTCGTCAGAGCTTGCTTGCAAGTGGAAGTGAGTGCGAGACCTACGTTTGAGAACATTCTGCAGTGTCGATTTTTGAACGGGGGAAAGGGTTGGGGGATGGAGCTGCCCTGCGGTAATTATCAACACCTATCTCCACAACCGAGCGCATTTCCAGCACGTGTCGCTTGATCGAAGGCAACGAGGCAGATATTTCGTCTGTCAGACTCCCACTGATCCTGATGAGGATCTGTTCGGCCTATCTTGGACATATCTCCACTTACGTCGTTTCTTTTTATCTCAAACCATCAAATCTCACCGTATCAGCATCGATCTGCCATGATGCCTCTAATATTGATCTGTTTCAACTAGCTAGCACGCATTACTATCGATAGGCTGTACTAGTAGCACATCGTAACCCTCTTCTTGTAGATTAATCATATCTGCGAATGTATCAAATTGATCGGGACATTCGAGTCTGTTCGAGTCTGCTTCAGGAGTCAGCGCTCAGCGGCAGTGTAAGATGTGACTCGGCCAGTCCGGCGCCACGCGGCCGGTGCCGAGCGGAGTCACGGCGGCATATCAAATCACCAGATTGATAAAAATTTTCCTTTGGGAAGGTATAACTATCGGCGAAATCAACAGGCTCTCTCTTTCTTTCCTACCACCACATCCCATTCCTCTGTTTTTTTTCTCTCTTTCTGTACACTTAAGTGAGTCTTTTCTTTTCCGATCTTTCAAAAGATCCTGGTTACTAGCGCGATGCATCCCCTGATGTCCTTATCATCATCGCGCGATGGTATTCTGCGATTTTACATCGCCTGGTCTCTGATTACTATGATCACTGCCAATCCACCTTGTTGAAGGATCAATCACTAACGATCGCTCCATCGGACAGAAATCCTTCAAAATGGGAAAGGACAAGATTCACGTTAACGTTGTCGGTATGTATCTCACCATCTACATCTAGCTCATTGATCTGATCCATCACAGTCATCGGCCACGTCGATTCTGGTAAATCCACCACCACCGGTCACTTGATCTACAAGTGCGGTGGTATCGACAAACGTACCATCGAAAAGTTCGAAAAGGAAGCTGCTGAGCTCGGCAAGGGTTCCTTCAAATATGGTGAGTGACTAGATAATCTAGATCTCACTAACGTCACTGATAACGATCTTTAGCATGGGTGCTTGACAAGCTAAAGGCTGAGCGTGAGCGTGGTATCACGATCGACATCGCTCTATGGAAGTTCGAGACCCCCAAGTACATGGTTACCGTAGGTTTTTTGACAACTTTCCAAGTAATATCTACTTATGAATTTTCCAGGTCATTGATGCCCCAGGACACCGTGATTTCATCAAGAACATGATTACTGGTACCTCCCAGGCTGACTGTGCCATCCTCATCATTGCCGGTGGTACTGGTGAGTTCGAGGCTGGTATTTCCAAGGACGGTCAGACCCGTGAGCACGCCCTTTTGGCGTTCACCCTCGGTGTCCGTCAGCTCATCGTTGCCGTCAACAAGATGGACACGACTAAGGTATGCATCGACACTTCTAACAATACATCCACTTACACTTAAAATCAGTGGAGCGAGGACCGTTTCAACGAAATTATCAAGGAGACTTCCACTTTCATTAAGAAAGTCGGCTACAACCCCAAGGCCGTTGCATTCGTCCCCATTTCTGGCTGGCACGGTGACAACATGTTGGAGGAGTCCCCCAAGTCAGTTTTATTTGTGTTAGCTAGTTTATCGCATTCTCATGTCTTACACAGCATGCCATGGTACAAGGGCTGGACCAAGGAGACCAAGGGCGGTGTTGTCAAGGGCAAGACCCTCCTCGATGCTATCGATGCCATCGAACCCCCTGTCCGTCCTTCTGACAAGCCCCTTCGTCTTCCCCTCCAGGATGTCTACAAGATCGGTGGTATTGGTACTGTGCCCGTCGGTCGTGTGGAGACCGGTGTTATCAAGGCTGGCATGATCGTCACCTTTGCTCCTTCGAACGTGACCACTGAAGTGAAGTCCGTTGAAATGCACCACGAGCAGCTTGTTGAGGGTCTCCCCGGAGACAACGTCGGTTTCAACGTCAAGTCCGCATTTGTCATTTGTTCCCCTGATTTTCACGCTTATATATATCTTTAGAAACGTTTCGGTCAAGGATATCCGTCGTGGCAATGTTGCTTCTGACTCCAAGAACGACCCCGCCAAGGAAGCTGCTTCCTTCAATGCTCAGGTCATCGTCCTCAACCACCCTGGTCAGATCGGTGCTGGCTACGCTCCAGTGCTTGATTGCCACACTGCCCACATTGCTTGCAAGTTCGCCGAGTTAATTGAGAAGATCGACCGTCGGAGTGGAAAGTCCCTCGAGGCATCTCCCAAGTTTGTCAAGTCTGGTGATGCTTGCATTGTCAAACTTGTTCCCTCTAAGCCTATGTGTGTCGAGTCCTACAACGAATACCCACCTCTGGGTCGCTTTGCCGTCCGTGACATGAGACAGACTGTTGCTGTTGGTGTCATCAAGTCGGTCGACAAGACTGACAAGTCTGGCGGAAAGGGTGGGTCTTCCAGCTATCCTTCTGCGAATAAACTTACTGATTGGTGTTCTCTTTAGTGACGAAGTCTGCGGAGAAGGCCACCAAGAAGAAGTAATAGATGTAGAACTGCCGTTTCCATATTTTTTTCTTTCCGGCCTTCTGCTGTTTGCTGTCTCTCTGGTGCCGCCCATACGGTATTCATACCTGCAATGTGTTTACTATCATCATTTGTATGCACGGTTAACGAAGCTGGCAGCGAGGTCATGACCAGTGGCCTCGCTCGCCTGTTTACTAATGTCGCGGAGATATTGTCTCGAATAAGAGCGAAGGGACTTAATTGTATCAATATTTTTATCCATCATGGGTCCCCTCTTCCATCGCAATCAACGTGTATCGAAACTTCCCAGAATCTGACGGGTTCTTCGTTGAATTCATATCTCATTAACATTGCCTACGATATTTATCGCGGATCTAGCATACGTGCTCGACTTGCTCTCCTTTGTCGACTTTGGGCCCAAGATCTCTCCCGACGGTTCGGTCAAACACCTCCATCATGAATGTAAATAAGGACCGCGTGAGGGCAGCATCCCATCGACCTTTGGAAGATTCATCTCTGATGAACGCGTGTTGCGCCTGCACTTCCAGAAACTGTATTTGTGGTGAACATTCTAAAAATGCACGTGAAATCGTGTAACTTACAGAGCAGGGCACCCTAGCATCCTCAAGAGTCTTGCGGATGAGATCACGACCTTCGCGAGGGACATGCGTGTCCTAGCGGCACTAAGTTCAAACACGCGCCTCTTCTCCTAAATGGCTTCACGTACCTGTTTCCCGAAGATCATCTATGAAAAATTTCAGCATGGTGTCACTGCCCTTCTCGATCGCAATCAAACATACCACGAGTTCACCTTTGCCTGTCATATCCCCCTTGAGAACACGCGCAAGAGAGTTGTCATTTTTGCCTTTGCCAAGGGTTGCACTGTGAACATCAGTCGCAAAGAAGCAGACCGAGGATAGTACACGGGGATCAAAAGCAGCCTTTACAAGGGTTAACGAAAACTGTTAGTAGCATCGTCGCCTTATCGCTTACCCGAAATGCCTGTGATCTACATATTCAAAGATGTGGTACTGCAGGCAAGGCTGATAGACGCACCAAATGCCCTCCTAAGCACATTCCTGTCGCTGAGGGACATTTCAATGTCTAGTATGTAAACGGAAGGCACGTTGACATACCTGCAATGCGACCGTTGCAGTTTGACAAAGAAACCAGAAGATCGACGGAGAGCGTAGCATCCTAGACCACACCTCATCGGAAGTCTGTCGACAACAACAGAACCAGGAAGCTGACCTCGTCGTACGCAGTTACGTCTTTCTCGATCTGACACGAAAATAGATGAGAATGCAAAGCGTGACGATATGAAGTTGCTTGCCTTATACCTGTTCCCCCTATCAGTTCCTGATATTGACAATGATAAGCAACGAATGGAAGTGGCAAAGATGAAGAAAACGAGACATGCCTTCCGTATCGTACGGAATGGCCTCTGGTCCCTCAAATTCATGATAGCTTGATGGGCAAGCGACCACATATCCCTGGCTCGCGATCTGACCAGCGAACCTTTCCACTGGCCCTGTCACTTGATAGATTTCACTGACGAATGTGAACAATTGTGCGTGAGTTCAGCCCACCGAAATCAAACCCACCTGAAGCACACCACACCTATTCTCGTCCGCAAGCACTGGATCAGCTTCAAGAGAATAAGAGCGGTGATGACATGCGACTTACCGGGAAACTTTGCTTGTGGGTAATTTGGAACAACAGGAGAGACCACAAAGATACGGATTGGACGCCCGTTGTCGAGTTTGCTAGGCACGTCGTGGAATGTTTTGACGATGAGCATGGCTGTAGAGAAGTGCTCAATGTGGCTTCAGGTAGGTCGAGAGAACAGTTCAACCCACGTTCGATAAAGTGTGTGAAGCAAGCGAGTTTGAGGATTTCCCCAAGTCAAACCTTCAGTGTCTTCAAGCACAGTCACCATCAATGATCATCCTCAGCGAAACTTGTTTGCCTCGAGCACTATCCATTGCACATGCATGGGCCTGCACTTCGAAGGCAGTTGCTGAACTTCCGAATCCCGAGGCAGCACTGCTGTGCAGTGTGGATCGCATTATTGTTGTGCCTGCCTAGACAAACGTGCGATGAAAAGTTGCTACAAATCATGGCAGTGAAACTACAAGCTGTTTCATTCTCACTCCCATCCATTTGCACGGTATAATCATGACAGAAGCTGATGCGCGCATCCGGTTGTATGAGGCTTCCGATGACAAACGGGTCAAGTTCAGCATCGGAATGGCCTCAATGGAGGGTCTCGCAGTCGCGAATCGAAGTGGTATGTGTTGTGACTGTCGTCCACTTTTTCGCGATGAGTTGACCAAAAAATCCTGTAGCTTTTTTCCACCCATTCACGCTTAGTACCTGGGTGGCCCTGTCATGCATCATGATCCAGTATCTCAACTGGTGGCCTAGACCGGAGTACGGGTTCCTAGGTTATTTGCAACCTTTTCCAGCTTTTGGATGTTGGGGCGCCGTTATACTCTACCTCATGGATTGGTATGTTGATACGCACACTTTACGGACCGCTCAATAATTTAACTCGATAGGTTCAACCGCCCACACTTCGAAGATGCGTCTCTTGACTTGTTGCGAAGACCAGATGTCGCGGACATCGCAAACTATTATCGGCGATCTCCCTCATCAGGCCTTTTCATCCTCGAATATGCCGGAAAGTTCGTCGGTCTCATAGCTATCGACGCGTCCAAGGACTCTCAGTCACAAAGCACGCTTATGGACAAGGGAAAGCTACCTTCATCCCTGAAGTCGAAGCATACAATGCCTCAGGGAACATCGTCCGTCGCCACAATCCGTCATTTTTATATCGAGGAGCCATATAGGAAAGCTGGGATCCAAAAGGACCTGCTCGCACATGCCATACAGCATACATTCAAAGCGGACAATACAGTCAAGGAGATCAAGGTGACCACTACTTCCCTGATACTGTATGCTCAAAAGTGCATCTACGACGCCGGGTTTGCTTTGGAGAAGCCTATTGGCAAGTTTGGTGTTTATGGGTGGAAACTTGACCTGCTCGTTCTCGGAGGGCACAGTGGGAAAAACAAGATGTTGTTTCGTAGAAGTTAATTATTTACAAATGTCGTAGTAGTTAGAAGGAAGTTCAAGGAACGGCTATATCGAGGACTTCACTTCCAGCGACTTGAGCCATATCATGTTGAAGCAACTTGGACTCACCACAAAGGGAAGATGTCTCTATTCTCTTCCATCATCAACAACCCAATAGGATTAAAACCACATCAACCACTGATTATCCTTCAGTCGTCTTCCGCACAGACATGTTATCCCATCTTGAGGAATCTGATCTCAAATTTCAGACCGACTACCCAGACTCTACTGTTTTGCTTCCTGCATCCACCGTCAAGCTTGATTAATGTCGATGAGGCTCCAAACATCATTGCGTTCGACTTCACTGGGCGAATTCCCGGCTATGACGATCCGCGGCGCGGCCCCCAGGACGAGATACTGACTCGCATCAATTCTGGTGAGTATCAGCGCGTTTGATGAGCACGATGATCAGACTGGTAAAATCTTGTAGTACCTCCGGGATCACTGAATGTGATCATCGACTCTGTGGATACATTGAGATCTGACCTCGGATCCACGCCAAAAACTTACAAGTTTATTCGGACACTCCTCGGGCTAATTACAACGCGTTCTGGTGTGTTTACAGCACGACTGATATATATGTGCCTACTTATGTTCCTCAAGAACCTTCGATCCTCACATTACACGTCCAGCCCAGCCCTCTTCTCGAACTACTGACTCAAACTTCCCTATCACCAACACTTATTCATCTGACCGCGCATCCCCCAGCCATCATTACGCACATCGCCTCTGCATATCTTACACATCCTCCACCAGTTGGTCCGGCAGATAAATTCTGGAGTATCTTCATCCCCTTCTCTGAGCGTATACATGAAAGTGAGCGCCTGGTCTACGGCCCCGAAGGCAATGGGACGAGTGCCGGTGCATGGGTAAGCAAGGGCACAAGGGAATTTGTCGTGGAGGTCCTTGTAAGGGGTGGAGTTAAGCGCGGTGTAGAGAGGACTGTCGAGGGCTGGAAAGGAGATGTACCGTGCGACCTACAAGCTCTTGGCAGCCTTAAAAGCATTTGGACTAGGAGAAAAACGGAGGAGGTGAGCGCGAACGCCACCTTGACATGAAATCTTATACCTGACCACACTATAGCCACGACCTGATCCAACGCAGAACGTATCATTTAATCTAAATCTCACGCCATCACAGGAGAGATCGCGAGCCCAAGTCCCCCTACCTTATGCACACGAAGGTGGCGCTTCCTTCATTTCTCTATGCTTTACGTCATTTTAATCTCGACTTCAGGCAATCCTGTTACAACAACTGGGGCGATTCTGTATGACCCTGATTCTGCCGACGATATCGATGACGATGATCCGGATGAGGACTTGGATATATAGACTATCTCTATACGCGTACGCAGCACCCGTGACAATGCAAAAAACTGTCGTCATCGTGCTTCCATGACGTCGAGAAAGAACGGAGTAGATGTGAGACAACCGTTGGTCCTGTTGGCAATCCAAGATCCAGTCTCCTTTTTTATTTTCTCTCCTGTATACACCTGCGACATACTATGTCCAGCTCTGATATCTCTCTCGTCGCGGTTTGGCCTGACCAGCGCCAATTCATCATCGTGGATCGCATGGCATATCACGAGCTACCTAACCGTACAGTAATGTGGCTTCGCTTCGTTGGCACCTGGATTCTCGGCAGTATCTTCAGTCCGTCCAGTTTCAGGTTATTCAACACACTGCATGCGAATGACCCTTGTGGAGAGGTTGAGAGCAATGGATCAGCCGCCATCATCCCTTGTGTTCCAGGAGAGGATCGTTTCTTTTATCTACATGTCGAGGGTGAGCTGTGCTTTTTCATCGCCGCTGTCCTAGCTGATTGTCTGTAATCAAGCTTGGGTTCCATATCCAAAATTTGCGGATGATACCGGTGATGATGCTCTCGTGGCAGTGGGTGTAAACGCTCTTGGTGTTCTGAGTCTTCGTTTATATTGGCACTTCTAGGATTCCGAGTCTGACTCTAGCTCTGATGAAGCTGAAGAAGCGGACGTCCTACACACTCCCAATTTGCCGAGTTCCCAATGGCTGCCAGGAGGGTTACTAGAGGGCGATGATTTAGATGAACTCGAGAGCAGCGCGGTTGCGACAATAAGTCTAGAGAGCCAATTGCGGAAATTTTCTGTAGCATAAAACTATAGCTATCTATCTACTTATTGTACATGCGGGATCAGTCTTTTATAATCCCGACATATGCACTGCTGAGTGCTCGGTCTTTGTCGTATATATTAGGTTAACGCGAACTTCCGTGATCCGATTAATATCATCGGCCCGGCGCTCGTAATCATTCATATGATCCATAAGTACATAAATCTCACACTCAATGCCTTTTGAGGATCCCAGTTTTCTTCATGTTGGCTAGCGCTGCGGTCCTACGTGCTAGGATCACATCTACGATGCGTAATGTCTCTACACATAGCGGCAAAGGCATCTCTGCGGTGTTGCAGAAGAACCCAGATGATGTGGTCATTACCTTTGCAAAGCGTACCGCGATGGGGAGGAATAGAAAGGGTCAATTCAAGGATATTCCAGTGGATGAAATGATGCAAGCTCTGCTCAAGGTTGACAGGTTGTTTGTGGATTATCTACAGTAACTCATAAAACCTTTGAAATCTCAGGCGACCTTTGAGAAGACAAAGCTGGACCCCGCGAAACTTGACGACATTTGTGTTGGTAAGTGGAAGCCATACCCTGCTATGTATTTCTGTTGAACTCTCTGCAGGCACATGCCATCCTCCTTCTCCAATGTACTCCTCGCGGGCTGCTGCTCTCGCATCCGGCATTCCTCATGATGTTCCTATCTCGACAGTGAACAGGCTATGTGCATCCGGGCTTATGGCCATCCGAAACATTGCCCATGCTATTCAGTCAGGGGAGATATCTATGGGAATGGCAATTGGAGTGGAGAATATGACACTGAAGCGAGTCTCCAATAGTCCATGGTACACTAATGTTAATCTTCGCGCAGCCCTCGTCCTACGCCTATTATTGCTGAATCTGTGGACAAAATTCCCCGTGCTCACGACTGCATCCAAGTGTGTCTGGCGAGCTATATCGATCAAATACTGATTTATCTGTAGCCTATGGGTTGGACGTCTGAGATGGTTGCTCAAACCTACAAAGTCTCGCGACAGAAGCAAGATGAATATGCCCTCATATCACATACTCGCGCAAACAAGGTCTGTACGTCCAAAATTCTCCATGTTGCATCTTAATCGTGAGAACAGGCGATGACCACCGGTATCTTCGCTGAGGAGATTATCCCGGTCGAAATCCGAGGGACTGTGATATCTGTTGACGACACAATCCGGCCTGGCGTGACGACGGAGATGCTGTCTGGGCTAAAGCCTGTGTTCCAAGATTGGGGCAATGCAGCTACCACTGCTGGAAACGCCAGTGGCATTGGCGATGGTGCCGCGTTATGCATTCTCACGACAAGAGAGCGCGCAGAGAAGGAAAACATGGAAATTCTCGGGAAATGGATTGGAAGTGCAGTCGTCGGTCTGTTATTTGTTGTGCGTGTTTGAGGATCTGTTGAACTGTTACTGGTGAAGGTGTCGAGCCCCGCTACATGGGTATTGGTCCCATCGCCGCTATCCCTAAGGTCCTCACGCAAGTTGGTCTCACTAAGGATGATATCGACATCTATGAGGTCAAGCACTGTCTTCTATGTTCTTTCTGTTTGTGGCTTAACGGCTCTCGCATAGATCAATGAAGCATTCGCTTCGCAATTTGCATACTGTGTCGAGGAACTTGGCATTTCCATGGACAAAATCAACCCGAAGTAGGTCATTCCAGTTGGAGTACTTCTGTTCTGATACTTGGTCGGCAGTGGTGGGGCAATAGCCGTGACGCACCCTTTGGGAATGAGTGAGTCTCATCGTTGTCTTGAAGTTTCGATAATTCATCTACAAATTATTAGCTGGCCTTCGTCAAGTTGTCACCGGTCTTACAGAACTCCGTCGGAGAGACAAACAGTTGTTGTGTACAAGTATGTGCGTCGGCAGTGGCATGGGTGCGGCAGGTATCTTCGTGAACGAGGCACAACCATTTCGTGAAGCGAAGTTATAGTTTTCGAATTGCTTGTATCTCATCGAGGTGTAGGTGTATTGTACATATTCATCACTGCTTTCTCGAACAAGTCCCGGATGGTATATCTCGAATTTATTTGGCCGCCGCCAGCGCCGCATCCACAATTTCTGTCATTTTTATAACTGCCTCTTCCTCCAGAGTCCGACCGACAAGTTGCAAACAAACAGGAGCGTTCTTGAATTTCTCTGGGTCATCTAAATCAATCGTTGGCATCAGACATCACTGATCAACTAGGGGTCATTCAGTGCTGGCGCTACTCACACATTTCGTAAATGTCCTGATCGAACTGGTCATAGAATCTATGAGGAAGGTCCTTCTCATCGCGAGCATCGAGAGTGGGGTCGACAGTAGTCACAGGAAAGACCGTAGCGGGATAGTCGAGCACATTCCAAACGGTAGTATAGTTGGTGTACCTGTGTATCATCTCATTGAAAATTCGAGACCCCGAAATTACAAAGATACTCACCTATTCTTCCCATGGGGTGGTGCAGCAAACGGTGCGGCTGGACAAATGATAGCATCGACAGCCCGCCCTGTGCCGGTCTCAGAGGCAGTTGCGTTCCAGTGGTCCATATATTCTTTCCGGATATTCTGACGCAGTTTCTGCACTTGCCAGAGCTGATATGCAGTGATACCACTATTTTGAGGACGGAAGGATGCCGTAGTGTCTTGGTCCAGTTCCATCGTTGCAATTATCGGCTACCCTGTCACAGAGGTTGTGATCAAAAAGTCCTCGGCGGAACCGGCGTTCCAGATGTCCCACTGCACGGTATTCATTGGTCAATAGATTGGCGAAGTGAAAGACACATCTGCTCACCGCAATTTCTCCAAGCAATTTGTGTTGGATGGGTTTCCAGTCAACAACTGCCCACTCAATGAGTACAACTCGGTAGGGGAACAGACGAGAAAAACCTTTGTGCCCAGCCTTCTGGAGAGCCGCTTTGGTCATTTCCAGAGACCTCCTGATAGGTGGGTGGGGAACAACAACGCCGTCATCCCACATGATCGCAAAACACAAATCCTTGCCAGATCCATGGTCCGCGAGTTCGTACTCGTCTTCATCCCATTTCTTTCGAACCGCAAGAGGGTCCTTGAGCCATGGTTTGGAGTCAACGACAGCTTTCATGAAGACTTTGAGTCCGGATAGACTGTTTGTCATAGGACCGAATACGGAGAGAATCGAGTCTTGGCCCTCAAGTGAGTTGCGGGCACCGCAGTACGGTACACGCCCGTATGACGGCCTCAGGCCGTATATGCCGCAGAATGCAGAGGGAATACGAACAGAGCTGTCGGGAGGTTACTACCAGTGATACTTCCAAAATTTTGTCATACCCTCCGATATCAGAACCGACTCCCAATGGGCTTCCTTTGAGGGCAATCAATGCACCCTCTCCTCCTGACGACCCACCTGGGGTCAGGGAGACGTTGTGTGGGTTAGTTGTCCGACCGAAGACACTGTTGAAGGATTCTGGCCACTAAAATTACTTTGAGCACACGAGTAGGATTCATTTTCAGGGTGAGCTCACCATAAGTGCCTGTGGAATGTTGGTGCGGACAAATGGCACGGCTCCGCACTCGATCAGAACGTCGACCAACACTGCATTTTTCTCTGCATACTGCCCAATCCACGAGACATAACCTAAAAACCCAGCGAATCACAACGCGTTAGGTCTAGACCGGGATTGTGACTTACCCATAGTGGTTTCTAGTCCTTCGATACATAGTTGGTCCTTTAGAGAGATTGGCAGCCCGTGAAGGGGACCAACAACCTTCCCGGTCTTCTTCAAGTAATCATCAAGTTCAGCCGCTCGGGCCAATGCGCGATCAATAAAGATTTCCGTCAAGCAATTGACCTTGGCGGCCAGTTAATGCCACATCATCGAGCAAATGCCTGGCAACTTGGCTTACAAGCTGATGGGCAACAATGGCCCTCTTGGAGAACGCGGTGGTGATGTCTACAGCTGTCCATTCTGCACTTGCAAGTCTCTTCAATAAGACATCCACCGAAGTATTGGTGATCTCAATTTCTCGAGCACTCAAAAGGCCACAGGACTCTGGAAAACCAGTCACATCTAAGGTAGAAAGTGGAGGCGGGGTGACAAGCCATTCCTGTGGAATAGACTTGAGCTGCCTCTGTTTCTTCTCTGCGACCAAAGTAGTCCAATGCGGCATATGGATGGCGTTGGGGACGAGAGTGAACGATGAAGTTCAGACCTAAAAGAACACCTCAAGAGTAGATAAGACATACAGGCAGCGGATAAAGGAAGTCCGTGGCTAATCTTAACAGCGAGATAAGACCGTAAGAATGATTGGCTTGAGGGTCAGATGGGTGCAGAGCGCGCGGAGAAGGAAAACATGGAAATTCTCGGGAAATGGGTTGGAAGCGCAGTCGTCGGTCTGTTATTTGTTGTGTGTCTGAGGATCTGTTGAACCGTTACTGGTGAAGGCATCGAGCCCCGCTACATGGGCATTGGCCCCATCGCTGCTATCCCTAAGGTCCTCACGCAAGTTGGTCTCTAAGGATGATATTTTGATACAACTTCGAGCACTTCTCCCCAGATTTTTTTCGATCACAGTCAGCTCGACGGCCGACCAACGTACAGCGTCAACTGTTACCTGGTTGAACTCTGCTCTCCGCAATTGTCAGAAAAACGCTACCCTTTTATGTGGGAACGACGAATTTTCCAGGTAGGCTACGAAGCTGTCCTATGTTCGGCATACCATCTTCTGCTTGGATTATCCTGCTAACAAATAGTGAAACCCAAGCGAACAAAGCAAAATGCTAGTTCGTAACGGTGAGGGCAAATTCGCCAACTGGCATTGGTGCAAAGTCCTTTCATCATGTGGCAATCTGTAATTTGATATGTCCAGTGCGCCGACAGTCCATTCAGTCAATTTTGACGTAGAACTGGTACCCCAGACATGCCAAATGTCCATAGATTGTGTCCAGCTGGTCGCTGGCTGATGGTAGTAAATATATGTAGATATGGTCCTGGCCAGTCCTGATTCTTCTCGTGTGTGTCTTAGTGTAGCAGCAGGTCTGGCCAGAAATCTTAGACATCAGAACACTGGCCAGACCTGATGTTACATGCATCATGGTGTATGTACATCAGAAAACGAGATAGCTGGAGCGCAAGAATATATCAGGCCAAGTCATTTGTACAACATGATGAAAGAGGATCGCAAGTCAACAACTTGTAAATATGTATCGCATGATAGCAATACGACGTAGAACTACACACCAATATGAACGAAAACCACCCTCTGCTCCAGCGGCACTGCCGTCTTCACGGCGTGCGTTGTACGATTGAGTGCCCAGGCCGCCTTCGTACAGTCCATCACACCTCCATCCTTCAAATCTAGGAACATAGTATTCTCGTAGAAGGCTTTGACGACATGTTGTGCGACAGAATCGTCGACCTGCCACAGCGTGCCAATGACGCTCTTGAACCCCGAAAACTGAAGACCAGCTGCGAGGTGAATCACTTCGTCCGGAGTCTCCTCATCTCCGACGGCGGTATGACACGCTGATAAGAACGCGAATTCGGCGTGCAGAATATCTCTCTCCGTGATATTGAGCAGCGTTAGATTTTCGTCTCATGACGAAATGCGAATTGTAAGGCTGCTTTGGGTCCTGCTTGCCATGACAAGCTAGGTCCACCCAGGTGTTCTCTTGCAAAGCTTCGAGCGCACCTGCTCGTGTGGCTGCGTCGCCAGATATACTAGTGTGTTTGGCCGTCGCATGGACGAGCTTATGGACAAGCTCGAGCTCGCTGTCGACAGCCAAGAGCGCCTTGCCTTTCCCTGCACCCGGTTGACCTTGTCCGATTGCCACGAAGGATGGAGTGACACGCTTCTTGATTATCTGTCTAGACCTTACCAAAGCCGAAAGTGTGGGCGTGTATAGAGATCCTCCAGGCATAGCTCCCTAGAGCCATCTGGGTTGGTTCGAAACGGGTGAGCTGCGTGGAGAGGAATAGATGTGAAGGCTGCAGTTGGACACAGCCAGATTCGACAGTATTTTAGTTTCAGATCATGCCAGAGGACGTTGACGATGGGTAGCATGATCTCGTCCCATACTGTCCGCAAAAAGACTATTAGATCGTTTCGCGGCACTTTTGGGCCCAGGGCAGATGCGTGTCGTATTGCCCTGGCGACGCGGTCCTTGAGGTTCGTCAGATCTGCAAGAGTGACAGACGGCAAGGGAACGTGATGGGGGTCTCCTGACGTCGGAGCGATGATGGCGCTGCATGAGTATTTGCTAGCAATGAGGATGATGACCGGGCCCCGGCGGGCTGCCGCTTGCAGGTCTGCATACAGAGGTGGGAGCAGGAACCGCGAGAACTCCCGAAGATCACGTATTTCAGCAACCGCAGCTTCCCATTGCCTTGTGAGTCTCCTGTATTCCATTGCTGCCAGATCAGCAGCAGCTCTGTCGGTGATTGTCGCAGAACTCTGGGCCGCACTGGAAACGAGTTTGCTCAGCTCCAAATAGTTGTGCGCCAGTGTCGGATTCGCTGACTCAAGAACTTCAACTGGAGTCCTGAGTCGGGAAGCCAGCGACCATTGCTGGCCACGGCCCTGCTCCACAAGTTCGACTGCATGTGGTAGATTGTCACAGCGGATGGCACATGATGCTGTATCTGCTAGGAGTGTTCTGGCGTCATGGAAGGCAGCAGCAGCTTCGCGCCGTGAAGTTGCCGAAGACCGTGTGGCCAAATGAGCATCCAGCGCGGATCCATGCTGCTCCGCTGCAACGGTCCAATTAGATGTGATAATGATGCGTCGTGGGAATCCTTGAGTAGAATGTCTTGACGCGAGCCTGGAGTTCTCTATTGCAAGCGACAAATCAGCACCATCGTGTAGAATTCGGTAACGAGACAAATAGGCCTCCTTCAGGGACATGTAGCTGAAGTACCTGTCCGGGTGCAGTGAAGACAGAGCCGCCAATGATTCTTGGCAAAGAATAATGGCCTCCTCGGCATCTTCGTTCTTCTGAGTTTCTGTGAAACGAGAACAGAGCGCCGAGCTCAAACGGTAAAGAGTTCTATGGTGCTTTGGACTGTCAAGCTGCTGTAACCGAAGGTATTCGAAATACCAATCAATGGCCTCGTTAAGATCCTCTCTGACTTGCGATTTGTCATATCTGTTTTGGAGCGCGTGGGCAAGGTTGTGGAGCCTGGTGTAACGACGTCGATTCCCAGGTGGGCATAATGTCAGTACCTCGCGACGGAAGATGATAGCTCGGGTCATGTCTTCAATATCGCCACGTTTGTTGAACCGGTAGACGAGGGCTCTCCCTAGGTTGTCCAGTGAGCTATCACGAGATTCGTGCCCAACAGGGCACAGGTGCGGTGCTTCCTCATACAAAGAGATGGCCTCTTCAAGGTCATTAGGATTACCTTGGTGCTCAAAGCGGGATAGAATGACAAGGCCAAGTCGTTCAGGAAGGCGTCACAGCCAGCATGTTTGTTGGTAGTGAGGATGCTCGTCTCTAGATGGTCCCGAGCTCCTGGACCTTCTCTCTAACAAGACAATCAAGATAAAGACTCAAAATCAGTGGCGAACACCTAGGCCATCTTCAGAGGTAACTGATGGTGGTCACGTAGCCTGGAAGTTTAGCTTTTCTCAAACTCTGTAGCACAAAAATCACGATATGGTTGGTGTCAATAACTAGTGTGACTAGCCTGGGGATACCCTTAGTACTGACAAACATGTCCAAAACTCGGCGGGGAGTTTTAAATTCACGGAACACTAGTATGTACATATTCATAACTGCTTTCTCGAACAAGTCAACGGTATATCTCGAACTTATTTGGCCGCCGCCAGCGCCGCATCCACAATTTCTGTCATTTTTATAACTGCCTCTTCCTCCAGAGTCCGACCGACAAGTTGCAAACAAACAGGAGCGTTCTTGAATTTCTCTGGGTCATCTAAATCAATCGTTGGCATCAGACATCACTGATCAACTAGGGGTCATTCAGTGCTGGCGCTACTCACACATTTCGTAAATGTCCTGATCGAACTGGTCATAGAATCTATGAGGAGGGTCCTTCTCATCGCGAGCATCGAGAGTGGGGTCGACAGTAGTCACAGGGAAAACCGTAGCGGGATAGTCGAGTGCATTCCAAACGGTAGTATAGTTGGTGGACCTGTGCACCGTCTCATTGAAAGTTCGAGACCCCGAAATTACAAAGATACTCACCTATTCTTCCCATGGGGAGGTGCAACATACGGTGCGGCTGGACAAATGATAGCATCGACAGCCCGCCCTGTGCCGGTCTCAGAAGCAGTTGCGTTCCAGTGGTCCATATATTCTTTCCGGATATCCTGACGCAGTTTCTGCACTTGCCAGAGCTGATATGCAGTGATACCACCATTTCGAGGACGGAAGGATGCCGCCGTAGCATCTGCGTGGTCCAGTTCCATCGTTGCAATTATCGGCTCCCCTGTCACAGAGGTTGTGATCATATAAGTCCTCGGCGGAACCGGCATTCCAGATGTCCCGCTGCACGGTGTTAATTAGTCAATAGATTGGTGAAGTAAAAGACATATCTGCTTACCGTAACTTCTCCAAGCAATTTGTGCTTGATGGGTTTCCAGTCAACAACTGCCACTCAATGAGTATAACTCGGCAGGGGAATTAGACGAGAAAAACCTTTGTGCCCAGCCTTCTGGAGAGCCGCTTTGGTCATTTCCAGAGACCTCCTGATAGGTGGGTGGGGAACAACAACGCCGTCATCCCACATGATCGCAAAACACAAATCCTTGCCAGATCCATGGTCCGCGAGTTCGTACTCGTCCTTCATTCCATTTCTTTCGAACCGCAAGAGGGTCCTTGAGCCATGGTTTGGAGTCAACGACAGCTTTCATGAAGACTTTGAGTCCGGATAGACTGTTTGTCATAGGACCGAATACGGAGAGAATCGAGTCTTGGCCCTCAAGTGAGTTGCGGGCACCGCAGTACGGTACACGCCCGTATGACGGCCTCAGGCCGTATATGCCGCAGAATGCAGAGGGAATACGAACAGAGCTGTCGGGAGGTTACTACCAGTGATACTTCCAAAATTTTGTCATACCCTCCGATATCAGAACCGACTCCCAATGGGCTTCCTTTGAGGGCAATCAATGCACCCTCTCCTCCTGACGACCCACCTGAGGTCAGGGAGACGTTGTGTGGGTTAGTTGTCCGACCGAAGACACTGTTGAAGGATTCTGGCCACTAAAATTACTTTGAGCACACGAGTAGGATTCATTTTCAGGGTGCGCTCACCATAAGTGTCTGTGGAATGTTGGTGCGGAACAAATGGCACAGCTCCGCACTCGATCAGAATGTCGACCAACACTGCGTTTTTCTCTGCATACTGCCCAATCCACGAGACATAACCTGAAAACCCAGCGAATCACAACGCGTTAGGTCTAGACCGGGATTGTGACTTACCCATAGTGGTTTCCAGTCCTTTGATACATAGTTGGTCCTTTAGAGAGACGGGCAGTCCGTGAAGGGGACCAACAACCTTCCCGGTCTTCTTCAAGTAATCATCAAGTTCAGCCGCTCGGGCCAATGCGCGATCAATAAAGATTTCCGTCAAGCAGTTGACCTTGGCGGCCAGTTAACGCCACATCATCGAGCAAATGCCTGGCAACTTGGCTTACAAGCTGATGAGCAACAATGGCCCTCTTGGAGAACGCGGTGGTGACGTCTACAGCTGTCCATTCTGCACTTGCAAGTCTCTTCAATAAGACATCCACCGAAGTATTGGTGATCTCAATTTCTCGAGCATTCAAGAGACCACAGGACTCTGGAAAACCAGTCACATCTAAGGTAGAAAGTGGAGGCGGGGTGACAAGCCATTCCTGTGGAATGGACTTGAGCTGCCTCTGTTTCTTCTCTGCGGCTAAAGCAGTCCAATGCGGCATATGGATGGCGTTGGGGACGAGAGTGAACGATGAAGTTCAGACCTAAAAGAACATCTTAGAGTAGATAAGACATACAGGTAGCGGGTAAAGGAATTCCGTGGCTAATCTTAACAGCGAGATAAGACCGTAAGAATGATTGGCTTGAGGGTCAAATGCGTGCACGAAAGAGAAGATCTGGTCATGTGGATTCATCATATAACTATGTACAGAGACAATCGATCAAAACGTGTATGGTTCTGTCAAATAATGAAGGCCCGGCCTAACGGAAGAATCGTCAGCTGAAAGCTCAACTAAAAACAAAACAAAAGAATCATGATCAGAAAGTCATTGATGTCAGTGATACACGTCCGCCGTGTTATGGGCTCGCGTGCATCAAGTCGACTAAGAGGTGCCAGTGGTGGTTGATATACAACGCTCGTCATTGAATTGAAAGCCTTATGTGAAGGGGTAAGAAACATGGAAATATTACTCACCGCCAGCTGTACGCTGTCCCAGGCAGGAGCGTTTAAAAATTGAAGTTGTATTTTCAGCACAATTTATCAAATGGGCTTTAGGCGGCGATTAAATATTATTCGGCAAGCAGTACCCGCCGCAACGTGCAGCGCGACAACACGTACGGCGTCGAAGGCTAAATTTCATCAAGGTTCGTCCAATTTCTTGCAGTCAATGTGTCCATAGCCTGTTTGCGTGGTATCGCAGAAGATCGGAGCCGGCAATGGCATTGATGGGATGGATGACAATTCTGGGATTTGGATGATGACAGTGTCTTATCTATCCGTCTTTGCAGACATTCCCCCATCCCCAATATGTCCGCTCAAATCAGCAAAAAGCGCAAGTTCGTAGCTGACGGTGTATTCCGTGCTGAACTCAACGAATTCTTCACTCGCGAACTCGCTGAGGAGGGTTACTCTGGATGTGATGTCCGTGTCACCCACGCCCGCACCGAGGTACGCTAGTGTGCGCTGAACAGCCTTGCCATCTTGCAAATGCATTACTTTCAGATTATCATCCGTGCCACACACACCCAGGAGGTCCTTGGTGAGAAGGGCCGTCGCATCAGGGAGTTGACTGCACTCGTCCAGAAGCGTTTCAAGTTCCCCGAAAACTCTCTTGAGCTTTACGCCGAGAAAGTGCAATACCGCGGTCTTTCCGCTATTGCTCAATGTGAGAGCTTGAGATACAAGCTCCTTGGTGGTCTTGCTGTCCGCAGGTCCGTGTTTCTACCAATCACAATGCGTCGTTTCTGATCATGTCCATGTCTCCAGGGCATGCTATGGTGTCCTTCGCTTCGTCATGGAATCTGGTGCAAAGGGTTGCGAGGTGGTTGTCTCCGGCAAGCTTCGTGCTGCTCGTGCCAAGTCGATGAAGTTCACCGATGGATTCATGATCCACTCCGGTCAGCCCTCGCGAGACTTCGTTGACTATGCTGTGAGACACGTTCTGCTTCGCCAGGGTGTCCTTGGTATCAAGGTTAAAATGTAAGCTGATCGATGTATTTGAGGACATATGGCTCATCATACAACAGCATGAAGGGCTATGACCCCGAAGGCCAATTGGGCCCTCGCAAGCCCCTTCCCGACTCTGTCCAGATTCTCGAGCCTCCTCTCGACAAAATTGTCTCGGAACCTTCTTCAGAGTCAAGAGAACCTGCCGTTGTTTCCGCTCCACCCCCAGCTGCAGAGGAACCGGTTGCGTATGCACAGGAGCCAGCCTACCAGCAGGAGGCATATGGCGAGCAGCCTGCATTCTGATCTTGTCTTTGTTTATATCTCATCCACAAAATATGTACTTGATCGTTGCAACGCATTAGGATTTGCATAGTACTGTAAGATCCCATCTGATGAACGATGTGCTACTTCCCTAATACGTGGGTCACGCTGCTTCCTGCCGAACCGCTGCTAGGTAGTGTGAAATGTATAATAAGGGTGTTCTGAAGACACCACCCTTTCGGTTTAACTCCATCTCCAGCGGTCATTTCTATAGTGAGTTCAGAGAGTGTCTGCGATGGATCCGAGACTGTCACATTGCCAGATTCTACCCGATAAAGAATGGCGGCGTTTGCACTGGCTGTGACGGTGATCGGTGCGTAGCCATCCAGCTGGAAGGTGAAGGAACCTCCAGAGGGGCTCCAAAGTACTGCTGTTACTGTTCGATGGACTTTATCGAGCAACGCACTAATACTTGCGCTATTCTCAATTTCTTGCAACCGGGTGGCCGCCCGCTTGAGCATGAAGGTGCCATAATCAACCGCAGGATAAGATGTATAGGAGACGGGGGCGGATAGATTGTTATGATAGAGCCATGCGGCGAAGAGTTCGACCGTCTCGGGAGGCTGCGTGGAGCTTCCAATGTTTGACCAGGCACCCGTGCGGTTACCCCATTCAACGGAGAGTCCATATGTCCCATTGGCAGCTGGAAACTCATAACCAACTTGGCCATGCCACATGGTTTGTGGATTTGTGTAGTTGCCACCAAAAGTCCCTGCTCCATTGACCCAAACACCGCCTCCAAAGCGTCGTTGGTCAAGAACTGAAAACACGGGGGCTGCAGTGACAGACGAAATGTTGGCAATCATGACATGTTGAATGTCGGTCTCCAGGAAAAACCATGTCTTTTGCCAGGATATCGAACCACTCTCAGGGTTGATGTAGCGCATTGCTGCGGCGCCAATTTGACCATCCGTGACGCCACCGACAAAAGCTTCTTGACCGGTATATGAAGTATGGTTACAATCGAGTACTGTAGCGTTATAGTCCACGGTAATTCCAGGGATAAGGTTCCAGTCCCAGGCGGCAGCGATGTCTTCATATTCATTGCCTTGAAGGTAAGTGTAAACAGTACCATCAGAGAGGTGGAAGCCCCAAGGCTGATATGTCGTTAGTGCTGCTTACACGGCGTAGGAGGCGACACCATACATTTTGAGAGTTGAGACATTCTGTGTTGACTGTCCTATTGGAGTACATTCTCAATGTGGTCACATAACCTGGACCGCGAGTTACCTAGGGGCGCGGGTCAACGGATGGGGCGGACAAAAAAAAAAGAACTCGCCATGTAGTCATTTGCGAAAAACATACGATTCCCGTGGAGCTCACCCACATTTGCATCGGTTGCGTTGGCAGATACAGTCAGAGAAAACTCAAGGAGAACGGTAGAGTTCCATTCCTCTCCGAGTTGCTGAACTTCTGAAATATTCATATTGATGCTACCGGTAGCCCTAAAACAGCGTTAACAAGAACATAGCCAGCAAGCGTCATGATAGCCTCACTGCTCGTCAATCACCGGGAAACTGATAAAACGACCCAAGACGCTCTAGGCAGCGTCAGAAAACATTGAACCGCAGGAACCCTAACTCACAAAATCCCAATGCGATACCTGCAAGATGATCGATCATAGGTAATATGACAGTAAACTGTTGACAAACATTGGTCTGAACGTTGCGGAAAATCATCCACCGATTTCCGTCGAATAGAGTTTCAAGTGCAGTTCTGGAAGTTGCGTTAGCGGCAAATTGCGTTCCTGCAGCCTCAGTTTCCAAATCAAGAACATCATTCGAGCTGGCGCGATTCAGATGGAGACTTCTTTCAAAATACAGGGATGACATACAAGTCTTTCCCATAATTGCCGTTATAGATGATCCCAAGGTGTTGACCGAAAGATCCGTCGGGACGAATCTGTTTGACAACTGACTATTAGTTCGCCAACTTCAGGACAATGATGGGCTTACCCCATCAGATCCAACAGGCTGTTCGATAACCACAGTCTCATGGATTCTCGTGAAGGCATCTACGATCATGGAGATATTGACAACCAGAAGACCTTCATCGATGCCAATTTTCGCAAGGTCTAATGCATTCGAACCAGTAATATAACCTATACCATTGACATAGTGGTCGAACGTGCCATATGCACGGAGGGTGATGTGAGTACAATTGCCAAGCTGAGTAGGTGTTAATGTGTTATTCAGCAGGAGGCAGGATTGTGACACAAATTCAGGGATTAAGATAACCTAAACCAGGTGTCAGAAGAAATTGATACGATTAAAGAAATAGCTGCGATCCTACATTGGAGAACCAGTTGGTGTTCCAAAATCCCGGCGTGCCACAGGGGCAGGTTGGAGTGCCTCCATAATCTAGACATGCAGGGTTGGTAAAATCATTAGCGAACCAATAGTCCATGGCAAGCGATATGGCGGCCAAGGTCTTCGAATCATTGACGTATTGCTGCCCCCCGCTAAGACCGCCATGCCAAGCAGCAGCCATGGTACCTGTCAAGAGCAAGTCAATGTGTCAATTCGTGGGCCAATGTAAATCCTCACTGATGCGTTGCCAGTGCAATTGAGCAGGCCAGTTGGACCTTACTGCATCACATCCGGAAGTGTAATCCACTTCAGAACTAGGCCACCGACCATTGGCTCCCAGGTCTGCAATCCTGCAATGTGATTGTAACCAGGTGTTACATACAAAATAACGACTAACCAGGATGTGATATTCTCAGGGCTCAGAGTGATTTCCTCTGTAATTGTTACCAGCCTGCGCTGATGAATGGTGTTGATGTCCTGCGTGATAGTGGTGCCCGCAGCCAGCGTGGGAGATGATACGGGTGGTGTGCTAGTACTGGGCGCAACTGAGCTGTTGAAAGAGGAGTTGAATATGTACGGTCAGCAACGTATATTGGGCTCAACCGTACCTCGGAAACCCGTCATATCGACCTCTATTGTGGTGAGCGGCAGCAATGTTGATATGGTCTGGAATGTGAAGGTCGGTCGCATAACTGCAGACCACACGAAACAGTAATATTAAAAGAAACGTGAGCATGAGCCCGACAATACTACCCAGCTGCAGGAAAAATTCGAGTTGGTTGACTCAGTGGGATTCGAGAAGAAGTCCCCATTCTTTATATGGTCTGGGCCAGTGTAACGCGGAGACTAGAAGCAATCATCGGATCAAATGTTAGAATCGTGACGGCGCCGGCGACAGCCCCGGACTCGCTTATTCCTAGATTGGACATTAGTCTTTTTTTTATGATTCATTTTGCATTTGCAAATGAATCGCATACTGACCTTGGACGTGACAGAACAGATAGGTTCTTTCATCTTGAACATCCATCGATGCACTCAATGAATGAATCTTGCGAAAGATGCATATCAAATTTGATTCCCTCTGATAGATTAACTAGTACATGATATACCTCACCTACTAGATGAGTTCACCAAGGGCACGGGTAGCAACTTCCATTATGGATACAGCAATAGCGAACAACTATGGATAAGTATACATCTTGGATAGAGCACGGAAAGGAAGACTTCTATGTCCATGTAAAGGTAATAAACTTCTTCATCATCACTTCGTAGCAAGAACGTGAAACTTAGCCAATGAAACAACGACAGGAATGGCAAAGAATGCATAAGCCACCCAAATCACTACCAGACTTGATTAGAACTGAACTTGAGAATCGAATGTACAGTCACTCACTCGTGAATGCGTTGCCAATAGTGGCAATCAGTTGGGGACCATTGCTTCCTTGACCCTGGATACTTTGATTGAAGTCATCGGCGGCCTTCCCAAACCACATAAAAATGATGAGAGTAGATCCGAGACCTAAAGCCCCAGATCAGCCCCAGCAATGTGTACTTCGAAATAGATGCATACCAATCAAGAACGCAAAAATCCCAATCCATGCGGAGACTCGCTGCACCATGGGTTTTTCCCAAACAGCACCAGCTTTACCCATCAAGTGACGGAATGATATTGCCGTGAACATGACGAAGAAAGTCACGGAGAATACAAGGGAGATTGCGATGAAAGTTGGTGCACCTGCAGGTGGGGCCGATATGACGGAACTGGGGGTGTTAGATGTAAACACCGAAGTGTCTTAATTTCATGTGAGCATGACTGATATTGGCAACTAGATAGCTTTAACTTACTATAGATGGGAGATATGGAAGATGGCATACACGTCAGACCAGCTTCGTTGTTTGGTCGAGAGCACGATCCTAGAGGTCCAAGGAAAATGCTGGGACCATCCACTGCTTTGGTAGATCCGGGCTGCGTCAAGGTAGAGGAAGGTGTCACTGTAAGCAATGCGACTTGGCTATGTAACATGACAGTCGGGGCAAGGTACGAAAACAACGAGAGTAGGAGTGCCGTGAGCATGAGCACAGGGGTGAAGTACAGGATGGTGCCTTTTGAAATGTCGGCTAGCATGGTTGAAGCAGTTGCGTAAAAGTATTGAGCTGAAAAAAATGAATGTAGCGAGAGCCTGCTCGAATGTCGCGGGACCGTGCGCGATAGAAACTAGGTGGACCGATGAGAGAAGGGGATTGAAACGTACTTTCCATAGTTTGGGATCGATCTTATGTACCGTAGCACGTATCATACGTCGATTCGGTAGCCTGTAGGACAAAGTGCAAGAACAAAGAAATCGCGCTCAGTGCAACGCAATTATAAATTGTTGCCTAGGCATTTGCCTTTTGTTATGTGACTCGGATATAGAGCGAGGAATGGAAGCCCATCGTCGAAAGGTCGAGACCGAATATCGTTCGCATATGGAGAAATCATCCGGTCGTATTCGTGCGTCTATCGAACAAATAATCACAAATAGACGGCGTCTGTCAGAAACTCAGAAATTTCACCGATCGCACAAGTCCAGTGCAGACCTGGTCTGCTGGTGCATGCAATGGAAATCGAATCACAGGTCATTCTGCCGAGAGAGCTCGATGATCTCTCGTCTTTCATTCAAGAAAAGCCCGAATCATTGGCAACTGCCACTGCTGAGCTACAAGCCATAGCTCTCCGCGCAACCAAATTCATATTCGATCTTGGTGAGCAGACCAAACCCAATTCAATATCCGCACATGATGCAGCCGGGCTGAGTAGTTCATAGCTTTGCGGTCGGAACCTGCATCTCTGCCTCATATTGAGAACCTTCTGTCTTCACTCAAACAGTCTCAAGCACCACAGACGAGATCACAGACTCGCGCTAATGCCAAACGGAAGAGGAGTCCAAGTCCTGTACTGGAATTCCCGAAGAAGGTCACTATAAAAAATACACCACTGCCCTCACTTTTTATCGAGGATATGAATGAAGATCAAATTTGGCAGCAGCTGGACCTTAGGGCTGCACCTCTTTGCAGTAATCTTCTGCTGCTAGAGGGCGAGACTGAAGATGACATGGAATTACCAGACGGGATGTATGACGATCAGGAGGACGAGGAAGGTGACGAGGTATTAGAAGAAAGCGAAGATTCTGAAGAAATAGAGCACACGGACGATTCTGAAGAAGACACTGGTGGGTCAGAAGAAATGACTGACCTTCGCGAGGAGCTGTCCGAAGACGAGGAGGACGATTCAGATCATCATCCATCTCTTCTTGACGTCGTCAAAGTAAAACCCTCTGTAAAACGTGCAGTCGCAAAGAGACCCAAATCAGACCTTGACGACGATTTCTTCAGTCTGGACGCATTCAATCGTGAAACGGAAGAGGCCGAAGCAACTGCTGTTTCCCGTGGTCAACTACGACGAGAATCGGATGACGATGACGATGAAGGTGACAGTATTGATCTCTTCAGGCCAATAGATGACGTCTATGACTCTAATGACAATGCTTCGGAAGACGGCGCAGGTATGCAATCTTGTACTCTTTTTGTCACGCGTAACTCACATAACACGCAGAACCGCTCTACCAAGATTTCTTCGATGCTCCCAGGGGCTCTGGCTCGAAAGCTATTACGAATACTTCTTCCTCGAAGGAAGTGCGATTTAGTGAGCAGGTCAGAGTGAAGAGTATCAAGGCAAAGGGCAAGGGCCTACCGGTGGCTAGTTTGATGGAGGACGACGATTCCGACGACGAGAGCGGACGGAACATGTACTTAGAAGATCTGGACGAGGTCATGATGGACGCTGAGGTCGAGGAGTCATTTGTAGACGAAGATGAAGATGGAGACGAAGACGAAGACGGAGACGAAGATGAAGATGAAGACGACGATGAAGACGACGAAGGTCGCGCTACCATTGAAAGACTGAAGGACGACTTATTTGCGGAGGAGGATGAACCAGATTCCAGTAAGGCCAGTCATATTCTTGTTGGTATCATTTATTTACAACCTGGCTGCAGATATGACCACTTATGAAAAACGTATGGCAGCACTCCAAGCACAGATCAAGGAGCTCGAGGCGGAGAATGTTGCTAAGAAGGACTGGGTATTGATGGGGGAGGCCACGTCGAGATCTCGACCTCAAGATTCTTTGCTGCAAGAAGATTTAGAGTTTGAACGAACGATGAAAGCGGTGCCCGTCATCACTGAAATTGTGGTTCAAGGTCTGGAAGAGCGAATAAAAGCTCGCATAAAGGATGGCCGATTCGACGATGTCGTGCGGATTCGCGCTATCGACGATAAACCTTTCCTTCCGTCACGATTCTTTGAGCTCCAGGACACCAAATCTTCCCAGTCACTTGCTCAAATCTACGAGGATGAGTACGTCGTCGCACAGAACGGCGGTACGGGAGGTGACGACAGAGACGGTCGGCTCAAGAAGGAGCACGACGAAATTACAAAACTTTGGGATAGCATATGTAGCAAGCTAGATGCACTTTGCAACGCGCATTACACTCCAAAAACGGTACGTATTTTGGACCCTACCATTATGTAGATATGACGCTGAAATTCCGACAGCCGAAAGCTACTATATCGACAGTCTCCAACGTTTCCGCAGCTACTTTAGAATCAGCACTTCCTACTAACAAAACCGTGTCTTCTATGCTTGCTCCAGAAGAGGTTTTCAAAACAGCATCTTCTGATCTCCGCGCCCGTAGCGAACTTACACCCGCAGAAAAGCGAACACTACGTGCGAAAGAAAGAAAGGCAAGGAGGAAGACGCGAGATGCCCTTGACAAGAGCGTTCACAAGTATGCCAAAACGAAATCAGGGAAAACCTCCTCCAAAAAAACGAGTTAATTTTTGGTATGTTCATTGAAATCATATAAGACTAGTTTTCCTAACCCCGGTCGCAGATTACTTCAGATTTCCGGTCAATTTTCAAGGTGTTTTCTTTGAAATTAAACTGGATCCTATTTTACTTCCGGGAGAGCCCAAGCAAAATACACGAACATCGATTATTTTATTGGCATATTTGCACAGTACTACATACGCACGCATATACAAAAACAACTCATCGGGTGGGGAGATGAAAGATCATTCATTCATGTGCAATAGATCGGTACTTGTGGCGCCGACATGTTCTTCGTCGCGTTGATGAATAATGTCGAAAGCAAGAAACATACCTGACTGTTAGAAATCCACATCCAATGACAAACTTGAATTGCGTCTGAAGAAGAGAGGCCATTAGCGGGACCTCCCGGACCGGCAATTTATATTATTAGTTTACGGTTTGGTTACGGTTTGGTCAAGGCGATAGTGACTTGTTCACCTGTGCAGCAGTGCTCGACCTCTGATTCCCTTCCTCATCCGAGTCCACCAATATTATCCTCGCATTTCAAGGAATGTCGTTCTTCAAGCGTAAGGAGAAAAATTTGATTCCTCCCGTCCAGTCAGCAGTTTCCACATCAGATGGTTCGCGAGGTCCATCTCGAAGCACGTCTTCCCTCCCTAGTTACAAGTCCACCGCCAGTACCTACGTTGCCAGCCGCGATGGGCCAGATCCTTATAATGCCATGAGCACCAGGACTCAGTCACAGAATTCGTACGACAACTATGATACTTATAGTGCCACTGCGGGTAAAACTCCTGATGTCGAGGGAGATCGGAACCGCAATGAATTGTTCGCTGGATTCAAACCTCAGGGGAAGACAGGTTCTGGTCGATACTTCGATGGCCCCGCGCTAGGCAAAGAACCCTCTCCTGGGGAGGAGAATGATGAGGATGTAGAAGGCATCAAACAGCAAACCAGATTCATGAAGCAAGAGAGCGTCAACTCTACCAGGAATGCACTGAGGCTTGCTCGGGAAGCGGAAGAGACTGCGGGGAACACCATCGGAAGGCTCGGGGATCAATCTGGTGAGATCCGGCTGAAGTCGTAGTTTCATTCTCATTGATCGTTTCGCGACAGAGAAACTCGCTAACACTGAGCGTCATCTTGATGTTTCAAAGGGTCACACCTTGCGCGCCGAAGATCAGATCGGTGAACTGAAGCAGCTCAATCGGTCAATCTTCCGCCCTGTCATTACTTGGAACAAGGATGCAAAACGCGCCGCTCAGGAAGACAAACTTCAGCAGCGGTATGAAGATGAAAGGCTAGATCGCGAGAAGGCTATGCAAGACATCAGAGATACCCAGAACCGCTTGGGACGTGCTACTACATATGGCCGTCAAGATGAAGAAAGCTTAACATCTGGAGGGTCAGGTAGATTCCGCACTGAGGAACAGCTGGCCACAAGAAAGGAGCAGCGGAAGAGATATCAGTTTGAGGGGGGTGCCTCTGATGACGAGATGGAAGATGAATTGGACGACAACTTGAATGAGATCTCGGCTATCACCAAAAACCTGAAGGCACTGGGTACTGCTATGGGACAGGAGCTCGATCAGCAAAACTCGAGACTTGTTACCATCGAACAAAAGACGACTACCTTGGACAACAACGTGTTCAGGAACACTGAAAGGGTGCGCTGCCATGTTTTCCACGTCACAATATCATTTGTCTGATTTCCGAACAATAGCTCAAACGCATCAAATAGAATGGCTCTTTCTGTTGGGAACAAGATGCTGTCTCTTCTGTATTTAATTCATGGACATTTTTCGTAAATGCTGTAGCGGACCCTATACCTTGTACACGTTATATATTGAGACGCCACCAGGCTGACATTTACATAAAGCCTGAGTGAGGAGGGATTTTGATGCTCCGCCTCTTACGTCGTCTGACCTGCAGGCCTGTTCCTTGGCATAATATTCGGAACTTGCTTTGCGCATCTCTCATGCTGCGCAGCATCTTGCACTGGACTTCTTAGGACAATTGACGAAAAAAGGTAGTCAGCATTCCCAGAGCCAGCGCTATGGAAGAATGCGCGACCTTAAATGACCTTCAGACATGGTGAGAGCCTCCACTTCTGCTGTCACAGAAACCTATTTATGCTAATTTCGTGCCAAGGGAGCGCCTGGTCGAAGAACAGTCAAGTACGTGGCATCTTATTACATGGCAGAGAAGACTAATATCTCAAAAGGCCTCTTTCGTCTTACACTCACTGACAATCAAACGCTACGCATTCGGGTCGACGAACTGGAACGAGAACTATCGGTGTGGAAGCTGGCTTTCAAGGCTGCCGAAGATGAAAAATGCAATCTACAAAAACAAATGCTCAAGTTAGAGAAAAACATTGGCTCGTTAAGGGTTGGTCATCTAATATGTGTTCTTCAATACTTGATGTCGTATGCAGGATGATAACCCGCTTCTCCTCTGCCTCATTGACGGCGATGGCAACATTTTCTCCCAAGACTTACTTGCGTCAGGCCATACAGGAGGCCGGCAAGCAGCTATGCTGCTAACCAAAGGGTTAACAGACTATATGGTCGATGTCGATGCTGGATCTTCCGGGCGTGGACAAGTTTGGCTGACTGTGTACTGCAATAAAACCGGCTTGATGGACACGCTGGTGAACAACGGTATATGCAGTGCTTCAGAATTTGAAGCATTTGTGCTGGGTTTCAACTCAGCTTCGCCGTTATTCTCTATCGTGGATGTGGGTGGGGGAAAAGAAGCAGCAGATGCGAAGATTAAAGGTGATGTGATGAAGTTTGTTTTCGTATGATTTCTTCTAACTTCCTGGTAGAATGTCTTCGTGTTTTCACCCGCTTTCCCCAGACTTCACGTGTATTCTTCGGAGGTGAATTTTCAAAGCAAGTTCTTGTTCAGCTTATGCTGACCTGATTCCAAGGTGGGCACGATAATGGATACACTTCGACATTAAGTACCCTTGAAAACGAGGGCCTGCTGGAAAAAATTGTCTTACTCCGTGGATACAAGACTCTCGCCGCTGAGCTTCAACCCTTCGATTTGCCCCACCTCGATATTGGAGGTGTCTTCATGACAAAGAAACTTCCGTCGTCTTATACACACAGGAGGTCGACACCTCCAACAGGGTTCGCTCCCCAAGAACATGACAGACAGAAGATAAACCCCAAAAATTTCCTCGTTGGAACGCAGAGTCCAGTCATTTCTATGAACACATCCTTCTGCAGATATCTTGATCCTTCTCTGGTAGGGTCTTGTTGCTTACACCATTCCGTGTTAATAACGATTGTTTGCTGTGACCAGCCACTCAACAAGCGTAGGTCGTTCATCATTGTTCATCGGGCATGATGTCGATCTTTTTACAGAAACTCCACGACCTTGCACATTTTTCTATCTGTCCGTGTGTAAGCAAGGTGATAAGTGCACCTATGGCCACGATTACTTTCTTACAGCAGACAATTACGCCGAGCTTCGTGCCAATGCGAAGAAATCACCTTGCCCCGTCTTTAATAAGAGTGCGTCACGTGTGGTTGTTCTTCATGGATGGCAACCTCAGTCTTCTGCACATCCAGACCAACTTTGTCCCTTTGGCGAAAGTTGCCCTTCTGGACACTACTGCCCCAGAGGGTCTAAATGTGGCTACAGGAAACAAGGCAAATGCAAATTCATCGGGAGTGAGCTCTTCGTGTCATTCATCAATTACGCTATTGACGCAATGTATGCTATGTAGGAGAGATGCATATTCCGCTGAATGAACGCATAAGCATCAGTGGACGACCTCCATCTAGAGCCCAGAGCAGCAACGTCAGCGGGCAGACAGATGGAACTCCGACTCCTCCGATGAGCCCAGTTGACCTCGGCAATTTCGCCACCATATCACCCTTTGTGCCACAAGGCACTAGGTGATCCATATGTAGATTACTAGATCCCGCTACGCTGAATTGTAGTATGTCTATAAATCTAATACTATTACATGTTGCTTAGCTATAGCATGAAACGCGGTCACGTGAGGGACACGATTTTATTTTAACTTGCAATGAGCGTATTCGCTCCCGCCCGCTTTCACTGTTCAACTAACCACTATGTCCTATGCAAAAGAGCGAGAGCAGAACATTGCGCGCAACAAGGCTCTCCTTGATGGCCTGGGTATCGCTCCCCTCAAACCAAAAATCGAACCGAAAGAGAATTTAAGGAAGAAAGTGGCAGCCAAGAAACGGAAGTCCCCCTCGCCCGAAAGCGACGAACTCGAGGAACCGCCCAAGAAAGCTTCTCGTTTAGCAGATGATAGTAATGAACCAGGGCGCGCGCGAAGAAGCTCTCGTCTTGCTGGTAAAACAGTCGATTACAAGCAGGAACAAGACCGCGGGGTCCCGGAACTGATCACAATCAAACGGGTTCAAAAGGTCAAAGTTGGCCAGCTAAAATCAAAGAGAACATATGACCCGTCAGTAGCCCTGTTCCCTTTCTTCAAGCTAACTGTGTAATTTTGCGTAGTCATAGGTACGGTCACATACCCGATGTAGAGGTGGGGACCTGGTGGGCAACAAGGTGAGGATGACTTGGTAATCTTTGCCACGAATATCGGCTCACTTGGTGTACTAGAGAAGATTGTTCAACCGCGTCTGTCCATGCGTAAGATTTTCCCCCCTCCTTTTCGAATGGGCACCCTCGAGTTAATCAATCTTATAGCCCTTGGGTCTCAGGTATTGCACCAGGTCCAAATGGTGCATACTCGATCGCACTTTCAGGAGGATATGATGATGATGTAGACGATGGATACGCATTGTGAGTCACGATATAAGCGTGCAAGAAACAACGACTCACAGCGATCCAGTACATTCACTGGTTCTGGTACGTGTGTTGTGGTAGAGCAACGGAGATGTCCTCACTTTTCTTAGGCGGTAGGGATTTGAAGGGAACAAAGACAGCACCCAAGAATGTAAGTACAATCACCAATTATTTCGATCAGGCTAATCTTCGAAAAGCTTCGAACGGCTCCTCAAAGCAGTGATCAGACTTTCGAGGATAGAAACAACGCAGCCCTCCAGGTAAATAGGGAAGGTGGCGCTTGATTTCTATTTGATGCATTCTTTACAGAAATCTGTTGACACTCAGAAACCTGTCCGTGTGATCCGGGGCTTCAAAGGGAAGGCCAGATCAAAGTACGCGCCGTCAGAGGGGTCTGTTTTCATTTATATCTCGCCAACTTCTTCGTTAATTGCCACCTTGTTCATAGGTATCGCTATGATGGCCTGTATCTTGTCAAAAAAGTGTGTCGCTTGGTCGATAGCCACTGTTTCCTTATCACTAATGTCGTAGGCGTGGATTGCAAAAGGGCTCAATAAGGGGGGTTTCCTCGTATGCAAGTTTGCGTTCGTCGTAAGTATTCTGCATTTCCGGTTATCAGTCCACACCTAATAGCGGTTCACACTAGCGAATGCCAGGACAAGAGGCTATCCCTGTGAACGACGGCGGTGATGATGAATAAATATACCCCAACCATCTAATGACCGTATCGTGCTCACTTCTGATCTAGATAAACCATATTGTACTTACTACCTCCTGCATCATCTCCTAGTATTACCTCGAGCATTTGCTAATGCTGAATTGATTAAAAAAATAAAGTCGGTTCCTGAGGCCTGAAATTTGAAACGCTATAGTGTGAGACTTTATATAGTCAAAAATGATTAGTCTTGAAATTTCGAGGTCAACTCTCTTCCACCTTCATGTTTTCGTGTTTTGCGGTAATAAACTAAACATTCATTGATAAAATGCACTCCTTTCATTACCTGTCTGTCACTTTGTGTGCTCTTTCATTTTTATCCCCCAAGTAATCGGCTTTAGCGGGGTCCAGTCGTCCGTACATGACCGCTCGCGCAGGTTGGCGCACGTACGCGCCCTAAGTGGTTCCGACCAGCCCCGGGCTCTCGATATCTCTGTCAATCAGTCGAGAGATACGAAAATCTCAAAGAGAGATACATTCACTTATTTTCAAGATGGCAAGTGAGTACGACCTGCAACTCAACCAAGACCCTTACTAATTGCACAACCAGTGGTGCCTGTGGAGGTTTCAATGGTCCTAACGACTATGTATGTTCTCTATCCTCTGGTTACTGTCGATCATCGCTTGACATTCATTCAGATCGTTGCGCAGAGCTCATGTGTATGTTCTACCGTTTTCTGGCTGCATAACCTGAAACTTAAATACAATGAAGGATTTTGCTGGAGGTAGCCATTGCTTCCAAACGATAACTATCACCGTGAATGGAAAGTCGGCGCAGGCCCAGATTGTGGACGAGGTATTTTTTTGCCAATTACTGCTTTGCGGAGCATTTAAGTGACACAATTCTACAGTGCCTTGGATGTCCTTGCGGGGGACTGGACTTTAGTCAGGGTCTTTTTGAGTTCTTCGCATCAACCAGCGTTGGAGAATTATCTGGATCGTGGAGTTATGGCACTAGTGCTTCTACCTCGTCCACGCTTCTGCCGTCCACGACGACCCAACAGTCTTCCACTAGTACTTGGACGTCACCTACTACCACCTCATCAAGTACTCCTACACCCACATCCACCCTCACAACTACGAGTACCCTCATAGCCACAACCACACCTATGACTTCAGTTCCCCTACCGACTACATCTTCATCCACTGCATCTCCCCTCCCTGCTTTTAGCCCCGACAATCCTCAAATCCTTGCACAAATTAATCTTGGGCTGATTGAGTTTGGTTCACTGCTCCAAGCTTGTGCAGCATCGTCTTCGGAATAATAGATATTTATGCCCTTCTTGAAACGCTCGCCTTTAAATACGCACCACGTTCTTGTATAAATCTTTTTACCACTTATAGGCGTGATCCAGAGGTAGTGCAATGATGTACATCATGTACCTGTCAATAACGCGTGTAAACATGTAGCTCAAGAATACTAAACCAACAATCATGGACATGGCTGAGTTACCGCCGCTTGGACGATGCGTAGGAATGCGTCACTGCTCTCTTCGTCTGGTTGGTTCAACTTCCTCGCCTTCCACAGGTAGTATATGCCCTTTATACTTTCAGTCACTGCCTTGTCCTCTTCAACAGAAAATTCATCATCCTCTTCATCTGCGTGTCCGTTCCCTGCATGCCGCCCGTTAGAATATGACATGTCATTTAACGTGATTTTCACGGGTTGAGTAACGTGGCCATATTGACCGGGATTCCCAGACACGGGGGTCTCAAGGTCCGAATGATCCAACGTTGAGGGTGGTGACGGGCTATCACGATCGAAAGTTGACGATGGTTCGTTTGACGTGTGCGTGTGTATGTCTTTGCGTGGGGAGATAATATTAAGGAGATGTGCCAATACAGTAGGCGATGGCGGCCCAAACTTACTGTCGGGCAGCGGCAAAGAATGTATAGTATCAGCTGGTATGGGTATAGCTTCTTCTTGCTGTGTATAATACGTCGGAAGCGCAGTTTCTAGTTTCCGGTGGTTCGGTAGGGGCGAGGGCACCGTGGAATCAGCAGATCCTAGGAAAGATGTCAGGCAAGGTAAAAATACCAAGCTTGGAAAGAAAGAAACACCACCTTGTACTGATGAATACCGTGCCCAATAAGCATCTTCTGTTCCATCGGCCGAACCTTCCTTAAATATACTGCGAGGTGCTAGAGCGGAAAATGATTCATGCAGCGGGGCATTGTATGCGTTCCAATAGCGATCTTCATCATCTAGAAAACCACGAGCCACTGAGGGGAAACGTTCACGCGCCTGTTCCGCCGCAGTTGTTGGTGGATGTAACGCAGAGCGTGAAGTGGGTGGGAAAGGCATCAGCTGAGTGTCATGATACTTCCATCCGTCTTCGTCATCCCACTCAAAGAGGAGGCGGACACCCTGCTCATGAGATACGACCTGAACATGAGCATAAGTGTGCTCTGAATCTGAAGTGTACCGAACGTAATATTGGCCTGGCTGATCTCCGGGGGATGAGAAGATGTTGAGAAGCTCGATAGCACGGGCACTTTGAGAAGCAGGCCAACATAGATACTCTAGAGGATTATCAGGTGAGATCTGAAGGAAATGATGTCGCTGAAGCAGTGATCTAGACAATAAATGAGGTGGCAGGGGTTGAGTTAACTCAGAGGGGGGTGATATGTATTGCAAAACGAGGTGTATGGTATGCGATTGAATTGGGAACATAATCGATGGTCAATCAATGAATCGATGTTGGTCGATGGTAAGATGGAAATCACATTTTTTGTTTGTGATCTCATTATAACAAGGGACATGAAAAAACGACCCCCCTCGACCCCCCTTCTCACCCAAGTACTGCCTGTCAGACAGTGTCCTGTGTTACTCACAGTCTCTTTCTCTCACCTTCCCGCAACCATCGTCGCTCTCGCCCTTCAGCGATGTATCTACTTTCTTTTCTTCTGGCTTTACCTTTGCTCTCACTTGCGCAGGTTCGTAGTTACCTCCCGTTTTCCTGTCAAGCTCACCCCAGCGTCAGTCATCGCAGAGTGTTCAGCTCTCAACTTCCACCATAGTGGAAGAGACTCTCGGCTCGAATCGCCAAACTAGCACAGTAACACAGATCACAGTTTTTACTATCACTCCCGCTCCCACAGCGTCCGGTACAGTTTCTGCCTCTGGCAACTCTTCTTCAGCAATAACTAGCGGTACCAACAACGGGACCACCACATCAATCGCCTCTAGCAATCTACCCACTGCAGCGTCTACCATTGCTGGAGCAGATGGCGGTCCCAACGGTGCCCCCAGTCCAGGAGCATCAGCGTCAGGTGGAATATACGGCCCTCCAGATGGCTATATTGCAGGCGCACAGGCTTTGCGCAGTGCAAACATTCTCGGAGCTGTCGTCTTTCTCGCCGGAGGAGCATTGGTTTTGCTTTAGAGGATAAAACAGTTTCAAAACTGCACACTGTTCGTATGTTTATATATCCGTATGATGTGACCCTGGCACACTGCCAAACATACTTAGGATATTCCGTCTAGCTCTCTTCAAGCTCTCTTTATTGAACATGGACAAACCAGCTTGCTTTTAGGATTTGCTAATGGAACTGTACTTTTGCATATATCGCATATATCCTCGCATGCCTACCGTTCATTGACACTATTATATCTGGACTGTCTTGGACCGAGTACAGTACTAGCATACTGTAATGAGACCTGGTCTTCTGACTAATTCTAGACGGGACGATTATATGCTGCCGAAATCGAGTTACGTATCAGTATGCTCTCTGCTCACTGGGTAAGTACTGAGTAATAAGAATTCGAGATTTCGACGAGCGCTTGATTTTGCGTAAGCATGTCAATATTAATCGAATCATTGGATTTCGGATAACCCATCTGAGTGTTCTTCACTCGCACCTACTGCCCATCTCAAAGAGACACTTTTATGACCTTGGTAAACAAGGTCATCCCTAGCGTACGTTCGTCGACCATTACTTTGGCCTACCTATTTCGCCTGGATCGCAAGCTGAGTAGCAGGACAGTTATTATGTCACAAACAGGGCCCACTACCAAAAAGCAGAGAATGGATGTCAAGGTTCGTTCGATCACTTGCAGGATGTATCCTCATCTCTAGCGCCTGGATAGACCATAGGTACTCATAATGGCACCTTCCATTGCGATGAAGCACTGGCAGTTTTTCTTTTGCGTCAGACGGACGCCTATAAAGATGCAAGTGAGTATGTCAAGTTTTTCATCAGTGCTCACCTTCCCAATCGATTTTCAAGGCCTAAAACGTACAAGGGACCCAGCTGTTCTCGATGGTTGCGACATAGTAGTTGATGTGGGAGCTATATACGATGAAAGCAAACGCCGATTCGATCACCATCAACGTGGTTTTACGGAGGTGTTCGGTCATGGCTTTAGCACTAAACTGTCATCTGCAGGTCTCATCTACAAGTATGGAACTTTTAGATTCTTCTTGAGGTATCTAACACTTTCATAAAGGCATTTTGGAAAGGAGGTCGTTGCCAGTGCGGCAGGGCTGGAACCGAGCGACAAGAAAGTTGACACACTATGGTTAAAAATGTACAAGGTATGCAGTCGTTCAGGGAGAAACACATCTTTCCAACTATCTGCAGGAGTTCATTGAGGCTCTGGATGCAATTGATAATGGGATTTCGCAATACTCTTCCCAAGAACAACCGAAGTACCGCAACCGCACCGATCTATCGAGTAGAGTTGGATGGCTTAATCCTCGTTGGAATGAGTCTACAGAGTCTGAGAAAGTGGATGTGAGTGCCTGCGTCTTTACATGTGACACACCTAGCTGAACTGTCTAGGCCCTGTTCTTGAAAGCTTCGCAGCTGGCTGGGGGTGAGTTCCTCGGCAGGCTTGATTACTATGCCAATGCATGGTTGCCTGCACGAAATTTGGTATTGGCTGGGCTCTCATCGCGCCAGAATATCGATGCCAGTGGAAAGATCATATTATTTGAACAATTTGCTCCATGGAAGGTTATATTGTTGTCGATCACGACCTTTCACTAGATTCTGACATCTGACAGGAGCATTTGTTTGAACTTGAGGCCGAACAGGGTGTCTCCGAAGATGAACTTCCATTTTATGTGATATACCCTGACGAGACTGGGGGAAACTGGCGTATTCAGGCAGTCCCTGTCTCTCCTGAGAGCTTTGACAGTCGAAAGGCGCTTCCGGAGCAGTGGAGAGGCGTGCGTGATGATGAGCTGTCAAAAGTAAGCGGTGTCGACGGATGCATATTCGTGCACGCATCAGGGTTTATTGGAGGTAGGTGAAGCATCAGTGGTGCAGTTGCATCGGAGCTGATCTCTGGTATTTGTTTCAGGGAACAAGACGAAAGAAGGCGCTTTGAACCTAGCAAAATTGGCACTTAAGATGTAATCGATCTCGCTTTCAAGGAATCTCTACGATCTCGGTAGTCCGTTTTTATATGTCCCGCGAGTTTAAATTGCCGTTATACAAGGTAGCTGATATGTAGACCAGATGAAATGTTCTTTGGTGAAAAGAGCGGAGACCATTTAGTGTTCGAAACAGCATCCGATCTACGTAATTAGAGTTGCCGTCGGCGTATCGGTGAGATTTCTTTCCGTGTTACAATTAACTTGCTGCAGACACGTTTTCATCCAGAGCCTACCCGAATAAGATGTGTGGTATTTGAACACATTCGGCAATACTCGCCCTCGTGTTCTTCGCATGTGTCGCAGCTGCGTGGGGGCCACGAATGGAACGCGCGCAAAGGTTCAGGGTGGTCACTATTAGTTTGGTCTGCTCCTCTCACTTCCAACCCGTATTTTGCTATCTAGAAGCTTTGACTCTCTTTTTTTTTTTTTTGACAACGTTGAACGATGCCTTACATCAAAGCCCATTACCACCCTTTCCTTTTCATCCTCATCACTATGTGTGCTATGGCTGAGCTGGGTCTCACTGCATACCTTATCAGCGTTGGAAATGAGAGTCGTAATTGGCCAAGCGCTCGTTATCATTCACTGTAAGTCTGCTTTCTATCTCGAAAAGGAGTCCTGCTAACGTAGGATGCATTCAGCTTGATACTCTTCGAATTCAACGCCGTGTGGACCACGTTATTCGGGGCAGCTTATATGCTGTGGATTGTTGATGGTGCTGTGCACTTTCTTGCCAGCATAGCAAGTTCCATCATCTGGCTTGCTATCACTTCGGCACTTTGGGTAAGACATCTTATGGTATAAAACACCCACAGTTTAATCCGGGTGGACAGGGCGCTGCAGCTGGCATGATGCATAACACGCGGACTGGGGGCAACTGTAATTGGATACTCAATAGCTCCCCGTCTGTTAACGGGGTCTTGCCATGCGATCCGCCACAGGAGCTGAGTGTGTCCAGCTGTCGAGAAACGCTAACAGTCGAAGCAGTCGGCTGGGTACTATTTGTACTCTGCGTCCTCACACTCTTTGCGACATGCATGTGGGTACGAACGAGCAAGCGAGGATATGTGAGTGCAGAGTATAAGCCGGGGATGTGACAGGTTGATGATCGGTGCCGCCCTTACCAGAACTCGAGCTTTTATGTCTAGGAGATTGGTTGTAAAGCAGGAGGTGGATTTTGGAGGTAGCTCGAAATAGTGTGCGGTGTGGTGTTAATTGGGATTTATGCCCAGGCTACTAATGCGTCTGGTATGCTCATAAGTTATCGAGTCAGTCTAAGCGATTGATAAAATTTTCGGTTACGTTAAAGTACATCCACGATCATATATGGATAAGCTATGCGTTGGCCAGACCATGGAGCTCACAGACTGCAAATAACAATCCAGGTCCTTTCCGTGGCTTTGGTCTGATCCAGACGTGTGCGCCAACTTCATACGTGCTGAGACCGATACTTGCGAATCAGAAACTCAAATCCAGGTCAGTATAGGGAACGACCGTTTTAGGGACGATAGTTGTGGAGTCAGAGTTAAGGTTACGTCATCCAAACTTATCAGATAAGAGCATCGGCAATCTAACGTACAACTTTCACAAAATGACCCAGCGATCTCAAAGCAGAGAACTTTACATCTCTATTCCAAGTCGTAGCTACACAGAACCACATATAAACTCTACCTCAACCAGGCAGCGTGATGACGAACTTGTAGAGAGAGGGGATGCAATCTCTCCAACGAGGGCGTCCGTTGTTCGGATGTTGGCTTTACTGTGCGCATGTTCTCTCAGCGTCGGTAGTCACTAGTGCGTTTTTCTTCCATTCTTCCATTCCCTCCACCATTTACTATTCTCCATTTAAAAGTGCGTCATATACACTAGGGCCACTGAAATCTCGACTTGCGCGAGAGATGAACACATCCAACACGGAATTTAGTCTGTTGATTTCTGCATTCAGTTTAAACAGTACATGGACACCTCTAGTCGGGGGCCTGATGGCGAGTAAACTTGGTACAACGCTCACTAGTATCATTGCTACTGGTGTCATATTTGTTGGTAAGTAGTATTTGTTCATGCTACGCACTTTCTCATCCCTTTCTAGGCCAGGTTTTACTACTGGTTGGCGACATACAAGGAGATGTTCGGTTGATGGTATTTGGGCTGTTCGTGTTCGGATTTGGAGTCAGTCCTCTTGCTGTTGTGCAGGAGTCCATTATCGTGCGATTCTTTAAATCACACGGGCTCGGTGTCTCAATGGCACTGGGTCTTGTGGCCGGCAAGTTGGCGTCATTCATTTCGGCGCGAACTTCCCTCCCTCTTGCAGAGCGTTTGGGGCGCCACGCACCGTTCTACGCGTCCACATTCCTAGCTGCTCTTTCCCTTCTCATTAACCTGGTCTACGTGGCATCCTCGAAGTGGCTTATACGGGGTTCTGGCACCGTCTTACTAGAGCCTTCCGAGATACGAAGTGAGGCGAGGCGCCGCTCCCTGTACGATCTCTCCGAGGCGCAGGCACTGGAAAAAGTTGCAAAAAAACGCCACATCAGGTTCAAAGATATTCCAAAGCTTGGAGATATCTTCTGGGCGTGCGTGACAAAACTAGAACTCACGACTTGTGCTGACCTTTCGCAGTTATATAGGGCTAAACATCCTCTGTGGCACTATATGGGCCCCTTTCACCCATTTGGCAGCGTAAGTCTGCATGCGATCAGGATATCTTTCGTGACTCATGACGTTCTTTGTGCGACCTTTAGCAACATTTTTGAAAAGAGATATGGATTGACGGAGCACACTGCCAGTACACAAGCTTCCTACCTTCTGGTTGGGAGCATACTCTTGTATCCTGTCGTAAGTGCATTCGTATTGCTCCATAATCTTGACCAACACCAAGTCAGACCGGATTCATGGTAGATCGGATGAAGCACCCACAAGCTGTACTTCGCATGTTCACGCTGTCGTCTGTATTGACGTTGTTTGGATATGCATGGCTTGTTCTTCCACCAGTGTGGACGGGAACACCTTCTCCTGCAGTTGCCGCCTTTGCGATTGGCATTGGCTTCTCCCCTTGTGAGTCAGTATTGCACTATTTAATCATCATTCATTCGACATGTTTTAGTACTCCTTGTGGTCTTGGTCCCTCAGCTGGTCCCGTTCAAGTTTGTATCAACTACTCTCGGTGTGCACAAAAGCGTAAATCGTTTATTGAGTCCAGTAACCTTATCTGAGCTATGAGCTTGATGTTTCAGATGGAACAAACAGGCGCGACAATTTTCCAAACGATAGCTGGCCTTGTTTTGGACGGTGATCAACGGGTCAAAAAAGGCGGCCAGTACACAACTCAGCAGTTGTTGAACGTGTTTTTCGCTTTCAATGTTTTGCAACTACTGGGTATCATCGGTCTATCGCATCTTGACAGTCGGCGGAGGCAGGCAGCAGAGACTATTGAGAACACAGTCGGGGATGAAGAAGATGTCGAACGTGAATCAGAAGAGTCGACCTTCACGGGGGGCGAAGGAGATATCCTGGCTTCTGAAATCGGACCGTTGTGTTCTCAAGATCCAAGAAAGCCTCTACTTGGTCGCCGGCACAGAGCAGATTCTGGGGCCAGTTCTTTCCCTTCTTCTTGTCCTCCTCAAGGGGTTTGTGGACACTCAGAGATAAGGAGGGGTCGTATTTTTGTGTGTCTTTGCGCCATGATTATTGGCAGCGCTTGGATACTGTTTTTGAGCACTGCGTGGCTGAGGCTCCGGTCGGGACAAGAAAGAGATTTATAATAGTACACGTGGCTAGTGTTTAGATACTTTGTTATCAAGGAGTAAGATTCTTCCAGCGTCATGAGCCATTATCTACGCGCACTCATTAACCAGTGTCCACAAGGCACTCCGACAGTTTCATCCGAGGTGTCTGATGTCGCAGAGTCATCAAGAAGGTCAGGGAGTAGTGTGACGGTCGTTGCGAAAGTTGGAGATGGGAAACTCTCATTCTCAGCACGCTTGGCGGGTAATTTTTTCCTCCATGACTCTATCATTTCCCAGGTGAGGGTCGGATCCTTCGACTTTTTATAGAGAACATCTGGACCGAATGGATCGTCCACTCCCCTATCTGAAACATCAAGCGCTACCGCGCCTGCAGCTCCAGCCGAGGACGCCGGTTCTGCTCAATATGTCAGTCCAACCGATGATGACACAAAGTATCATATATCTCACCACCACTCGTGCCGCTCCAGTTCGATAAGGAGGGAGCGATTCCCAGCACTTTTTCCGGTTTAGCGATCGGTAGCTCGGATTCATTGTCTGAGAGGATATTGTGAACAGGTTCCGCGACCTGTTGAATGGTTTAGCTCGGTCATTTTTAATGATGATATTCAACGCCAACCTCCACCGGTTGTACAAAACCACCAGGGGCACGGAGAGCCGAGCCGAGCCAATATAGCAACGCATGCATAACAGTCGGAGAACGTGATTGTGCGTCTATAACGGGGGAAACGAACGCTGTCGTCCAACCTGTAAAATTATGAAAATTTTCTTCCCTGATCTGGCTTGAGGGAAGATCTTACCGCGTGAAAACATACCAAAAGCCCACTGCTGGTATGAAGTCAGAATGAAGAAGGGGGTTTGATTATGAGCGCAGGTGTCCCATAACTAAAGGATCGCTTCAGAGTCTGGGAAATGCGCATTATGTGCACTTACCTTCCCCCAAAGGCGCTCCTTTCCACGTAACGGGCGCTTAGTACCTTCGGGAAGCTACCAAATACGTTCCGTATTCACGGCTCAAGGGTTCTAAGTACGTACCGATCTGAGCTGAGTGAATTGCCGCATAAATTCGTCGGACATTATCCAAGGAGGTTGGCAGGCGACAACTACAGACATATCATGTATGTCAGGGTGATCTTGGTTGGTATCCGTCCAGTGAAATGTCTTGAAATTTTCGTCATCGCAGCCGTGATCATCAAGCATCGCAAACCCCCAATCTTTCGTTGCAGGAAACATGATATGAAAAACTCGTTGAACTGTTTGGAGGGGAAAATTGTCCAACCAATCACATACTCTGATGAAAACAAGGTTAAATCACCTCGTGTTTCAGGTAATTATTTACATACCGATTGATATCCGAGGCTGCAGGAAGCAACAGTTCCGGAACATTGAATCTATGCGAAGAGCGTACTGTAAACCGTTCGCCTGTTTTCCGGTCCTCATCGTACAGACAGAGCGAGCGATTTGGCACATGCTCCTCGATCCCTGCAGATAGTACATTAGCTCGCGAAGCTTGGTTTTAACACCAAGCATACAATTATTAACAAGTTCATCAAACGTGGAATCCAGGAAAACTATGTTAGCAAGGTTGCGACGCCGTCGGCGAACAGTAAGTGTGATTCTACGGCTCTTGTGCCCTTGGTGAGATATCAACTCTCGTTTGTGCATGAGCTTCAGCCGGGGTAGAACAGCAGTCCTTAAGGTAGCCTTGCAAGTCGTCTGTAGCTCTGTAAGCCATATTGACCTCGCAGCGAATATACTGTGGGGGGAATGTTGGCATTGCTCCTTGAGGATAGCAAACATTATATATCAACAGGTTGCTGAACAACGTCGATACAGGTTGGAGTAATACAACAATCTTAACAACAACAAGACGCACATGAGGAAACAAGGGTCGCTATGTACGATGCCTAAATGAGGCAGGCTGCTGGCATAATCCGATGCACAACGGGAATAGCCGAGAACCCTCCTCCAGTCGTCAAACAAGACGTTGTAGTCGTACCCGAGTCAAGACCCTCAAGAGGTATGTTTCTGTATCGTTATCGTATGCAGCTATGCTAGAAAGGATCTACGTTGCTGTCAGAAACTCTAGTTTGGAGAAATCTAAATGGAAATCGATGGATGCTTTCGTCTTGATTGGATGTATGTTGATCTGCCGAGTCACTAACCATCTTGCATTGCAGCCTGCAACATGGGCGCATACAAATACATCAGCGAGTTGTACAGAAAAAAGCAGTCCGATGTGCTGCGTTTTCTTCTCCGTGTTCGGTGAGTCCTGATGCTTGTGATACACTAACGATGAAAGTTGCTGATTTCGTACTCTAGATGCTGGGAGTATCGCCAATTGAAAGTCGTTCATCGTGCATCTCGTCCTTCTCGTCCTGACAAGGCTCGTCGGTTGGGATACAAGGCCAAGCAGGGCTACGTTATCTACCGTATCCGTGTCCGTCGCGGTAACCGCAAAAAGCCAGTCCCAAAGGGTAGGCTCCTGACCGACGTGCCTTTCGATATAATCTGAATTTATCTTTTAGGTGCCACCAATGGCAAGCCCGTCCGTCAGGGTGTCAACCACTTGAAGCCCCAGCGCAGTCTCAGGAGTACTGCCGAGGAACGTGTTGGAAGGCGTTGTGGAAACCTGCGAGTTCTGAACTCATACTGGGTAAACCAGGACGGCGTTTACAAGTACTTCGAAGTCATTCTTGTGGATCCTAACCACAAAGCTGTAAGCCCGAGGTTTCCTCTATTTGTTATGTTTACGAGGACGCACTATGATGTAGATTCGCCGGGATCCCCGTATCAACTGGATTACCAAGCCAGTGCACAAACGCCGCGAAGCTCGTGGTCTCACCAGCGTTGGGAAACAGGTTTGTTCATTATCCATGGCCCTCAGGATTTCCCTGATATTTTGTTGCAGAACAGGGGATTGGGCAAGGGCCATCGTCACAACCACGCTCCTGCTCGTTCAACCTGGAAGAAGCACAACACACTGTCTCTTCGTCGTTACCGATGATTTACTTGCATATTTTCTGTTGTTCTTCCATTATGTTACTTCATACTTGCTATGCTTTGTATGACCATGAAGTTTCGCCAAAAAGATATCATGTGCTCCTACATTTTGTAAAGGAACTTTTAGGTTGTGAGCTCCATAATAAGCACAGCAATGGCAAACCGGCATCTCACCAATTCTCACGGAATGTCAGGCGGTCGTCCATGCGTTTATGGTGATTGCGGAACAATTTTTTAGTCACATTCGCCTCGTGCCCACCATGATGATACTGTGAGAGCCTTATTGCACAACTGCGGTAATTCATTTCGGCCGTCACATCTACAAATTTATTGGAGCTACGCTAATGGCAACTTCCAATGTTATTGTGTTTGGACGGTCTAGTCACCGCACCATAAAATCCAGTTCATTTTCCTTTGAATTATATTCCTCCTTCCGAACATGCTCAAACTTCGACATGCAATTATTTACCTATTATGCGGACATCTTTCAGAGACCATGGCCTTTCCAACCATTCTCAGTGACATTGATTGGAAGGCCGGAGTTGAGTTACTGGGCAACTTTAAATGGCCAAAGACCACATTGCCGACGAAGAGAGAAACCACGCCCAATGGATCTACTATACTGTGGATTATTCAAGATACCTATGAGGGCAGCACTTTTTTCGAGTAAGTGTGTCGTCCAGATCACCCAATCGCTACTGGTAACTGACGGGCTGCAGTACATTTAACTTCTACACTGGTGCAGATCCCACAAAGTAATGTTTGCTTTTCCATCCAATCTCCGGGGTACTTAACACTCAGTGATAATTGTTTAGTGGTTTGGTGACGTGCGTGTCTATTGGTTGCACGAGATTCTTTCATTCTTACAATTTGAAATAGTTTTGTTGACCAACAGACGGCATTCAACGACGGCTTAGCATCAATAACCTCCAACAACAAGGTCATCATGCGGGGCGATAATACAACTCAGCTAGCATATGGGGTCAACAGAAACAGGTAAAAACCTCCAGTGCGCTGAGTGCACCGAGACTAATTTAACCTCTTAGTGTCCGCATAACAAGTCAGGCTGAGTACAATATGGGTCTCTTTATACTGGATCTAGACATGGCTCCATGGGGTTGCGGTGGGACAACTTTCTTTCAGTGTACCGATGTCATTTAATTGTTTCGATCAAGGTGTTTGGCCTGCATTCTGGCAAGTAATACCACGCAAAGGTTGGGTGATAAATCTGACGATGTGGCTAGGACGCTTGGGAGTGGGACATGGCCATATGTAAGCTTGAAATACCTTGGATTTTCACTCAATAATCTCTATTAAAGAATGGTGAAATAGACATCATCGAGGGTGTACACGACAACGAACACAACCAAGTCACCTGGCATACCGCTCCTGGTAAGCGAATTACTAGTTACTTGTTCCGTAACTCACGTAATTCTCAGGTTGCAACTTAACCCAGAATACTAACTTCACTGGGACGATTGTGGTGTGTCTTATCTTAGCATGGACGAGAGGTGGTGGGCTAATTGTTGAAGCAAACGAATTACACGGATAACCTTCAATGCAATGCGTTCATCAATAACAACGCAGGGTGTGGTGTGACGGAATGGAGTCAGGCTTCATATGGCCCGTTATTTGATGAAGCTAATGGCGGTGTCTTTGCTATGAATTGGGACGAAAACGGCATCGCAGTTTGTAAGTTCGTGAACCTCGTAGCACCGTGAGACTCTAGACTGTTTCACCCCACAGGGTCATTTTACCGGGCAACTGTTCCACTGGACATTACACAGGGACGACCAGATCCATCTAATTGGGGTGAACCTGTTGCTGCACTGTCCACCCAGTCATGTAATATCACTAACTACTTCGCAAATCACTCGATTGTATTTGGTGAGTATTTTGATGAAATTCAGATCCTCATTGCTCACTAACAATGCAGACATCACGTTTTGTGGTGAGGCTTCATTACTGAGGCGCATTTTGAAGCAATTTATCAAGACTAACCAGGTGACTGGGCCGGCAACTCTTACGCTACATCAGGTTGTCCTGGCACCTGCGAGGACATACTGATGGATCCGGCTAATTTTGTTGTGAGATTCTATTGATTTCTTGCATTAATTTATCTCAACTGATTACATAGAACGCTTCTTGGATCATCAACTCACTTAGTGTCTACAAGCAGTCTTTGTTGAACATTGGCAGCACGTCGAGCGTAACCCCAACACATCCAATCGTGAACCTGAAGACTTGTTGGATTATCTCTACAGTAATATTCTTACACGTGCTTGTCTCGCTTTGAGATGCTGGCTGTCCAAGCAGAGGCATGGCAAACTATTATATGGCGAGCTACTGTGGACGATCAGAGGAACACATTAGTGACACTACGAGGGCATGTTAATAGATCTTGCACCCTTGACATTTGCCTTATAATTCGCTTGCATTGATTATATGAGTGATATCAAAGGGCTGCAGGTACTCTAAAGTTTTAAGATCCTCACAGATTCTGGCCCTATTGCCGCAGGGTCATGATCTACATGTGCAAAACACGCCCGTAGTGGAGTAATGCTCGCATGCCCTTTAGCGATGGCCCAACCATCCGAGCCAACTGGGAGGGAACCGAGCGAAGGTGTGATAAGGGGTTGGAAATCAGGGGAGAATTTAAACACTAGCGTTGCAGGTCCATCTCTCGATACATCGCCTTCTACATCGCCTTCTACATCGCCTCCGGGTTCACTTTGTTGTGCAGGATACTGTCTCGCCATGTCCTGGCCCTTGTTGGGGACGACCTTCGTTGTGCTCATAGCTCCAGGAGTCAATATTGCTTTAAAAAGTCGCCCGTACGAGTTACGCCACATGTGCGTCCAATGGACATCTATGCCCTCGGGGTTAAGCAGTTCCATTATCATGGGAATATTCACATTATACATGTCGATTTCTCCGTTGCGTATTCCACCAATGTCTTTACCCCAATTGTTCCATAGGTATTGGATGATCTGCCCCGAAAGGATATTTGCGGGTCCAAAAAGTTCGTTTGGGGTGGTATGGAGAACAGTGCCGTATGAAATCGCGACGGAACGAATCTGCGATAGCGCTGACGACATTGCGGCACCGATGGTTCCAGAAGACATGGCTAAAGCAGCTGGTAATCATGATTTGTTCATGGGATGTTCAAACATAACGAAGAGAAAACACAGACCAGAGGAATTTCTGCCGAGGTTTGGTCCCGAGATCTTACATACATACCAATTTAAATTAGACTTCGAGAGCTATCACAAGGAGCAGCTGAAGGTACTGACCACAAGATCGATTGTTCCGGGATAAAGGTTATGAAGCGCGATGTTGGTACAGGTCGCGGGGGTCTACGGAGCATACGCCATAAGCTCGCAACAAGAATAGAAATCTTACATACACCATCCAGCAGTACCCACTCGGCAACTTCACCCTCACTTAAAGGACGCGAAGCTGACGATACCTCTCCCATTCCGTCTTCAACAAACTCTCAATTAAGTACAATGTATTTCTCATCGCATACTAGTACACTCACCGGGTTCCTTCGGGTAGTAATATCTTCCTCTCGTGATTTCCTGAATGTGAAACGCTTTCCCTGCAAGCGGTGCGTCAGCACGAGAGCTCGGACAGGACTGTTTAGACTCGCCAATCCACGATTTCTGGGAGCTTGGCACGACTACTTTCACATCCCATCCTAGTTACATGTTAAACACAAGCGTCTTCATGCATGCAGGGTTCACTGAAAGCTTACTGAGATTTGTAATGAGGTGTCGATAAAGGCCATAGATGTATGGAGATTGGGGACCTGGAGGGCCGTCATCGTTCTTTGGCATGACATAGGTTATAGTTAGCGAAGGATCTTGAAAAGGAGGAATAAATACTTACGACGAGTAAAACTCTGGGAGACATTAGCTAGTATATCAGAGGAATGGTAATGAATGACCCTTGTTGTCACCAGCGACGGCGATGGTGATGAGCGCCTGTGTGTAAGATCATCGATTCCCATAATTAAAAACTGTCCACCATCTTGAACCACGCAACTTCTTCTGTCTCTTCGTTTTCGCTTCTGCTCCTGCCAGCCCTTCTTCGACGTCGGCCACAGCGATACCAGGCGACACCTTTAATCGAGGCTAATTCTTTAAGGGCTAGGCTCAAGGCTAGGCTGAGCCATTGTTATTTCCACTTAGACGTTGGCTCTACTCTCTACTGAAGCTTGCTCGAGCCGCCGTGTTCATGATTCACTAGCTCGCTGGTGACTCCATACTTCTCGACGACTACCAGACATGACTACGCCAATGACGAACACAAGCCATTGTTTACCTGCCATACCATCCCTCCCTCCAATTCAGATGCCCGGCGACACCGATAAAAATACTTACCTTGACCTGGGACATGATCCAATTGCACCTGTGTCTGCATCGTCCACATCTCCCAAGGCTTCTTTTTCCTCTACTTCATCTACTCTTGTTGTCCCTCGTCACACTCCTTTCGATACAGGCTGCTCTGGATTTTCATTCTCGACTTCAACCGACCCCTCGTCCCAATCCTTGCGCAAATCAGTCTCTGTTGACTCATTTGTTGGTTACGATAGGGAAACGTCACAGAGAACAAGCGGTTCACGAACGAATAGAGGCACCACTCACTCCACTTTCGAGGCATCTAGGACACATAAACAGGACGGTCTATTGCACAGCGAGCCCACTCTTTCTCAACCGTCTATTCGCAGTCGCGGTGCGAGTGTGAGTACGATGAGTCGGAGTCATGTTTCCGGAATAGAGCACGAGCGGGAGGCCGAGATTTTTCAGCGGCGGAAGCGACCAAGTGAAGGCAGACGGGGCTCTGTGAAGGGCAAAGATCACCTTCGAACAGCTCCCCGTCCAGGCGATCTAAATCTCCCTTCACGCATGCCGGTTCAGGTTCTTGACGATACCCGCCGCTTGCATTCAACAACATCGCTTAGTTCACTGTCTGTATGTAATCCTGCGCTGGCCAGTCTTACATCAGGGCGCGCAAGGAGTGACAGCCTTGGCTTGCCAACCACTACCGCTTCAGGTAGAAATCTATCGATTGATACTCTTCAGCCCTCTGTGAGCACTCGCCACACCCATGGAGCTCAATTTCTGATGTTGCGTGCACAGTTTTTGTCCAAAGAGATAGCTATCGCAGTAGTCGGGTTTTCCGGATGTGGCAAGTCGACATTCATCTCGGAGGACGCTAAAGCACACGGGGCATCGGATGTTGAGGCACTATTTGCGTCGCCGGGAACTTTTCCTCCCACTCCTTTCCGTTGTAAGTTCATATTCAATACATTGCTCATCTTGTTCTATCTGACTGCAATCTCTCAAGACACACGTCGCTTTGACCGGGCGATACCACGCGATTTTTCAATGGTAATCTATGAGTTAGATATTGAAAGGGTCCTGCCCGAAAATCTTCCACCTGTCAGTGGGGTTGTCGTGTGTTATGATGCTGCCAACAAGGCTTCATTTTCTCCTGTGGAAGAGTTCATCCGTATGTTGCAGTTTTTCGTTTTCGTCGTTTTTTATCAATTATCTTTGAAAGGGCGGATACAACCGTTGAAGCTTTCAACCATAGCGGTGGCCTTGAAGACAGACTTGGATGTCGTTGTCGATCCGCAGGAGTCTTTGAACCTGTTGAAAAATTACCATGTTGGTCTAGTGCAGGTTGATCACTTGGGAGAAGCAGAGAGGGCTAGGATAAAGAAAGTGTTCAATTGGTTGACGTTATCTATTTTGCCAGGTCCTCGTGAGTCTACAGAGTGGTATATGAGTGTGGTGTTAAACCCTGTCGTTGACATTTCAGATGCTGATCTCCGAAATCCCGCATCACCAGATGTTCGCCACTCACCGATTACTTGGGAAGCCCGAGCATCAGTATCATCAACTACATCCACCGTTTCTTCTTCCACAGCTTCTACGCAAACCATGTCCCAAGACCAGGGTGGCTCGTTGCGACACTCACCCACTTCTACACTCCCATCATCTCCACCGCCAATCGCCATCTCTCCAACGCGCGCCCGGTCAACTCCAGATCTCCTCTCGACCCATGAGATGTCAAAATCACGAGAGTCGTCTGAGCGAAAGTTATCGAATGCTCGCAGTGTCACAAGCTTTGTTGGGTCATCAAGCGTAAATTCCTCGTCGTTCGGCTCCTTTATTTCTGGGAGAGATCTTTCATTAAATGTTACTGAGAACGGCCATTTTGATCACCCTGCGAGCAAGGAGAAGGAACCGTGGGTCGTCTGCAATCATTCGAGTTAACGCTGCTAACTTTCTGATTTACTTAGTCGCTCAGGACAATACGCAACCCTGGAGGAATTACTTGATAAATTACTCTTTCTTGCTGTCAGCGGTGATGGTAGGCTTGCCCTTTTTTTGACCTGTTGGCACTACATGATTCACAGCATCGATTGTAGATCCAACATTTATCTCGCATTTCCTTCTTACATATCGAAGATTTGCAAGTCCTCGCAGTATTCTGTTGGCTATGCAGAAGCGAATGCGACAACTCGACAATTCGACTGGCGATCCGATGTTTGCGAGCTATGCACAGATGAGGTATCATAATCTTGCAACCTGAAAAGTCATCGTCCTAACTTGCCGGTTGATTTGAAGAATATGCCACCTACTTGAAACCTGGATCCAGACGTATCCACAAGACTTCGCTGTTCCGGGGGCCCCTGGCGCCTTACACGCCCTAGGTGAGGTCAATCGTCGGGAAGACATACCTCCTACATTATGGTTCCGATTTTCTCCCTTTCCTCTCACATCTTCCCAACATCATAGATACGGATGCGGCCTGGGCGCTCAAGTCCGAAAATCCCGTGGATGAGAGCGAGGATCCATACAGTATATCAGATGGAGAGGAGGAACCACTGGTTGTTGAGACCGAACCATCCTCTACGAGCCGTTCGTCGGTGGCTCGCTCGAATGACAACCTCCCTAGTGCAGCGAGCGTCAGGGAACGCAAGTCAAGCTTGCCGCTTAGCGCGAAGATATTTATACCAGTGAATTCGAGTCACGGCCAAGGAGATGTTCAAGATATGTCTTCGAAGGATCTCCTGATCAAGCTAAGGAGTAATGCCCAGACTCTGGCTAACTTCGAATGCTCCGCGATCGCGGAGGAGATCACGCGAGTGGAAGCGAAGTTATTCATGGATATCGAGGTCAGCATTGATCACTACCACGATTGCCATGATCATGACGACTTTTTTTTGCAGCCACGGCACTGGTTACAATATACCCTCATGCCCGGACGCAAAGACCCTGAGTTGGACTCAATATCTCGATTCAATGCTATCTCCAATCACCTTGCCGATTGGTAAGTCGCCGTGGGTGGGTGGCGCCAATGATAAAGATAATTAATGGTTTCTCCAGGGTGGTATCCCTCATACTATGTCACGATAAACCGAGGAACCGCGCAAGGCAGATAGAGCGATTCGTGGATATCGCGCACGAGCTCCGCGCATTAAACAATTACTCAGCACTGCGTGCTTTCGTTGCTGGAATCAATAGCTCCACTTTCCAGGGCGATGAAACCATGGAGATTTTCAAAAACAAGACTCCAGATCACTACAAGAATCTCTTGTCTTGGGATGTTCTTCTTCAACATCGCGGAGCTCATCAGGCTTATCGCATGGCGCTCAAAAACACCAAAGGCGCTTGTATACCAGCGCTGTAAGTGCGGTGACTTTCATTGCAAATAGCTTGATATTTACCTCTTATTAGGGAGGTCCATATGTCCGACTTGATCCGTGCCCACGAAGGAAACCCCAATGTCAATCTGGATGATCCTACAAAAATTCATTGGGGAAAATTTAATATGTTTGGTCGGTTTATTCAAACCACCACTCACTGCCAGATACAGTGCCAAACAAATCCGGATTATTGCTTACCATCGCGAGATCGAATACTGAAGGTCATATTTAACGAATATGTCATGTCGGAAGATGTACGTCTTGGTTCGAAAACTCTTACCCTCCCTTAATTGACCCTACGTAGATGCAAACATCTCGAATGGCACCTCTCCCAGACTCAGATTTAGTTGAAGAACCCTTCCGCTCCACGCTGCCTCGAACAATGTCACGCGAACATTCAACATCCTCCCAGAGAGATACAACAATTCTTCGCAGAATACTGCAACGATGAATACAGCCCCCAGCATGTATCAGGATTTTCCTTTATGTATCTGCAGTTTGTTTCTATTCATCTGTCGCTCTCAGAGATCCCATTTGTTTGATACCCCGTCTTTGTACGTATCATATTTGTTGTTATTCGGCAAATGTACCCTTTCATGTTCAAGTTATGTCGCTACTTCACACTCATCCCATAGGCACAGTAGTAAATCTTAGCATCCATCGAACCAGTCGAAGAATATGTTGCACCTATGACCAATTGATATGTGTAATGCTCTGCAGTCAAACTTCTCTTGACAAAATTTTGGATCGAGCACGTGACATTTTAGTGAGTTACACTGGTGGGCCAAATCTTCATAACACAACTGCTCGTAGTATCGCTCTCTGAGGGACTTGATAGTCTGCTGAAACTCGTTTGGACTCTGTCGGTTGGTCGCACTACATTATATCTAACCATGGACTTCGTAATGACCATCGAATCTGACGATGAATCACCACCTCAACGCAGAAGCAGCAAGAAGCAGCAAGTGGATGATGCCGCCCACCTGGACCCCGATTTCCAGTTTGATGTCGCTGGCGATCCCTACATTGATTTTTTAGAGTTTGGAACACAGCAGGAGGACATTGTGAAGAAGGTCTCTAAGCCGGTGAGTTTATCACTGCTACACATGGTAGTCGGTCACTGAATTGGCACATAGGATCCTGTCTCAGTAGATGAAATCATCGAAAGACGCAAACTCCAGACTCTCTCAAAAAGAAAACGCGAGCCAGAGACTGAGGATGAAGCTGAGGACGATATGGAGGAAAGTGATGCTAGCGGTGCGGAGGACTTCCCTGAAACGGATGGTTCGGGCGACGAAGATGACCCCCTTGCCAGTTCCGGCGAGGAAAATGACGAAAGTGCCGAGTCCGTATCTGAAGAGGACGAGGAGCAGGGTGATAATGTTGATGTGGAATCCAAGTCTTCGGATGAATCAGAAGAAGAGACTCAAGTCGAAAAGGATCGCAAAGAAGCATTCTTTGATTCGGAGGCAGCACCTACGGAGCATCATGCATCTTTTTTGACCATGAATCTTTCCCGTCCAATTCACAAGGCGTTGGCCAATCTCGGGTTCACTTCACCGACACCCATTCAAGCCGCGACCATCCCTGTTGCTTTGCTGGGCAAAGATGTTGTCGGAAATGCTGTCACAGGCTCTGGAAAAACTGCTGCATTTACGATCCCTATGCTGGAACGGCTGCTATATCGAGAAAAGGGGAAGCATGCAGCGGCAACTCGGTGTCTGGTGTTGGTCCCGACAAGAGAATTAGCTGTGCAATGTTATGAGGTTGGTTCTAAACTTGCAGCACACACTGACATTCGCTTTTGCCTCGTCGTTGGTTTGTTCCCTTCAAATTCCACAGCGGCCTGTTCTCATGTAAAATATTTAGGTGGACTTTCCCTCAAATCGCAAGAAGCAACTCTAAGGACTCGCCCAGACGTCGTCATTGCAACTCCTGGACGGCTTATCGATCACTTGCGTAATTCCCCTTCTTTCGCGCTCGATGCACTGGACGTTCTTGTTCTTGACGAAGCGGACCGCATGCTTTCGGATGGATTTGCAGACGAGTTAGCTGAAATCATCAAAGCATGTCCTGTTTCCCGTCAGACAATGCTGTTTTCCGCTACAATGACTGACACTGTCGATGAACTGGTGAAGATGTCTTTGAACAAGCCTGTACGACTGTTCGTAGACCCAAAACGAACCACGGCTCGAGGCCTTACTCAAGAATTTGTTCGTGTGCGAACGGAGAAGGACGCAGACCGGACTGCCCTACTTGTATCTTTATGCAAGAGGACATTCAGACAGCGCGTTATCATATTCTACAAGAGCAAGAAGCTAGCACACCAGATGCGCATTGTTTTCGGTCTTCTTGATATGAAGGCCGAGGAATTGCATGGCGACCTCACTCAAGAACAGGTTAGACAGCACTTGTCCACTCTCTTACATGTCAGACATTGACTCTGGGATAGCGTCTCAAAGCTTTACAGCTATTTCGCGATTCACAAGTAGATTATTTGATGGCGACTGATCTTGCTTCTCGTGGGTTAGATATCAAGGGCATCGAAACAGTCATCAATTATGACATGCCTAACACATTGTCGCAATACCTTCACCGAGTAGGTCGGACGGCCCGCGCAGGCAAGTCTGGTCGGTAAGCTCCAATTTTTGATCCGTTTCCGTTGATTGTGTTTTTGATCATCATTATAGCTCTGTTACTCTAGTAGGAGAAGGAGACAGGAAAATGCTCAAAGCAGCCATCAAGCACAGTGCGGGGGAAGATAATGTTCGCCATCGGGTTGTCCCTGCTGATATCTTTCCCAAATGGGTCAAAAAAGTAGAGGCTCTCAGAGATGAGGTCGCGACAATTCTTAACGAAGAGAAAGAGGAGAAGCAGGTAACTTGGGTCGTTGAATATCATTCCAACCGCTTTTATTCATACATTATACTAGATCCGACAAGCGGAAATGGAACTCAAGAAGGGACAAAATATGATCGAGCATCAAGATGAGATTTTCTCTCGGCCTGCTCGAACCTGGTTTCAGAGCGAAAAGGAGAAGGCAAAGGCAGTTGGTGGGTGAACATTTATAAGGTTTGCGATCAACAAGAGCTTTACGCCGTTTTTTCTAGCCACGAGCAAACAGCAGCATGAGAGTGGAATGGCACTCGCGCAAAAAGGGAAACGTAAGGCTATTGACGAGCCTAAGGCAGGTTTGTTGCATCATTCACAACTCCTGTTTGAACCATCCCTTCAGCCAAAAAGAGATAAGTTTGCTGGTCTGACCAGGAAGGCAAAACGACGGAAGATGGCATTAGAAGCCGACAAGGAATTAGGCGAGGCAGGTGCTGTGAACGCTGCCATTCGTTCCGCAAAGAAAGCTGCTCGTCCCGCTAAGATTGGGATTCCAGACCACCGAAACGTACCTGTTTCAAAAAGAAGGAAGACGAAAAAGGGGGTATCGAGAACTGGTGGTAATACATTTGACAGGGATTTATCATCGAAGGCAGCAAGGGGTGAAGGGGTTCATGCGAAGAAGGGAGACGCAATCGGCGGGATGGGCAAGCGCAAAGGGGGAAAACGGAGGGACAAATAGCAACTTGTTTAATCGCCCAAAATGCGACTCTTATGGTTGGCGTTTGAACCTTCACGTAGGTCAGACCACGTGGTCAAATGTATACATGCAAATTCCTGTGTTGTTCCTTCAGAGCATTTCGTGCTCTGCTTTCAGGCACCTGCAGTATAAAGTTCAAAGTAGCAAAACTTTTTTTATTCTATTTAGTTATGAAGATTACTGAGACTAAAGTTCACCAGGGAGGCAACCTTGTCATCCTGCTGTAGCAAGTAGATAGTGAAATAGAAGCGGTGTATTTGCAGCCTCCATAATAAATCCATTGAGAATTTGAGTTCCGTAGTAGGCTCTGCAGCGAGCGGCCCTGTGCAAACAGCACACAGCGCTGATCACCTGGAAGGAACAACCATCTTCCTGAAACCTCCAATGAGGCTCCAGGTCTGAACTTTAACAGAAAAGGCAACTGTTTCACGCGCACGTGGAAATGCAGGTGCCTGGACACTCGCCTACCTGAGCCTAATACTTCGTGGAATCGGGGACTGTGCTTTGGTATCATCAGAGGCAGAGCACATGGAGCACGACGCGTTTGCGTCACTGGCTGTCTTGCAGCTCTCGTCTCCATGCCGTCTACTGCCACTGGCTTGCTGCCCAGACAAGGACCTTGTCGTCCTGGTGTCCCGTCTTGGTGGAAGAGATAGGTTGACTCTATGGAAAATGCAAGGAACCAAAAAGTGGGACATTGAGATAGAGTGTGACGAAAGCTCCATTGAAAGCGTATCAGCTTTAGCGTGGAGTCCGTGTGGTACGGTTATACGCCACAAATCATGCGCTGTGATATCTAACATTATTTACTGCAGGTCAGACGATTGCTGTCTCTCATGGATTCTCCCGCGTTACGCTTCATTCCGTGCAAGATGGGCGCATTGAGCGCTCTCTCACTATCCCGGCATCGTCGCATAATTCTGAACAACAACATCGAATAACCGGAGCTTGGTGGTTCCCGGGTTGCCGCGATTTATCAAGAAGCACCATTCCAGATATCTTCAAGAGAAACGAAATCAATGTCTGTGCATTGGTTTATCCTAACACTTCATCCACTCTTATCATACTGAAGACAGGGTCTGCTCTCTCCATATTGAAAGTTCTTCCACTCCTTGATCCCCTTCGAGAAGAAGATCACAAGCTCACGTGAGTCTTCCGGGGCCACAAAATTTGCACTCATTAACGCTTGTTCAGTGCCACCGACCTTTTCGCTTTCCAAGGAACGCAGACAGGTGCCGCGCTGAAGTTATCCATACCTGAAGTCATCAGTGATTGGCCATCGTTGCTACCAGACCCATCTCTTGCTTCTCTATGCCCTCCGATCTTGATCGATGAACAAGGCAAGACTGCAAAAGAGCCACAGATTTACATTTCTGCGGAAGACGAGAACAGTCTCCTCGTGATAGGTGACGACGATGGCAAGCTTCACTGTTTCTTGGACGGCAGCTATTACCTAGGGCCGATCAGTACGCTTCCATCCACCGTGCCAACGGCAGTGTTCAAGGATCCGAAGCAACCGCTATTTCTACTTCATCCTCGGGCCTCAGCCTCCGACTTCTTATCTGCCACGTTCGCGCCTCTATCGATCGACTTGCCGTTGCTTGCCTCGCATAGGATCAGAGATTTCGCCAGGCTTTCCTCCGCCGCACGGGAGTTGATGTGGTATGTCATGCGGGTCATTGAAGACCTGCATGAAGTCTGGTTTGGTTCTGGTTCACTTACTGGAGCACGAGAAGCTGGCCCAAAGTGGATTCAGCTGTTAGAAACCAGACTTCGTGATCAATTTGGCCGTTAGTGATACTGTCCTTTGATGGATTTTTACTATTCTCAAGCTTCCTCGACAGAGAAGGAACCTAGTGCAATTCTCGAACTCACTGGTCTCTTAGTCGCTGGATTGTGTTCTGAGGGACTTTCAGATTTCTTATCGTCCAGCGAACAAATGAGTGAAAGGGTTGATTTATCCAACGATTTGTTGTTCAGAGCTAATTTTGCGTTTAGGCTCTCCAGAAATGGGAGTCCACGGTGACTGATGCACTCATTAAACTGCGCGACTTCTCTACGTTGCGACTCGTTCCTGCGCTTCAACGGTTACATATCATTTTTGAAGAAGTTCGAGGATGGTCACTTATGTCAAACAGGATTTTACTGGGTTACCCATCGTTGTGCTGACACTCTTCCAGTCCTCAATTCGTCTTGTTTGGATTCAACACTGACGACATTACCCATTGTCTGTCTGTGCTGAAGCAAAGCATCTTCATTGCAAATTTGTTGGCATTTCAAGCAAGAGGGGAACTTGGGTCATTCAAACACTTCCTGAGTTTTCTTCGGTATGGTGAGTGAGTTACTGAGCTGCATATACCCGTAGCCTATTTCCCGTGTTAGAAATCGCCTTAGCAGGTAACTCCCCCGAGACCCGCTCACCCCCTGAACATGATATCCTCGAAGTCAATCACTACTTAATGTCCGGGCTGAAGACAAGTCAAATAGACCGGTGGTTCACAGGACCAACTCCCCAATTTGATACCGGAGATCTTGGCTTGCCTCGACATAACACAGATACTAACAAAGTTCTTGAAGAAGCACTGGAACAAGCCCACACCGCGTTGCAGGATCCTTCTCAAACATCATGGCAGCCGGTAGGTTTCTCACTTAATTGTAATGTATGCTCTACGACATGAGTTTGTATGTGTTTTAGAAAGTCTCCACGGCCGATAAATCACATCTGGACCGGAATCTGTGGGTACTTGTTCATGATTTGGCTGTCCGGTGTCAGCGGGTCTTTGCACATGTTTCGAAAGCTACCGCTCGATCAGCCATCATGTCAAGTAATGTTGGTGCTACGCCATTTCAGGCAGAGGCGAGTGAAACAGTTTCAAGCGGTGCTTGCCAATTTATCCGCGAAAGAGTTGTGCGACAAAATGAGGTGAGTCATGCTCTTTACAGTGCAGTGCATTCAACCAAATTCGGATCTCTTAGCCTGGCAACCACCTGCAGCATCTCGCGATCTATTTGGCCTCGGAAATGCGGCCCCTTTGTGAGTTGCGCCTTTGGCTCCTTCGCCTTTTTTGTAATTCAATGTGTACAAATTAGTCTGCCTGACCCGGACGCCTTACGCAAAATGTGCCGCTGGGGTTCCGCTGCATATTGATGTCATTGTTATGGAGTGCTCCATAGCTGGTCATGAGCCCGAGAATGTTACCGATGTTGATCTTTGTAACGCTGAGTTTTTCGACGACGAGATCCTCGTCATTGTATACAAAGTCAGAGGAACCGACGGTAAGGCATTATTTATGTCCATTTGGCTCTCCATTCAATAACAGTCAAAGGCCCGATGTTCGCAGCTACGGTTCACTACAGCGCCCTAGAGTATCAAACGCAATCAGAAGGATACGTAAATGGCCCCGCGCGGAAAGATATGATAGCCAACGTGCTTCAAAGGTTGAACGAGGGGCATGTAAGTATCGTGCACCACCATGTTTTTGTCGAGACCTTGTGACCGGTGGTTTTACTAACGGCATGATACAGCTCTTGAAAACCATCCCGATCAAGAGACGTCGCCAATTGACCGCGTGCAGAGACGGATCAGTATCCCTCGCGGTCAACGGAAGAGCCGGAAGGAGAGTTGTTTGTATTCTTGACGGTGATGGCACGACAATGGATATACTGGATATGGAAGGAGATGAAGATATGGAAGGTGAGGATGAATCCGAGATGGATTCCACCGGTGCATAAGAGGGTATAACCGTAACGAGAGGATGTTGTGATTCGGTCCGTAGGTTTTGCATTCGCGGCCTCATTTTCATGGGACACGGCGTGTCTAAGCCGAAAAAGATGGATGACTATGTCCTTGGTGTGCCCCTTTAGGGTCGTGAATCTCCATTAGTGCGTTGATCGCGGTCACTGCGGTGAGTTGGAGTGAGAGAAGAGTGGAGAAGTGTTGGATCTATAGAGTCCAATCGGCCGTCAAAACGCGGCTTTCAGAGTGAAATGAAGGATTGCATCGGGGATTCGACCGCACATGCGCCAAAACATCAGGTTCCTGAGAGAGCGGCGAGCACTGAGCAGGGTTGCTACCGGGTACGTTCAATGGCTCGGGAATGAATGCAGATCACACACAAGGGATCACATGTGCAGTCAGTCACCTTAAGGTCAAACGTCTGCCAGCATCTACGATTTACAAACATATTATGATTCCGAATTGCAATAACTTCCCCGTGAGGCCCCCACGGACAGTCTGAAATTGTAAACAGTTTCGCTTAACGTGATCACACCGCGGCCCTCTCCTCGTGCCCTTGATTCGAATTCTTTTTTTCCATGCCATTTTAAACCGTCGTCTCTTCTGTGGATCGTCTCAAAGTCCCTCCTTTACATCCCAAGCTTGTCTGGCTGGGTTTGATAGAAGCCTTATTGTCCTTTTTACAACCTTTGTATTCACATGCCTAATAGAGCCGACACCGGCCATTCACCCTCAGACGATAAATCCAACTTCAAAGCAGACGTTGACGACGATCCTACAGCCCCCATGTCTGATATTGCCGTCCGAAAAAAGAAAAATGCGGATGCCCAAGCCGCCTTCCGCCAAAGGTGAGCCATACCTCTCCAACCCCTGCTTTAACCATGTTCAAATGTTATGTTTTTGAGGCGAGCAAACTACATCGCAACTCTAGAAGAGACAGGTCAGTGATCTCTACTCTATTGTACCTTCATCGCTCATCCTTGTTATATCCGCTAGTCACTAGTCTTGAGTCTGTCGTCCTCCAACTTCAGGATTCATGTCGCGAAGCGCGATCAGAATCCGGGGATCTACGACAAGACAATGCACGCCTTAGACATGAATTGCGCGAACGTGAGAAGTTCTGGAGAGCCCTTTGGCAGGCGAGGAAGACAGGACAGGCTCCTGAATCTGACGACTTGCCTCCGCTCCCTTCATCTTTTGCTGCTCATCCTCAACCAACAAACATCAACAATCGTACCCCCTCGTCGCATGGTCATTATAGTGATGATAGCATGGGATATCAGACCAGCGATGAGACGTCCAATTCTTTGTGCAGCAGCTCGTATACCAGCGCGCCAAGTCACTCATATGCGACTCAGTCTCCCGCACTTTCTTACACTGGCGTGGAGACCGAGCAGATAACCTCCGGTGGAACTGGACATCATATGAACGCCCGAGTATCAAGATATGGTTCTTACCCGTATCCGATGCAACCCATCAACCGGGACGGACCATGGACTCACAACGTGGCGCAGACTACGTCCGCTAATGGTTAGTTGATGCTCCCGCCACCAATATTACGACTTCTGATAGAGCTTGTAGGTTCTCCTACCTTGACATCTCCTGATGTATATGCAAACCGCCCTTTTGAAGAGCAGAAGAGTCAACTCAATCACTTAGAAACAACCCCATATCTCTTTCCCAGTAGTCGTTCCATCTCCCCCACATCATCAACTCCCCCATCCTCATCTAGCACGTCCTTGACGTCTCCATTCCAATTTACGTTCCCTGCTGATGGCTCGATCACGCAAGATCGCGCAGAATTTGATTATCGCAGGCACTCCAATACCCACGGTGCTGATTTAACCTTACATGGTGGCACTGCCGACATTTCGCTTCCTAGCGCGGGCAGCGACGGTGTGCGTTACAGACTTGGGGCCCGCCGTGCGAATTCCGGCCCGAGTCCACTTCTACCCTCCCTTCCTCACTTCTCTGGAAGCGAGAATGGCTCTCATCACGAGCGGGGGAGTAGCGAAGGTGAAGCCACCCCCTATTCGAAACTTCGACCTCGTAGAGCACGTTCTCGGGAGTCGAGGTCACCTTCTCCTGGTGCACCCCCAATCTCGGGCACGCTGGCGGTCATCAAAGCTCAAGCTTTCGGAGCACTCCGTCGAACTCGTACCAGGACCAAAAAAACTTCTGAAGGGGCGGCTAAGGTTGCTATGGAAGTTCTCGAGGCCAGGGGCATCGGAATGGGCGTAGTGGCTGGCTCGAAGCGTCCCCGCCTTCACCACGACGATTCCGACATGCAAACATGATGCAAATATAAATGTACTCCTCAACGATTACCAGTTCACTCATTTGATCCCTAGGGATTGTATCATTCTTCTCGTCACCAGTGGACTATGTAACCACAATTATTTGTACAGCGATTAAAGATCCCAGTTACTTACTGTATTGCACTTACTCCATAAAGGTCTGCTGCATAGTGTCACATGTAATATGTTATGTACCTTCGTTGCACAATACATTTATTATTAAAACACTCTGATGGCTGCGCATGCGTAATACCGCGTGTCCTTCGCGGAAGTCGGTAACTCGCCAGCGGCTCACTGGCTAATGTTATCGTTATACTCGTCTGGATCTATGGGCTCGTGGCATTCGCCTACGGGCCGACAGAAGTCATTTCTGCTCGGCGGAGGACAAAGATATTTAGAAAGTAAGATTCTATGCTGTGCTCCACGTTTTAAACAGGGTGGACCAATTATCAATTAAGTCTCGGAACAGCGACATCCCACGGTCCTCTTATCTCGCTGCGGAAAGATATGTTAACAAGAAAGGAAAAAGCTTGACGAAGTGACGTGCTTTTTGTATTTTTGTGCCCAGACTAGGACTCCCGGGGCAACGAACGTCACCGTGATCGAAATGCCTGCATAAATGTAGGCGACCGAAACGGATAAAGGTAACGTTAGAGCAAACGATAGTACACAAAGGGTCAGTGTGAAGAGGATCTGTGCTACTTGTGGTGTGACCTATAATCAGAGTTTACATGATAATGTAACTAGGCAAAATTACCGGACCCACCTGAAGCTGATGACGTAGGATCGGGAAAAGAGCGAACAATTGCACAGCAAACAGGACAAGAGCAAAGACAGCCAAATCGTCAGGCAGTCGCGAGGCCAAGACAACCGATGACGAGATCGCGGCATTCATGGATAGTACAGATGTCAGTCTACACGGAAGATGAGAATTGACAACAGGGTCAACGTGGCACTAACCCACCTTTCCTGTCGGACTGGTTTCATGGAACTATAATCGGCGAGCAACGCGTTAAGAAAGAAGAGACATGCTGAAAGCGCCCAAATGGAGTCCGAGGACGTTGCTGCGGTCAAAGTTCGCAAAACAGGTGACAAACCCATCAACGCGAGGAAAACAAGAAGGGACGATTTGATCGTATTTGAGCCTGGTAGGTGCAACAACAATCAATGAAGGGTCCAGGGGTGGTGGATGTGGAGACGTACGGGTGAAGGCATCACGAACAGGATTAGAATAGCTGAGGATCTCATACATAGCATATCCCCCAAAGAAACTAACTATCGAGACCCACAACAGGACACGGGCATCAAGCCAGCGTTCCTTGAGCCTCACAAAAACTGCGAGGAATGTGAAGATTGTCGCTAAGTGCTGTGTGATCGCACAGCATAGCAGTACTAGTGGCCAATAGGTGTACGGCTTGAAATTAGCTTTAGAGAATATTAAGTACCACGTTTTGGAGATAAATTATGCCTACCAACGGTTCCGCCTCAAGGAAGAGAGGAAAGAATGAGGATGGATGTAATTATCAGGAAAAGGCTGCCTTTCCCACAACACTTTGTTCCATCCATCAGCTTCGGATGACATTCATGCGTTCGGTGATCGTAGAGACAGTTCTTAAGGGCTACTTATGTATTTGGTACTAGATGTTGTGACGATCACAATCACGTGGCGGCATCGAACATCCGCCTTAATGCAATGAGCCGAACCGGGGGATTCACACAACCATATCATATCCTCCAACAATCATCATTTACCCATTTGCATCTCAGGGAGTACATGGACCAAGACAAATCAAAACGGCGTCACTTTCTTCGATCATGGGAACAGAAGAGGAGGCATGCTCTACAATGAAAACAACGTGTCCGAACATCCGAGTCATGCTGTCTCACCGGTAGTCCGCTGAGTTTGACGACGTGTAAGATAATAGTAGGACATGATATACAAGAAGAAACATGCCCATGAGGCCTTGAGGGATCACTTCATGATTGAGCGGGTCCGAGGTAAATTGAAAATTATGGGAGGGATCGGCGATCCTGTATTAAACAGCACGAGAAAACCTGGAGGTCAGAATAAGAAGTCCGGAGGATGGATGACCCACATGTTATACTGGCGGTGAGGCGATACACACGCACAAAGTATTATTCAATCCCACTAGAAGTAGCGACAGTGAGGAACGGTAAACAATCGGTCATAGAGCTTGACATTACCACTAGCCGTTCTTCATCTCTTGACGTAGGTACTGATCTCACCGCTTTCGCGGCCTCGACCTGTTCGGCAAGTCGTCCCCGATTCGGATTCGAGGCATTAGTACCTCGTGCATGTGCCTATGCTGCCTGGTGAATCCTGTAAATGGATACTAATTCAGATTCGGCTTACCGTTTTCAACCTTTTCTCAGCAGCCTCTGCAGCTGCGGCGCGAGGATTCGAAGGCGATGCCACGGTGGTGCCATCATTTGACTGGGCGACAGTGCTTCCCAACACCTGATGTCCCCCGGAATGCACACCGGCCTTGGAGCACAATGAGCCCATGAAGCGCTAGTAGGTGGCAGAACAGACTTTGATTGTACACAAGTTTGTTGTCCCTTAGGTGCTAAAGAGACTGAGAACGGGTATTAAGACGTTGTGGTCTGAATTCAGGAAGCGCAGCCTAGTGTGGCGCCTGAATGTGCTCTATTAGGGAAACATGTGTAGGCAAGGCATCACCGTGGATCTACTGCAAATCGTACATATCAAAGAACTATATGGGAAGCGTATTCGATATCTCTGTGTAATTTCCCCGACTGCCATTGCCAGTGGGACGCTCACGAAGGTTATGCTCTTCAGAATACCTGCGCGGTAGCCATTCCTGCAATTATGACTGAGTATCACTCAAATCGAAAAGAAACTGTATGAACCTCCCACCAGCGCCTGCTGGCAGACCATGCCGTACTAGAATCCAAACCTGCCTTGAGCATGCGGTTTTTAATGCTGACACCAAGTAACAGTCCGAGGATAGTCAATAAAAAGAGGGTGACCACAAGCTGGTCCCTAGGAGAATCTCGTTCTGGTAGGGACAAATTAACGTTGGCAGACACAAGGAGATTGAAGACGCACGAAAACATCGAGCTTCTACATCTCCCTCTAGACCGGTCGCAGTGTCTGGATCTGTGTCGCCAAGAGATGCACCGGCGCAGATAGGTAGATTCTGATTCAAGCACCACTGCTTGGTGCACGATAGACAAGGTTTGGAGGGGTTGTCGGGCGTGTTCAGGGATAAGATCGTATAGTTGGCAGAGAAGCAGATGCCTGAATTGTGATTAGTTACTGCAGCATGATGATCAAGTTCAGGGGACTTGCATTTGCAGAAGTTCGTCACCTCCCACTTATTCATGGCAGCTTCGACTGGCGCCTGCTAAAATTGTTAATTGAAGGGTCCCGGTTAGATAAAGATCAACTCGACGTACGATGCTGAGTATGAGCGTAATAAAGAGAAAGCTAATAAGCCGTGTGGGACCATGTCGTATCATGACGAAGCGCAGTGGCCAGGAGGTGGATGTGATATTATGTGAGAAACACGCTCAAACGGTCAAACGCGTCTGCTTTCACATTTGATCGTCAAACCGAATCTTTAGACTTCCTTAATAACTTTTTTTCTTCATTATCACTGCAGGGATGTCGGCAGAATTTGAGGATGTCCTAACAAATCAACCTGTCGTGATAGACAATGTAACGCTCATCTTCCAGCTACGGCGCGTGTACGCTCAACTAGGTTTTGAACAGGGCTCAGGAACTATCAAAGCAGGTTTTGCGGGCCAAGATCATCCGAAATGCTTTTTTCCGTCATTGTACGTTTTTACAGCGCAATGCTGCCCAACACGTTGTTCCAATCACTTGAGTTTCTAGCGTTGGGAGACCAAAGCATGTGCGCGTCATGGCTGGTGCCCTTGAAGGTGATGTCTTCATCGGTCGTCGCGCACAAGAGTTCCGCGGTCTTCTCAAAATAAAATACCCTATGGAACATGGCATCGTGACTGATTGGGACGACATGGAACGGATATGGAGTTGGATATATGCTGAAGAGCTTGGGACCCTCAGTGAAGAGGTATGTCCCTTTATCTAATATAGGTGTCAGGACGTTCCGATCAGAATGCCTGAAAGCACCCAGTTCTCTTGACGGAAGCGCCGCTCAATCCAAGGAGTAATCGTGATGTAGCCGCTCAGATATTCTTCGACACATTCAACGTTCCAGCTCTCTTCCTCTCCGTACAGGCCGTTCTTTCGCTGTAAGTTATATACTTGTCATAGTTATTCTAGCCCCTTCGAACTATCCATAGATATTCTTCAGGGCGGACGACTGGCATAGTACTCGACTCTGGGGATGGTGTTACACACGCTGTCCCAGTATTTGAGGGTTTCTCCATGCCTCACGCAATTCGAAGAGTGGATGTCGCCGGAAGGTACGATGTCCATCTTCCCGTCGGATAACACCCTCATATGTCGCATTACACAGAGATGTAACTGACCATCTACAGCTACTGCTAAGAAAATCTGGCCACCATCTACACACCACTGCGGAAAGAGAAGTTGTTCGGATAATAAAGGAAAAGTGCTGTTATATCGCGCTAAATCCTTCCAAAGAGGAGAAGGACACGGTGGGTCGGACTGAAGAGTTCCGTCTCCCGGATGGAAACCTAGTTCAGGCAAGTTCCCAACTTCTAGTCTGGAGATGCCAATTACACATTTCTTGCAGCTGGGACCTGAGCGATTCCGCGCTCCCGAAATATTGTTCAATCCAGAGCTCATTGGACAGGAATACGCCGGTGTTCATCAGGTTGTTGTAGATTCCATCAATCGAGTTGATTTAGATCTGCGGAAGAGTCTCTTTTCGAATATTGTGCTCAGCGGAGGCAGCACGTTATGCAAAGGTCTGTGAGCTTTAGCAGGCAACTTACTCGCACTGATAGCATCTTAAAGGTTTCGGCGACCGTCTTCTCAACGAAATCAAGAAGTTGGCTTTGAAGGATATTAAGATCAAGATTTACGCCCCTCCGGAGCGTAAATACTCGACGTGGATAGGTGGTTCTATTCTTGCAGGTCTTGGAACTTTCAAGAAGGTTGGTCTCAACCTGTTCTATGTTGGCAGTTCTGAAACATATCCACAGATGTGGGTATCAGCAGAAGAGTATCAAGAGGATCCGGATATTATCCACAAGAAGCTCGGCTTCTAAGGCTTCAGCTTTACTGTGTTTCATCCCCTCTTTGTAGGACTGTATGCACTATATTACCACTGCATCGATACCCAACATAATCAATTGATTTTGCAATGCTCTTAAGAACGCACAGATTCCAATGGAGATGCTTGTGAGCCGCATGTGCATATGATTCATGAATGTGGTTGTGAGTGTGACATACGCCATAGGTACAGCTCGCTCGACTGGTTCTCAATAATAAGGGGGACACTCGAGCAAGAAAGGAATATAGACTAATGCGATAGGGCAGTGTCTACTTGCCCTTCTTAGCAGGCTCAGCAGCCTTAGTCTTCTTAGTACCACGGAACTGCAGACGAAATGTATCAGTCTATCATACGATAATGATTGAAGAGATTGTCATACCTTCTTCGCGCGGTTCTTTCTCTCGTGTCGCAGTTTACGTGAAGGCTTGTCAACTTTGGTTTCAAGGCCAGACTAGTTAGATAAAGAATGAGACCGTAGTCGTGTGGTAGGGGGAACAAAAGCTTGCCTGGACCAGTCTGTGCTTAGGCTCGAATCTCCTCTGTGATGCCTCATCATCGTAAATCAGCGCAAATCCGGTGCTACGTCCACCACCGAATTGTGTTCGGAAACCGAAGCAGACTACGCGTGCTTTTTCCGTCTTGTACATGGTAGCCAACTTCTCTGCGAGCTCGTTTTTTGGTACGTTCGCCCGCGATGGGTGGAGAACATCGAGTACAAACTGACGGCGCGCCAAAAGGCGGTTGGTGATGAATTTACGGGCGCGAAGGGTGACGGGTGCTGTGTTGTCGGCCTAAAGTCATAGACCGTAAGCTTAGTACATCCAACCTGCATTGGTACCATCCATCGCCTCCCGACCGCAGATCTCGCTCGGTTTCGACGATTCGACATAGTACAGCAACCTGCAGCATTTGACGTGAACTCTCACCATGATTCTTGTCGTCCTTGACGTTTTGCGACCTTTTCTTCCCGGGGTCTTGACGAGATGGTGCGTGTAGGCCCAAGTAGATCGAAGTCCGTTCGGCAGAATCCGTACACAGCCACCTGTAATTGCCCAAAAGGGTTGGATAGCTCCTTAGCCTTGAACTCCCTCAGGCTTGTGATATCATAGAGTTATGTCATCTAGCTTTGCCTCTTCGTTCGCGCCCTATGTAAGCATTCTCATAGGTCTTTATGAATGAATTGTACCCATGCGTGCAGACCCCTCCACCAGATGACTCTTCCTACCGATCAGCGCCGTCTTCAAGCTCCAAAGCGCAGTCATGGTTTCCTGTTCACTCATCCTCACGAGGAACAGAGATATCTTATCAATCTGGCGGTCTCCCTACATTTAACCATTTGATGAGTTGGCATGAGGATACTCAGGAAGATGTTCAGCAGAACCAGTGGGAAACGAGTTATGGAATGCGTGTGGATGTTCTATCAGCCTTTGCATATATCTTGGGTCCGATCTCAGGTGAGTTATACAAGTACAAGAGATTATTTCGTCGTGTCATGATTTGCTTCAGCTTTGATATTACTTGTGCTGGAAACTCATAACGATTATGTTCGATTTCACGGTGACCTTCCACGCTTCCTTACTGACTTACCACTGAGCTCATCGTTAACAGCCTACCAATCTGCCTTGCTAGTGACACCCCTGCTATTAGTGCGCATATTTGCATCACTACTCGGGTTTCCTTCATGGATGCGGTCATTCCTCACTATTTCATTCGCACTTTCCGCACTTTTCATGGCGTAAGTGATCCGTAAAGTCGATATGAGTCCCGAGTTCACACATTTCAGCGTACGAGCGTACTTTGGAGCTTCTCGCGGAGGTCTCACACGTTATCATATCCCAATAATTGGGCCACTCGCTGAGAGATGGGTCTTCGAGGAATGAGCTATTCTCCTCCGCGATATCATCCAACATCAATGTACACCAAGACTACACCCTCTATCTATGTAGCAACGAATATGTGAAACCATAATAACAAGCGGCGGCCCATTTGGAGGAACAGCACGCAGTGGGTGCCAGCCACTGTATTTTCTATGTCCACGCAGTTGATTACGGGCGGACTGGAACACGCACACTGCAGGCCAACAATTTTGTGAAGGACAAGAACACTTTCCTTCTCCAAAGTACCAATTACTGATGTTGTACGGAGGGCCCACGCCTGACCTCCCTGTTACACCACAGTTACAGGACTGCATTGAATTTTCTAATATTACTCATCCGCATGTGTGTAAAACAGGACAGACTAACAGCAAGAAATGCACAGTGACGTAGCACGGTGTGGTGGATGCAACATAACTACTATGTGCAGAATCGAGCTCACTTTCAGTCGACCAACTCATTTCATAGAGCATCACACGGATTTATGTAAGATATCCTTGCATACTTTAATCGAAATCCATGATAATGGACTATTCCGTCTTTTCAGGGAGGTAGTCGAACGAACAGCATAGATAGTTAAAAAAGCATGAGGAAGTCCGTGATAATACAGTGGCAAGGTAAGTACAAAACAAATATGTACGCGCGCTCTAATAGAAGTGTCAACGCGTGTGTTCTATAGATATATAGTCTGTAGTTATAGAAGAAATCGAGTCTAACCCGATGTTATATGCAAAGACCTACAACCTGGACGCCAGACGCGCATGTCGCGGTAACAGCCTTGCCGAGAACAGCCTGAAGGAGGGGTTGTATCGCATTGATGATAGCATCGGTCAGATTCTCGACGATGTCCAGGAGGTCGTCCAGAGTACATTTGAGATCGTATACGACTAGAAAGACAATTCATAACCGCTCCGCACATAAAAGATGACTGGGACTTACTGGGACCCAAGATTGGACCGACAATAGGCAATGAGACAACAAGGTTGTAAGTGACCGTGAAGATGTCTTTGTTGGCGTTGATAATGCTCTCTAGCAAGGTCTCTAGGTTGTTGGTGGGATCCAGGTTTGCGACGCCGTTGTCGCCGCCAAGTTCTGCTAGGACAGAAGTGAAGCCTATAAAGTTCGTATTGAATCCAGAGAGCTCTGTTGAGGCCTGCTGTTGGAATGCGGGGTCGGAAGCGGACGCAGACGTTGCATTTGAGGCCAGGTTGTCTATACGAGAACGATAAGTGAAGACCACAAACAATCCCCACTTTACCAACGTACGGTAATTTGCGGCGTGCTGCAAAGCCTGACGGTGATATCTTTGTAGACGAGCAAGCTTGCCCCTTGACGCGTTCGAGCTTCCATGAGCACTAGCAGCAGACGGTTCGCGCAGCACGTGTGGAACACTCCTGGCGGCTTTACGTTCTGTGTACCCTGCCGTTATCCGCGATGGCGCCTTCGGTGACTTAGCTTGTATGGCTGTAGTATGAGAAGCTAGATGCTTAGGCGTGGACAACCTGTCCGTTCTGGCAGCGATGTTCGCGAACCCGTCAAAGGCCTTTGGTGAAGACGGCATTGAGATTGGTTTGGCCAGGGCATGCTGTACCGCGAAGGGTGTGCTAATCATCAACGTCATGGCGGCGGCGGGCAGGAAGACAAGGAGAGAGCGCATGACCGGCATATTGAAGGAGTGGGATTAAAAGGAGCGTGGAGAAGAGTTGTAGATATTAAGACAAGCGACTCGCGCTAAAGTTATAAGAGATATAAAACTAGAGGAACAATGTAGCAAACAAGTTCCCAGACTTGCGATAGTTGTGGTAGAAGGCAAAAGTGCAACTCATCTAGTGAGACGCATTCTTATACCCTAATATTTAGATCGCCAAACCTTATTAATCAAACCTCGTCTCTGATTGGTCCCCCCACCCTCGCGCCGATATCACGTGATGAAAAGCAACTCACCCACAAGATTATCGATTAGGTTTGAACCTCTTCACATGAGATCTGGGCGCGGGTCATGACACTCTATAACGCCTAATGGCCACTATTGATCTAAGAAACACAGTTCCACTTGATCTGCGGAATCGTGAGCAAGCTTCTCAAAGGCGCATAACTACGATATATTTTCTTACTGGGAGCCCGATCATGCGGTACGAAATGCATTACAGTTTCTATATAGTTTAAGGAAGACTCGGCACGCATTGTGTGCAATAGACCAACGACAGAATCTGCTAGTCAAAGAAAGAAAGTCTTCGCCAATGTAATCAGATGTGCTGCGCATTGGTACGGGGAGCATAATAGGCAGTGTTTTGTCTGCAGTTCATGATTCATTGAGCACAAAAGAAGGTACACTACTATTTATTCTCTTGGAATGTTCGTGAGTGCGAGAAAAAGACTCAAAGGGAGAGGGGTATGTGCAGACTGCAAAGACCGCCTAATCAACCTGTGCTACAGAGGTCAACGCCACGGACGATTTTTTCGTACTTTCAACACTTGCCTAACATATCCGCTGACGCTTTTTGAAGGGCCCGTGCGGCGAAGTAACGCACGTCTGCGTCAGAATCTGTTTTCTGTTGCTCTAGTACCGGAACAATGCTTTTACGGACAAATTCGCGACCCTCCGTAGTATTTCCATATGTAGTGGCAAGGACTTCTAGAGACTTGGCGACATTGAAGCGGATGTTCGGGATGGGGTCTTCAGCAAGCTGCAGGAGCGGCCCGATAATCTCAGCTTGAACAATTGCAAGATTCAGGGAAGGTGCGATAGTCTACAATTTGAAGATCCCGCTCAAATCGCTGCAGCCTAGTAAAGATAAGCACGTACTGTGATCGCTTGCACGGTGGTCATCCTGTAGAGGTAATTTGGATGTTGCCCCATACCCATAACCTTGGGCACAATCTGAACCTTCGCCCAATCGACGCCGAAGACTTCCGTTAGTTTCTTGAGGTTGATGGTTGCAGATTCGCGTATACTGAAGACTGTGTCACCCAACCAGGACATGCACAGGTTCCCAAGCTGCTCGTCGAAGAAAGGTTTTCCGAGTTGTGTTGCGAGAAGGGGGATATATTCTATGATAGCCTGTCTGACACGCCATGACTTATCCTCTGCAAGCTCGATGATGGCGGGAAGAAGACTATCAGACAGGAGTTCGATATCAATGACTGACAATAGCAATTTCAGAGAACTATTCGCATGCAAACGAGCAGGAAGCCTACCACCATTTACAGTCTCGAGCTTACTGATGACATTGAGCCGAACATCAGGAAATTCGTCCTTTAATAGATGAAGGAACAAGGGTAAGAGATGCTCTATAGTAGCATCTCTGCCCAAGAGCGGTGCAAGGCCACTGATATGGTTTGCAAGAGCGGCTCGCACGTGCTGAGACGCATCATGCGAGAGGTCACGTACGCAAGGCACGATGCGTGCAAGGATGACTTCCTTCTCGAGCAGTTTCGAAAACCCTGAAAATCGAGAGCGGAATCAAGCAATATTCTGTAGTAGTATCGATTACCATACCTGGAATTTGGCCTGCAGCCGCTGTGCGTACTTCTGCCTCGTTATCTTTCAGAAGCTGCACATATTGCCCTATTAACTCCTCCCTAACCAGTTCTGTGCCGACGGCTTCTGCGAGCTAAACGCCAATATGAATTATGGTACCCAGATAAATGTAGAATTTGGCATCAGGGACGCACCTCATTAAAATGTGTTGCAGCCATATATCGCACTCGCCAGCTCTTATCAGCAATACTGTGTCTAATTTGCTTCAACAGCTGCTCCTTCACCTCAGGTGGCGTAAGTTGCTTCGCGATAACAATAAGATCTTCTACTGTGAGTAAGCGCACAGAATCCTGATCATCGGATTGAAGTCTGCGGTAGATAGGTAGCCCATCCGACAAGACATGTTGCTTTGACAGGTTTTTAACAAATGGCTGCCAGAGAGTTAGTATTTCAATCGCCGCAGAGGCAGAATATATATTACGCACCCCGAGCCACTTTGCTGCAGCACGTCTGACCATAGGTGTATCATCTGCACCCAGAGCGGCGAAGCCCTTCCGGAGATCCTCCTGGATTGACCACGATACTTTGTTGTAAACTGGAGGATACAGTGCAGCAGAAGAAGTGCGTGATGTAAACCATTCGCCCTGCGAGAGCCGCTTCAGGAGTGGGATGTAAAACTCCTCGATTTGCGGAGTAGATAGAACTTCGGCTATTTTGGCGATAGATTCTGCAGCCTGGTGGCAAAAGTATAAGTTATTAACCAATCGATCCAGCAACATCTCTTGAGGACGCGCACCTTATCCCGTACCAGGGTCTCTTCTACTGCGGATAAATTCTCCAGAGGGCCTAGCAGCACATGAGCGAATTGCTTTCCACCAATGTACTCCTCAAAATTCCTTCCAAGCTCTTTGGCCAAGGCCAGTAGTACCTCATCCTCATCATCGACAGAATCTTGCAAGAAGGGAACAAGCTCGTCACGGGCACGATCTGGCCCTAAAGCAAGTGCAATCGTGGGTATGCTGTGAATAGCGTTGAGGCGTAGTTGAACGTCTTCCGAGCGCAGCTCGTCCATTAGAACGGCAATAGGTGCAATCTGCAATAATGATGTGTTACTTTCATGTTGTTCATTTTGATGATGAGACTCACGTCCTCCATGGTGTATCCGGGTTCCATCGCAGTGGCGCTGTACCAAGAGACGTTCAGTCCCAGTTGAGAAATCACGCGGGGGCTTCTTACTGTTTAGTAAGTCAGATACTAGCCTGCTACACCTCTACAAGAGTTGCAAGGCTGGAGATGGTTGTGTTGGAAAGTGTGATGAGTCTAGCGATTAAACGTTGAGGGCAAGTGATCTGTCCTTGATTAAGCTTGATTAAGGTGAAAGGTGTATCTTTGTTTAGCCTGAGGTGCATTTAATTCAATCACCAGGCCAATATTTATCGTTCAAGTTTGCAACTATAACTACCCAGTGCAGAATATTAGAAATATGATGCTTGCACTGACTTCATGCTACCCGTAGGTACCGTCGCTGAGGCAAGTACTAACCTATCGTGACTGGTGCCCGACTTCGAGAGCTGGTACTCGTGAGACATTTAACGGAATCGGAACTGACCAAGTAGTGCCCGTCATAGTTTCATGCTGGTCTTCCCGGGCGGAACGAGGCTAGTCACTGCACCAACAAACCTAGCCCCAAAGGCCGTCACGAGGGATAATAGACAAATCACTCAATAACTAAAATCAAGAACTTCATCACGGGCCCTGTAGTACATATAGAGCGTAAAGCAGTTAACCTCCGACTAAAAGATATTGGTCCACTGTAACCCTTTCATGAAGAAGAGAAATATCAGAAATATTATGCGATAATCATCAACAGCATGCCCAATGGCTCAGTTGAAGACGACAGACCATGACGTAAGCCATAAGGTCTACCTCGCGATAACGGAGGGGCACCATCATACGGGTTGCAAGTCCTGTGATATCCCATCGTTAGTATTGAATCAGTGTCGGACAATCATACATAACAACCCACAACCCAACAAACCATGAGCCACCACCCGCAAGGGCTCCATATAAATCTATAAATTCTCAACCCGTTCCAGAGCGGAAGGCACCCATAGTCTTTGACAAGTTCCGCAACCAGTACCAATCTCGGCAGAATACTGCCAACGGGCTTCCACTTCGCTGCGTGCATGCACACGGAGATCAACATACACCCAAGACAACTCAGAATGAAGCGAGATCTGGCTCGAAACTAGCCTCATCGGATCGACAATATGTAACAGCATTTTGACGTCACGACCTAGTGTACACCGAGTTTATGAGACCGTGAATCCGTGTCCTTGGTTATAAACTCAGCGAGGCTGAGTCACACCGCACGAAGCACAAGCACCCATAAACCTTGTTGAATCGTCCTCGTATGCTTTGCTCATGACTTGCCCTGCGAGCTGCACTATTTTGCATATAGCACCAAAATTGTAGTATGAGTGTTCCCTGTCCATGCGGGGTAGGCAGTGTATGATATAGCTACGTGATGCACCTTTCTGTGCAGGTATGGACTATAGTATGGCGCAATAATGCATATCGAACCCTCATGCATGGTCAAGGAGGGCGATGCTGCAGGCGGGCGCACGGAAGCACCGATAAACCACGCCCGAGGCATCGAAGCAAAGAGTCCTCGTGTGCAACGAAACAAGGTAGCTTGGTCCTTTGATCACGAGTTTGTTTTGTGATAGCGCAATTGTCAAGTGGGCAAGAAGGATGATGCTGCATACAAACGCACGAATTAACCACGCCGGAGGTGTCAAAGTGAAGAGTCCTTGGGTGTGATGAGACGAGGCGCCTTGACCTTTGATATCACATGTGTTGTGATAGTAGCAATTCGTCAAAATTTACAACGAACAGGTGACGCCATGACAGTATGGCAAAAGTTCAGAGGATGTGGCAAAGCAGCCACAGCACCGATAGCAAGTGAGAAATCGATAAAATATCAGCTGGAGACGCTGAATAAACAGGAAGTCAACAATGATCCAGGACGACTTTGGTCTGCGGCGAATGTAACGGCATATGCATCTGCCTATTTGAAGAGTCACTGCCGCGCCGCGAAAGGATCGCAGAGGAAGCCGATAAGAGGGCTTCTTTCTCGGCCGACCTGGCCCGACCATAGACACAATCTCGTTCTGGAGTCAGGAAGTGTGAAAGAGGTGTCGACAGTGGGAGAGGTGTATGTCATGAGTGACAGTGACAAAGTAAGAACAAAGTGGAAGAGTAAGCGATTCTACCTAAGGGCAGGCTTTTAATCAGTCGCGGGGGCCGGGCCGCTAGCCTCCTCCCAGGGGGTATATGTCATAGTTGCCAACTCAGTCCCTCAATCTCACCATCTACTTCGAAGATGCCAGTCAAACAAGTTTCTGGGCGAGTCACTTTGACTCATACAAAGGTCCGTGATAGACCTGACTAAAAGTAGACATCCCTGATTCCTGAAATAGGGTTCCTCTGTGGAACTACTTCTGTACGGTGCGACAGTCATTTCATGGAAGGCTGGAACCATCACCCAACCTCAGCCAATTGAGCGGCTATTCGTTTCATCCAAATCCGCTATCGATGGCTCAAAGCCTGTGCGGGGAGGTATCCCAGTTATATTTCCTTGCTTTGGACCTCCCAGCCACCCAGAGCACATGAAACTTGCCCAGCATGGTTTTGCCAGAAATGAAGTGTGGAAATTCGATAGCATTATGATGGACAATGACGAGGGGGTATCTGTGAGACTCAGTAAGTGCCATCTCACTGGATTTGTGTCGCTTGATATATTTTCTCTCAGCGCTTGAGCCAACTGCGGGTATCACAGCAAAATACGACAAACCATTCCATCTGGCTTACATCGTTACCCTGGCTCAGCATCAGATTAGTACTGATCTGCACGTCACGAATACGTCGACCTCCACGGCTTACCCACCAGACAACCTCGAATTCCAGGCTTTGTTCCACAACTATATTAAGGCCCCTGCAGATGACGTCCTTGTTTTCCCATTGCAAAGTAAAAGTTATTTTGACAAAACAGACGCATCTGAAGAAGCCAGAAACAAACCGAAAGTCGAGACTAGAGCAGGAGTTGACGTTCGTCAGTTCACTGACTCTGTGTACGAAGATGCAGGGGGGAAATATGAAGTCACGTGGCCAGGAGGTGGTGTAGAGATTACGGTTCAGGAGCTAAAGGACGTTGTTGTCTGGAACCCTCAGCAGGTTGCAGGTGTGAAAATGGCAGACATGGAAGATGGGGGATGGTGAGCATTTATACTGGTTCATGCACTTGGATGCTAACATTCCGTAGGGAAAGGTATGTTTGTGTCGAGCCGGGTTATGTGAGGGGATTTGCAAAGATAGAGCCAGGCAAGACGTGGATTGGGCAGCAAGTTATATCTGTCATTCACCATGAAAGGAGGATCAATCAGTTGTGATTAGTCGTTATGAATCGCACACTTATTCAATACCATTAGACCAGTGAAAGAGAGAGATTATTAGTAGATGTTGTAGTTCGAGTAACATTAGCTTGTGTGCAGCTCAAGTGCAGCTGCAGGAACTTGAACATTGCTTGAACATGTGACTTGACTTACGTTTTTGGCATGTGACAAGCGCGTCCCCACGTCTAACTTGAGCCGCCAGTAGGGCCCCTCACTGATACTTGGATTCAGTGCATGCGCTGAGCGATCTTCTACGCTGTTCATACTGTACAACAATTAGTTCTCATGGAGCAGGAGGCTACGCTCCGAGTACTCATCAACCAAATTGACTACACTGTGGCCTCCCCTGGCCCTCTCGACAACACATCTCTCCCTCGAGTGCCTGTGATCCGTATTTATGGCGCATCGTCCACAGGAACGAAAGCATGTGTACATGTGCATCAAGTGTACCCTTATTTTTTTGTTGAGTATGAGGGTAAATTGAGTCCCGAAAATGGTGTGTGGATTCAGTTAATTCAGGATGTTTTCGTGCTGACTCCAGTCAGTGAACCAGTACATCGCAAAGTTATCTCGTTCTTTGAACCATGCTATCGCCATCTCGATGAAGCGCAATCCACATTCGCGCAAATCACAGTTTGTTCGGGGTGTACTTCTCGTGAAAGGCGTTCACTTCTATGGATTTCACTCGTCTTATACGCCGTTCTTGAAGATTCTTATTGCAGACCCCGCCTTTGTCAATCGTGCTGTCACTATATTGCAATCTGGAACTGTTATGCGAACACGCTTTCGCATTTACGAAAGCCATTTGAGCTACATCCTGCAGTTCATGTGCGATTTTGGGCTCTATGGATGTGGCTGGATGAATATCGCGGAGGCCTGGCAGCGAGGACACGAAGAAACCGATACTGAAATGACGGAGCCAACAACATTCAAGATATCACCATACTTTCGTCAATCCCGCATGCCGCTTGAAGTTGATGTTGCTGCTCATCAAATTCTAAACCGCCGTCTTTTGTCCGCACGCAACATCCACCACAAATTGGCAATACCCTCACCGCCTTTACCTTCTGAACCATTTGTTCTGAGTGTTCGTGAACTGTGGGATGACGAAAGACGTCGAAGACTTGCCAAGGGCCTCTCTCCAACCCCTGTGCTTCCTATTGATTCAAGCAAGAGGTCGAGGGCCCATGGGGGCGAGTGGGTTGCGGAAGTGAGGTGGTGGGAGGAAGTCAGAAAACGCATTGAAAAAGAAAGAGACCTCGAGCCCGCTTTCGCAGACAGTGCGGGACTTTGGGAGAAATGGGTGATGACCACTTTTGAGAGTGTAGAAGCCTTCTGGGAGGCTGAGTGGAGAACTTGGAGGCCAGCTCGTAAAGAAGCCACTGGTCATAATGGACAGAGCACTCATATTTTGGAAGCCGAGGACAGCGAAAATCCTTTTGCACAAGCGACACAGTATGGGTCTTCGACAAATCGGGAAGGACCACCGCAAAGCACGGATGTCGATGTTGACGAGATGTTACTTTCTACACAGGAAATGAGTCAGCTAATGGACCGCGAAGACCAAGAGTGGGCGGACTTGCAGGCGGGGGACACCATTGCAGAGCCTGACGCTGCTGCTGATGATCAGTTGGCCGAAGAAGGGCCTCCTCCAGACTTTGGGATGGATATGCCCAATCCCTCTGGCGAGGCTGAAGCTACCATGGATGAGAATGAAAGGTTCAATCACTTATTTTCCCTGGCTCATGTGCTCATGTGCTCATACTTGTCTCAGCAGACTCGGCTCTCCTACGCGAGAACTTCCCCGAACAAATTCATTCCGACATTCATGGCGCGATCTGGAAATGTAGGCAACTCCTTCTTTTAAAAGTCATCATTGAAGTGAGAACAGCTGCAAACGAGCGAGGAGTCTTTCGGCATCTTCAGAGCTTTCAGCAACTCCTGCTAAGTGAGCACATTACTTCCATGGAAGGGTTTTTCATTTATGCATATTTAGGAGAATGCGGTACATCAGTAACGAGGTCGCCTACGATGCGACTACACCGATGATGTAATTATTGAAGCTACCATATATCGATCCGTATTGAATGGTTGCAAGCAGACATGCGCTACCGTCGATGGTTCCTATAGAGCTCTCAACACAGCGAGGATTATCCCCTAGCTCATCTAATTCAGCTGATAATAGTGTTGGATGCGATATCGAAGAAAACCCATTCCTATTTCGAGGTGAACAGTCGATTGATGTATCGGGAAGGCCGAAGAATTCACAGGGCCCTACAATTCGCTCAACGTCAATAGAAACAAGAGAGGAACGCCGAGACGATCGCGTTGAACGCATTGAAAGCATTTTACAGCCGACCTTACCAAGAGTTTCATTTTCAAGACATATACTACCTACCTCAAGCCCAACCACGGCATTCGTATTCGCTGTACCACCACCGTCCTCCTCTGAACTTTTCAGGACTATTGAGACATACGGTGTCCCTCGAAGGCTTTATCGTAATCCTTATTACTCCAAGCGCGCAGATGCTCCAGAGCACCCCAGAGAATACGCAGGTCTACTGTATCACCTTAAAGGCGGTGAGGGACTGGACACCCTGGACCAGTGGAAGTCTCATGGAAGTCAGCTTCATACGGGAAGAAATGTGCGTCGTTTGAAAGGCACATCTCTGTCATGGGGATGGGAGTATGCAGCCCTACCTCCGAGTAAAACTCAAATGAAAAGGTGGCTGAAAGAAAACCCAATTCAGCGGACCTCAAGGGCCAGGATGTGCTCTCAGGTAAGTTGAATTTACTATGTCAAAGCAACATCTTATGAGAGGTTATATAGATCGAGGGCAGTACCCAAATGAATCCCTATGGTCTGAAGTCAACACCACATGTTCGATCTGACTCCAACACTAGAGCGGCCCAGCACATGTCCTTGTTTTCCCTGGAAATGTTTGGTGAGTCCCGAAATGACCATTTACCATGTGCTCACTTTCATTGCTAGCTCCTTCACAGTGGTAATAAAGTACCTGACGCAAATGTTGATGGGATTGTTGCAATCTTCTTTGCTCTCGGGGATGATAATATTCATTCAGTGTTTCACGAACGAGGCATCCTGGCAGTTAAAAATGCGCAACTGGATCCTCGTCGAATACGCGATTTCCCGTTGGAGATTGTCGCTGACGAACTGGAGTTACTCAATCGGATAGTTGACATAGTAATTGACTTTGATCCGGATATCATCGTCGGCTGGAATGTTCAATCAGCATCTTGGGGCTATCTCAGTGCTCGAGGAAACTACTATGGTTCGTGCAAGGTCTTTTCCAATTCTTGGTAATTAATACATGTGAAGGTTTTGACGTTGGCGAGCTTATATCTCGAGCTCCTAACAAGAATGATGCTGCAGGAAACTATCAATGGAGCCAGAGGACAACAACCACGTTCAAGGTCACTGGTCGGCATGTGTTCAATGTCTGGAGAATTATGCGAGTTGAGCAGACACTGTCCATATATTCTTTCGAAAACGTGGCCTTCCAGTTACTGCGTAGAAGGTATGCTGACCAAATCCATCACCACTGTTTCACCACTCATCTGCACAGGGTCCCTCGTTATACTCCTGAGGTCCTAACGACTTGGTATAATAGTACAGATCCCGTGCACACCTCCCGTGTCCTTCGCTACTTCCTTGAACGGACGATAATGACACTGGAGATTCTCCAAGAAGCCGAAATAACCACAAAAAATGCGTGAGTCTTCAATCCAATCTAATTTAAGTCCTCATATATGGCGCCGACAGAGAGTTTGCGCGTGTCTTTGGAGTCGACTTTTACTCCGTAATCAGTCGAGGCTCACAGTTTAAAGTGGAGTCATTCATGTTCCGCATTGCGAAGCCAGAAAGCTTTGTTCTCCTATCTCCTAGCAAACAGGATGTGAGTCCGAATGATACCATTCTTCAAAATCAGTTGACACCGTCTTTTAGGTTGGAAAACAAAATGCTGCAGAATGTATGCCTCTCATTATGGAACCCCTCTCCGCCTTTTACAATGGACCTGTCGTCGTGCTCGACTTCCAATCACTTTATCCATCAATTATGATTGCTTACAATTATTGCTACTCAACCTGTCTCGGAAGAATAGTCGACTTCCAGGGTCATAACAGGTTTGGTGTCGTGGATCTCCAAAGACCACATGGACTCTTGGAAAACTTGCAAGACCACATAACAAGTCAGTCATCTCTTTTATGGGCTTCATGCTCGTCTTAAGCCCTCGGCTATAGTCGCGCCGAATGGTATTATGTACGTGAAGCCTGAAGTGAGGAAGGGTTTGCTTGCGCGCATGCTCACGGAATTGTTGGACACCCGAGTAATGGTCAAACAGGCGATGAAGGGTTCGAAAACTGACAAGGTAATGCGTATGTCGTCAATTCTGACTTCAATAACCACGGTCACACAGGCACTTAGTCGAGTTCTGAACGCCCGCCAGCTCAGTTTGAAATACATCGCCAATGTCACCTATGGATATACGGGTGCAACATACTCTGGCCGTATGCCTGCTGTTGAGATTGCAGACAGTATCGTACAAAGCGGCAGAGAAACCTTGGAAAAGGTTGGTATTTCAGCCATGTTGTTTTGTATCAGCCTGAAAATGGAGTCAGGCCATAGAAGTCATCGATAGCAATGCTAAATGGGGAGCTAGAGTTGTTTACGGGGACACGGACTCTCTGTTCATATACCTTCAAGGGAAGACAAAAGAGCAGGCTTTCCACACCGGCTATGATATCGCGGATACGATTACGGCGATGAATCCAGCACCCATCAAATTGAAATTTGAAAAGGTCCATACATTCCGAGATAAACGAATTGACTACTAATGTTTAGACTAGGTGTATCTGCCATGTTTATTGATGGCGAAGAAAAGATATGTTGGATTCAAATTTGAGAATCCAGATGAAACTGTCCCCGCATTCGATGCGAAGGGGATCGAAACTGTCCGTCGTGATGGGGTACCTGCTCAGTCAAAAATGACAGAAATGTGTTTGAAGTGAGTATGTTTGTGTATTCTCGTGACACGAACCCTTGCCTAAATTCGCGGCAAGAATTTTATTCCGTACCCAGGATCTCAGTCAAGTAAAGGACTATTGCTACCAGTCATGGACTAAAATTCTTCAAAACCAAGTCTCAATACAAGATTTCATATTTGCAAAGGAAGTCAAGATGGGGACATATTCGTGCGTGAAAATCTATCGATGCATCACATGTACTGGAACGAGGTTACATCAGTGAAAAGGCACCACCTCCACCAGGGGTAGCTGTTGCCGCTCGAAGAATGATAGAGGACGAGAACGACGAGGTTCAGTATGGCGACCGAATTCCATACGTGATAATAAGGGGTCCCCAGGCACGGCTTGTGGACAGGGCGGTGTCCCCAGAAGAATTATTGCAAAATAAGTGCGTCCTTTATCTTTGCTTTTGCCGTGAATCCGAACTGCTGCTAACCACAATCTAGGCACATGCAATTAGACGCTTCGTATTACATATCCCGCGTTCTGATTCCACCGCTCGAACGTGTTTTCAATCTGATAGGTGCTGACGTCAGAACTTGGTTTGACGATATGCCGAAGGCTATCCGAGTCGATAATCCGAATCCTCTTGCAATGTCTCCCAAAAAACAGAAGATCGCAGCAAGTCGGTTGAAAATAGATGAACATTTTCAGAGTTCCCAGTGTATTGCATGCGGTGGCTTGTCTTCAGACGGTAGGCACTCTTATCTTTTACCTCTCTTCAAGGTTAATGAATTCACGACAGGAATATGCGAAAGGTGTCGGAGAATGCCCCAAGAAACAATGCCCGCCATCCTTGATCAAATACGAAAAGGAGAAGGCCGGTTCCTGGATGCACAACGGGTATGCGCGTCGTGCGCGTCATCCGCAAATGCAGAGCCAATTGAGTGCATTAACATTGACTGCCCGTGGTTGTTTGACCGAAAAAAAGCAGAAAGAAGGGCGGAGTTTCTTGAAGGATTACAGGTTATCGTGGAGGACCTTGAAATGTTAGAGGATTGCTATGATGGTATACCAGACTGAGATAGTTATATTCAGGATCCTTAGGGCCATCAGGAAATCATCAAGTTCCTTATTTGCTCCTTATTTGCCTTACATAATTCATACAAGTATATGTCTACTTACTGTTTATGTCTATTTACTTGAAAATTGCCGGACCTGACTAAGTTGCTACTTATGGCGCGAATTTGTTGCAGTCATGTGATGTGCGCGTTGTTGATGCATTGTTTGGTGCTAGCTAGTCGTACTACTCAACTACTGCGAATACCCTTCACTTGCTCACAGTTTACACCAGCGAACGCGAAGGTAAGTATGGCGCACCCAGCGCCAGGAATTGTAGCATGGACAACTTCTATTCGCATGTCTATGGCGAAGGATCCATGTCGGCAATTATTCGAGGACCAGGTCCAAACACACGGCTTTATCTTCTTAGACGATTATCTCGAGAATATCTTGGCTGGCCCAAAGCAAGAGTGCGTGAACTGATACATCCTTTTCTCTACTCTGAGCATCTGTAGAGCCATTATCGACCTCGTCAAGACACCTGCTCGAAAGAAGGCCGCACCCAAGCGAACCAGAGCAGCCACTTCAGCAGCTGCAAAGGCGCAAAACTCCACCCTTTCGTCTCTCGAGGTATTTCTTCTCTTTGAAGACTGATGTATTGAGAAAAATATCTTTTCTGCAGGAGGAGGACATATGCAAGGAGAATCAGCCACCTGTCAACAGCTTTCATCAAGCACTTCTCCACGCCAAGCAGAACGCGGAGTCCACGCATTCTCATGCAGACAGTGACTGTGCTGAGCGAGTTTTTCCTCAGTCCAAGCCCGCAGGCATGATTATGGGCAAGCATGTCAGTCATGATCCGGATCTAGTAGAGGATGATCCAGCCCCAGAGGTAGAGCACACGATAGTATCACCACTTGACGCCTTGCGTTCTGTTACCCTTGACTCACCGAAACATACCCACGCTCGAGAGGCACGCACTGGCAATCACACTCAACCACTTCCGCAGATACCAGCAGTCAGCTCTCCGATCACGCATGTCAGGGATGCATTGACCGCCCCGCTGCCCATTCTACCTGCGTCCAGTTCCGCTCCTGATTCAATCACTATGGTCATTCCACTTAATGACTCACCGTCTCGTACTCTTGCGCACAAGAGCAGCGCACCGCAATTTCCAACACTTCGCGCTCCATCTCCTCTACGTAAGTCGATGCGCGTCGTAGGAGAACCATCTACGGGCGCTGGGAATTTTGCGTCAGCTGCTCCAGCACAAGCGCAACCTTCCGCACTGGGCAAACGTACGTCGTGGCTAATGAAGGCTAGAGAAGTGAAAGCCATGGAAGGCATCGTGCATAATAAGGCAAGCATTCTCGGCCCTGGTGTCGGCGCAATGGGTCCCTCTGGCAACACCGTTGCTCCTTTGAAGCGGAAAAGTGGTGACATGGCTGCTGCACCTTTAGCTTCAGACAAGACCAGCGAGGGGCGTAGAGCGAAAGTGGCAAAGGCCTCCAAGTCTGATTCTGCTCCACAAAATTTGAAGGACCCACCTTTGAACCAGGGGGCAGCTATGCCGACTGAGACTCCTTCATCCACCCTGGTGCCGACTAGAGCTATGCATCTCCCTGAGGAGCACTGGGAACCACTGAACGACAAGGAGGAAGAAGCTAGTTTCATTGGGGTGTTCAAACGTACAGTTGAAGGTCTTGGTGCTCGCGCGGGTAAAAGCATGGGGAAGTCCCTCGGTGGTGGTGTGGCAGCCGCTGCACTTGCTGAAGCTCGTGCTGCCGCAGAAGCGAGAGTAGCAGAGAGGAACAAGATCAATGAAGAACAGGTCACGGAGTCAGAAGACTTCTCCACGCTAAACGCTAAAGAATCCCAGCCGGCAACTGCAGATGTTCACTCTGACATCGTGACTAATGAGAGCCCGGTAGCCCTTCAATCTGTGTCTGCAGCGGATGAGAGTGTCTCAACAACCCCACCCAACTCCCCACCTCCCACCCGTACTTCTGGCTCCAGCTTCGTTCCTCCTCCTGGTCCAGTGTTTAATAGGCAACCTCCTCCAGTGTTCATGCCTCCTATCTTGAAGCAGATCGCACCCCTCGCAAAAGAATTCTCTTTCAATTTGCCAGCAACAACCTTTACGCTTCCTTCACCAATATCCCTGGGTCTAGCGGCAAGACTTACATCGTCTCCTTCGTCGCGTCTTCCACAGGCAGGCGGTATGCAACAATCTTCGCAATTAAACACATTGTCGGATGCTGTCTTTGATCAAGTGGAGGACATTCCAGCCTGGATGCCCTCTACCCAAGACGCTGAATACGCAGATGGTTCAGAATCCCAGATCCATCGGGCAAAATTTGCTACACTTGAAGATGACGATGATGATAGTTGGCCTCTTGAGGAGAAGTTGGCCGCAAGCGAACAGGGATGGACTGCTTTCAACTTCAATAACAAGGAGGACAGCATGACATGGAGTTCACTTCCTACCGAATCTCAGGGACTCACCAGAACCAGAAGTGACCTGACTGGTAATTCAGTGAGAAACGCAGTGCAGCGAGATGAGGGGTCCATAATCCCCAGTACCTTGCCCATGGATATACATGGTGATGCGGCTCAGCTTCAGGACAATGAATCCAATGTCTCCGAACCGGAAGCCGACCCAGAGTCAATTATGTATACGAGCGATCTGGGCAATGTCCTCAAGGCTGGCCAGCCGACTATTACTCTTATTGAGGCATGTACAATTCAACTGTCAGTATTCTTAATACTCACAGTAACAACCGAAGTCTGGTGGCATTCCGCGAAGTGAGAGCCAATTATCCATGGCTTCAACGTCTTCGTCTTCCCAGCAATCACAGGCTGGATTCTTCGGTCAAGCCACAAAGCTCGTCAATAGTATGCTTGGTACGGGCAAAAAGGCCAAGCCAGAGGTTAAGAGCCTACAGCTTGCAGCTGCGGCTGCGAAGAAGGTATCTTGTTCACCTTTACCTCGAACGTTTCGTGGGACTCAAAGTATTGTATAGCAAGAAGAAGAAGCCAACAAAAAGGCCACCCGTCTCAAGGAGATGGAGGCGAGGCGCCAGGCAGCACTTGCTCGCAAAGCAGATGAAGAGAAGTCACGTGCTGTTGAGGAGGAAAAAAAGATCAAGGAGGAATCCGAGAAGCGCAAACGCGAGCGCGACGAGACTACGGAAAAGCGGCCTCTCAAAACTGCTGTGCTTAAGAAGACGGAGGAAGACGCGACGAAGAAGCGGAAGATCACCATCGACGATAAGAAACCCGAAGTTAAAAAGCCGCCTTCAAAAGACAAGAAGGATACTCTTCCTTCCAAGTTGGCGAAATCCAGTTTGGTCACTCCTGCAGCAAAAGTTGGTTCTGCTTCCAAGAACATCAAGGTCCCCGTGTCATCTGCGCTTGTGTCATCTGCGACCTATAATGCCTCGCAGAATGTCGCTGGGTCATCAGCAGTTAAATCTGCAACTACCGAAGTGAAATCTACCAAAGTTGGTCCTCCCAAGGGAAAAGCTAAGGTTGCACCACAGGAGAACGAAGATAAGCTTCCGTCCGCCATGGTGCAGAATCAGATGGCAGCACGTGCGATGGCCCAGATACGGGCAGCTAAGCAACAGCCACCTGAAGTTCCCAGCGAGAGTATTGAACTTCCTGACATTAACAGCGAATACTCTGACTCGGAAGATGAAGATCGGCCACGGACGTTTGATCCTCCTGATTGGGCCCAGTCACCGGAGCTCCGACAGGCGTTGCAAACGCAAAGCACAGTTAACCCAGATGACATATTCGGAGCGATACGGCCACTGCGAATGGAGGAGTTGTTCAGGACGAGACAGAGCCGGTTTAGAGCACGGACGAGTTCAGCAAATTGGTCAGGTTCGGACCGACTGACGGTTGAAGAGGAACGAGAGTATGCCCGTCGCATGGGATTTACCAAACATGTATCCTGACCCTGTATCACCATTTATCTCTTCTTTTCGACATGCATGTACCACACATCCTTGGTTTCGTGCAGTATATTTATTTCCTCGCTTCAGTAGCAAAACAAATGAGTGTGACGAAACTTGGCTTGCATTCGGCGGTCAAGAGACAACAAGTACAAGCGAATGAGCACGGACTATAGGCCAGCGATATATCTGGTTAGAATGAAAATGGAGCTACAAAACTACAGGGGGTATTGCGACGAGACCAAGGATGACACCGGAACTAGTACTGTAGATTCAAGGATGACAGAAAGGTGTCGAGAGTGGACAAATGGATGATAGCAATTATTGTACTGCAGCAACAAAACGTAATGAACGACGAGAATGACAATGGTTCACGCCAAACTCATTGAAACCCGCAGTCAAAAAAGACAGACAGGAAAAGATGTCTCGAAAGTAAAGGACCGAAGACAAGGAATAAGTGCAGGAGAAAAGGCGAAGGCGTGCCAAAAGAGAAGAGTGGACGTAGCATATACACTATGGCGTTGATGACAAGCAAAATATATGATGCAGGGTGGGGTTATAGCAGAGATATAGTGGTTTAATCATCTATGGCCAGCATTAACGGGGGCTGGTGCCGGTGCATGTTTATTACCGTTTAGGAGTGAAAGTAGCTGAGCGCTGTTGGTAACAGGGGTTCGCGAAGTGATTGGCGGTGGGAGAAAATTTGATTGTAAAGTATGGGCTGATGGTGTGATGGGAGAGAATCGAGTAGATGCGATTTGAGCACTGACTGAAGGCATCCCAGTAGAGAAACCGGTTACCATATGAGGACCCGCGCCCTGATGTGCAGAGGGGAAGAGTGCGGAAGGATGGGCTTGATAATTATGGACTGTAGAGTAGCCTTGCAAGTAGGAGGAATGTGGATGAGAACTGTGTGGCATTCCGACAGGAAGGGATGGGGGGCCTGTCAGCAGTGACAACAACTGATTTTGTTGGATATTCCGAGGGGAATAGTCGTGGGTGACAAACTGACCAGAGCGTGGTCGCACTTGAAAAATGTCATCAACAAGCGGCGGCTGAGGGTGCCCGGTGCTAGGTTGCTGAGAAGTAGGTGTGGGATAATATTCAGCTGGCATTGATGACATATGTCCAAATAACGGGCGAAAATCAGCTTGCGGATAGTGCGCAGATGGTGGAACGGAAGCCGACGGTCCCGGACGACGGGCACCGGAGGGCAACTCCCTACTGGGCAGAGTAGGGGTCATGCGTGAAGACTCATCAGCCACTGATTCCAGTAGGGCCAGCTGCCTCAACATCTTGCCTGAGGCAGGAACCTCAGTCAGGCGCGGAAGGTAGGGTGATATATCGGCAGTGCTCGACGTACGTCTTGACGACAATGAGACCTTTCGAGAGGAAGCCAAGGGTGAAGTAGACGATGCGGCAGACGCCGCGGATAACGAGGCGGTCGAAAGGGCTCCTGATGAAGGAGTTCCAGGATCATGAGTAGGTGAACTTGGTAGTGTAGATGACTCGACAAAGGAAGCCTGCATGCTCAAAGATTGGGAAACCCGAAGGGTATGTGCGGAGGACGATGTCATGTTTGAGGGCCGTTGTTTCGGAGGCGGAGAAGACATCATACCAGGCGTTTCTGACTGGGCAGAAACACGAGAAGACCAATCAACGATATTCTGCTTGGCTAGTGGTGTCGCGTTGTGAGCGAGTACCGAGAGAGGCGATTTGACTGGCGGAAGAACAAGCTGAGGCTTTGAATCATCTTGCTTAACAGCCGAAAGCGTCAGAGAACTGAGTAGACGAGCAAAGTGCGGGTCCATGTGTTCAGGATCGACAGCTTGCTCGTCATCGGATTCGTGGGTAGCTACACGACGGTTTGTCACAGGAAGCGCCTCGCTATACTGCGGAGATGGCGTCTGGGGTTCGCCATTATCCGCCGAAGATGAGCTAGACTCATGTGTGCAATTATCCGTACTCGTGTAGCCTCCAATCCTCCGAACTCGCCCCTCCATTGCTCGAGGCTTATTGGCAGTGACGAATGCCTTCAGCGATCTACTCGAAGTTGACGATAACTGATAAACAAATAATAAAAGGAGACTCACGCGATGAAGGGGGATATTAAATAAAACTTTCCTGGTGCAGCTTTGTTCCGCCTCCAGGTTGGAAGATCAGTTAACTTGAACCACTCGATCCGCTGCAAGAAAAATTACGACAAAAAAGGGGAGGTGTGACTAAATGAACGTACGCTTATCTCTTTGCGGGTCCGAGTTTTAAAAGGAAAGTCTTCCGGGACTCCAGGTACCACAAAGAGAGAAATCCATTGCTCCTTGATCGACATTTCAATTACGTTTGCAGGAATCAGCTGACCTGCCAGATTATAACCGGTCTCCTCAAGCACCTAGCGGAGAATCTAAGGTCGCCGGACAGGAATGTGGATAACACGACGCACTTCTCGAATGGCACACTCATGGGTAGGCTCGCTCTCGTTTATCTTACCCTTTGGAAAGCCCCAACCAGAAGACGACTTCCACCCCTTGACAAGGATACACTAGAGATCTGAGTAAGTTGTGTTCGTTCTTGAGCACCAAGAGCACCATACCTTTTCCCAGGTGTCGTTTAACATAATTGCGCCACATACAGGGACTCTAGTCTTGTATTGCATGAAGGTATTGAAGGCTTGTTCATGATCGTGACTCCACTGGTGTAGCAGAGGACAAGCTTGGAAAAGCATTGCGGAGAATTTCTTCAGCGGTAGCGATGGAAATTTGGGATTTTGTTCTCGGATGAAGTCCTCGTAGAACCAATGCCTATATGAAAAATGTGAGCCGGAAGGGAATCGCAAGCACTGCGGGCAGCTTACGCTTGCTCCACCTGGAAACATATCCGCTCAAGAGACGATAGTTCTTCCTCTGGGAGATTTAAAAGAAAGCGACTTTTTGGCGTAAGAACAAAATTGAACATAGGTGGAGTGGATATACCTGGATAGATCTTCAAGGACCTCTTCATGTGTTGCAAGTTTATAGGAAAAGCGTTCAGCGGAGTCTACCGGAGGAGCAGGGTGCATTTCTGGCGATGAGGACGAGGAAGAAGTCATGTTTAATTGAGAAAGAGGGAGAAAAGAAATAAGTAAAGAGAGTTCAGGAAGCCAGTCTTGGAATTGATCGTTGTATACACAGTTGGATGGAAAGACGATTGATGCACTTGTTGTTAGCGGTGAGTGATAGCGTATGATTTCGCTTTAGCCACGTAACAAACATGACACAACACATATTCTTTGTCACAAACCGTCACTGATTCTTCACTTAGCGCAATTGGTGAGAATGATGTTGGAGAACTCTACATCAAGATGGGCAGAGTTTCGGATGCTGAAGAGCAGCTCAAGAAGGCTGCCTCTATCCGCAAGAGAATAGGTACTAATGCTTATCTCGATCAGGTGCATGTTGAAGCAAAGGGCAACTTGAGCTCGGAGGAAATTAGGGTTAGGACAGTTCCACCTTGGAAATGTTATGGTCTGCGGAAACTATAACCTGGTATGTACCACCTCAATACATATTTATGGCACCCGCTTAATGATCAGCTAGTGTCCCGGTACAACGTTTGATCAGGCCAGCTTTTTGGCTTATTTTGGATGCAAGGTACCTGACTTTAGACCGCATATACGAATCCATGGTTGAGTAACATCTTACGTCTCGTGGAACTTCGAGGACACCCTCAAAGCTCTCCTGCCTTGTGTGAGCCAAAAATATGTTTTGACACTGTTATCGCAACGGCACGGCAGGCATGTAGTCCAGTCTAGCAAAGCATAAAGTACCACTGGCCTGGGTGTCCATGTCAACCCTGTTACACGATATTCACTTTGATCCAAGCTGATGCTAAAGTCAACGGCTTAGGTTCTGAAATATGCTGATTGCAAGGTTCTTGCTATTTTTTTCAATAAAAACATACGGCCACATCTGGATCGTTCAGACAGGAGCGGGATTCGGAAGTTGGCACTTCCCAACAAAGCGAGCTGAACAATAGATATCACAAAAACCTCATCTCAGTACATTTACAATCTCGTCGTACTCACCTTCAAATGTCTGGCCTCACAATGCACTTGCATTCCAACCCGGCCTCTGGGATGGCTGTTTACAGGCGGCTATAATAAACAACCAAGCCCTGAACCTTTCTAACCAAGGCGATTATACCGGTGCAGAGGATCTCCACCTGCAAGCACTCCACCTTAAACTCAATGCAGTTAGTGAGAATAATCTTACTACTGCCATAACTCGCAATGCACTCGGAGAACTCTACCTCAAGATGGGCAAGATCACGGATGCTGAAGAGCAGCTCAAGAAGGCTGTTTCTGTCCGCATGGAGAATGGTCCTGCATATGATGCGGCAGTCTCTGTCGAGAATCTTGGTCAGGTGCATGAAGTGAAGGGTGACCTTGAGGAAGCGAGAAGGGTAAGACTGTCCCATCCTGCAGATATCATGGTCTGCGGAAACTTTGATGTGAGGTAGTCTCATGTCATCTTCATAACATTTGCTAATCGCACTGTCAGTGTCCTGGTGAAACGTTTGACCGGAGCCAGCTTTCGGCTTGTTCTGGATGCCAGGTATGCAATTTTAGGCAGTTTCAGGCCGAAAAGACGCATGAGAGAACTGAATGACCTTGTTCGATAGTCTGCCTTCTATTGTGGAAGAACCTGCCAGGTGAGCTACGGAATTAATGTCGCCTACCTGACGTTTAACTATAATGCTACTCCACAATGCTTAGGTGAAGGACTGGCGTGTTCGCCACAAGACATTCTGCAAAAAGCGTACGTAAACAATGAATCACGGATCATCCTCCCGATTTTATAGTTTTGCGTCTTGTGGCATTTTGAGGAGATTCAGCCCTCCTCCCGTTTGTATCGCTCAATGGCACGGCATGTATGTAATCCCAGTAGTGAAGTCCATTGGCCCGTCTCCTATGTCAAGACTTTGATCAAAGTTGCAACATAATAAAAGAAAACTTGTTATTGTGATCGCCTTAAGAGGCTCCAAAGAATTGTGCACATCAAGTTGGCTGCGTCTCAGCCGCCCTGCACAGCCATCACCTTATCGTCACGCAGTCACACGCTGATTTTCTGTGACACGTGTGATAAGTGTTAGTTTTCGCTTTTCCTTATTTTTTTCTTCTTACAATCCATGGATATATCTCTCTTGTACTTAAATTAATATCATGTTGAACGGAACTGGAGTCAAAATCTTCACTGGTTCGTCTTTAGATTCTGACTTTTTGCGACCTTCTCTTACGGAGTGACACTTACCCTGACAGGCACCAGCCATCCCGAGCTGGCGGAGATCATTGCTCGACGGTAAATACAAATGAACTCGCGAGCGCGCTGTTCACCCATGCACTCTCTAGCCTTGGTCTACCTCTTGCGAAAGCTGATGTAACCAAGAGCGGCATTGGCGAGACGAGCGTCCGCATCGCAGAGAGCGTTCGCGAGAACGATGTGTACATTATCAATACTGGATGCGGAGCAGTCAACACATCCCTCATGGAGCTTTGTATCATGATCCATGCCTGCAAGATTGCAAGTGCTAAACGCATAACGGCTGTCGTTCCTCTTTTCCCATACGCACGACAAGATAAGAAGGACAAGAGCCGCGCCCCAATCACGGCGAAACTCGTAGCAAACATGATACAAAAAGCAGGTTGTGATCACGTCATTGTAAGTATCTATCCAAGGAACATCGGGGCACCGTTCCGGTGTTTGCGGGTGCTCTGTCAACCCAATGCGTCGATGCGCTGACAACTTGGATATAGACCATGGACCTTCATGCATCACAAATTCAAGGATTCTTTGATGTGCCAGTGGATAAGTAAGTCTAACGTTTGATCCTGTTTCCAAGCGTGGTCACTCATATTCGTCCATTTTTGTCGTGCACAGCGTAAGTGCTGTGGCATTTTATAGATTGGGCAATAATTTGACACGTGTGCCCATTCCAGCTTTTCGCCGAGCCATCATCAATCCTGTACATACGCACCCATTTTGATCTTCAAAATGTCGTAATCGTTTCCCCCGATGCGGGCGGCGCCAAGAGGTGACAACTTACTGATAGGAGATTTATGACAACTCTCATCATTATATCTCAGGGCTACGTCCATCGCAGATCGCCTGGGCGTCGATTTTGCTCTTTTTCACAAAGAGCGCAAAAAGGCCAACTCCGTATCGCGCATGGTTCTCGTTGGGCATGTCAAGGACAAAGTTGCCATCCTCATCGATGATATGGCCGACACTTCCGGAACGCTGTGTCTCGCCGCGCATCATCTCACCGAAGCAGGTGTTGCCAAGGTTTACGCAATCGTGACACATGGAATATTGAGCGGCAATGCTCTAGAAAATATTGAGAAGAGCGTGTTGGAGAAACTGATCGTGACCAATACGTTACCTCAGAAGGAGAACCAGGCAAAGTGTTCCAAGATCGAAGTCATTGACATCGGACCTGTCCTCGGGGAGGTTATCCGGCGAAGCCACTATGGGGAGAGCGTGTCGAAGCTCTTCCATGAGGTTCCGTACTAGAAGAGAGGATATTATTATACGAGTGTATTTGCATCCGATCTGCGAGAAGGATATATACATATGTAGTAGAGGATAGACTTGTGTCTAGACTTGGCCATGGTACTCGGATCAATATCAGAGCATCAGATGAAAAAGCATGTCAAATATCAAGTATCCCGCCAATTATAGGTGACCTTGCTGTAAGATCAAATTCGTGAGACAAAGTTTTTAAACCAAACTCAATCTATCACGCGCACGGTTAGCAAGTGAGTTTATGACGATATGACAGAAGATTCGAATTCCAAATTAAGAGGTGAAAAGTGTGAGATCCTATCGCGGGTCGTCGCTTATTACAAGGGTTGAAGCGGAAGGACCATTCTTCTAAGGGGCGTCGCCGGAATGAAGTTTGGGCTGCGCACAAGGCAGTGACTGCCACTGGCGGATATATCACTAGATGCGGCTGCATCATCATCGATCATGGGCAGGATGAAGAAAGAGAGGCCAACCGGTTGCTGAGAGATAATTAAGGTGCCGTTGGGGTGTCACAAAAAATTGCCACGGTGTGGTTCTGAGAAGTTCTGGACTACATAACGAGAAGGTGATTGCGTAGGGTCTAAGGGTAGCCGGCTAGACAGCCTCGGTGGTACGCAGGATGGAGGAGAACGGGACCGAATATTTGGGCAACATAATGAGATCCGGTTGAACCCGGGAAAAGCTGGGAAAGACATGTGTTAGGGAGGACTGAGACGGAGTGAGACTCACAGAAAATTCCTGGGGCTATACCACTATACAATTAAAAGTTTTTGGCGTGAGTATGAAATTATTGAACGTACCGGTTGTATAATCTCACAGGATGAAATTGATGTACTCACCATCAACGTCGAGAGAGAGGGAGAGAGAGCTATTGAGTTCGGTTGTTGTAGCACAGCTTTAGTAGTGTTCCCTAGTCTGGCGATGAAGATGCTTCTTTCGACTAAACCTCCTCGCTTTACCTTTTCCGCTCTCTTGTCTTCAACACTTGTCGGTTTTTTCGAGTTCGTCGTAGTCGTAGTCCTCGTCTAGCTAATTGCGAGCATTCGGTACATTTCTTATCATCACTTATTATCTCTTTCGTCGTATGTTCCCTTAGCCTCAGCATCCGTGCTGGCCCTCTCGTTAAATTCTCCTTCCCACTTTCCATCGCCAGGCAATGCTCTGCGTATCATGTTCACATCCTCGAATCATGCCCACCAGAGCAATGGTCACTCAAATACACACTACGACTCGCACAACAATAACCAGACAAATGGACATACCATCCACCAGACAAATGGTCACTTTCACCCACCACCACCTTCCCAATCCCACAAATCGGCAGCTTCATCTCAGCCAAAGGAGACAGTTTCTGTCATTGGTATACCCTCTGTTTCTATACAGAATGGAAAACTCCAAGTCGGAGACTCTCGTTCCAGTCAGTCTTGAGTATCTCAATCTCTTTCCTTGTCTCTCATGTTCGCAATTTGATATAAAGGTTCACATCGCTCTTATACACCAATCAAGACCCTGGGCGACGGTTCTTTCGGAACAGTCTTGTTGTGTGATTGGCATGGGACGCTACCGCCCAATACACCACTTTCTCCTATGCAATGCGGTGGCGGCGCTAGACCAGAATGGGCTGGAAAGCGTCTTGTCGCCGTCAAGAGGATGAAAAAGAAGTGGGAAGGGGGTTGGGACGAATGTAAAAAGCTAAAGGAACTCGAAGTATGTCAATTAACTTCTATTCACCACTCCCATTCTCACCAACCCTTTCAGTCATTACGCGCAATACCATTTCACCCTTGCATCATTCCACTCTATGATTTTTTTCTCCTCCCTGATACTAAGGAGCTCTATTTCGTCTTCGAGTCCATGGAAGGGAATTTATATCATCTAATAAAGGCGAGAAAAGGCCGTACCCTTGCTGGCGGCCTAGTCGCTTCTATTTTTCGCCAGATCGTCTCGGGTTTACACCACATTCATTCTTCAGGTTATTTCCATCGTGATATGAAGCCCGAGAATGTTCTCGTTACGACAACGGGTCTCTTCGAATATCGTTCACTATCCCCGGTAGCCCCTCCAAATGCACCTACGGAGAAGGATGTTGTCGCGATCATCAAGCTAGCCGATTTTGGGCTTGCGAGGGAGACACTCAGTTCACCGCCGTACACGGAATACGTCTCAACTCGTTGGTATCGAGCCCCGGAGGTGTTGCTTCTCAGTCGAGATTACTCGAATCCAGTGGATATGTGGGCCCTTGGTACGATCATGGCTGAGTTAGTCAACCTTCGACCATTATTTCCAGGATCCGGTCAAATAGACCAAATACATCGCATATGCGAGGTTCTCGGGGATCCTGCAGACCATGGAACGGATCTCCGCGGTAGATCCCTTGGTGGTGGCAAATGGAGCAGGGGACTCAAGATGGCGAAACAATTTAATTTCGCTTTTCCAAAGGTTGGTTGCTGCAATATTATGTACGTATTGAATATTGTTGACATGTCGTGTCAGAGCACTCCTCGGGACTTCTCTTCCTATTTCGACCGTAGTGTCCCTCGCAAACTTATTGATTGTATATCAGACTTACTGAAGTATGATCCTGATAGTCGTCTCACGAGTCGACAGTGTCTCGAACACCCATACCTTATTGAGGCTCTACCAGGGAATGGTCCCCCGATGCCTCCTGCTCTTCACACACAGACTCTGCCACCAACGCCATCGAGATCTGTCTCGAATGGCATATATCACATCACTCCCTCTGCTTCACCACGCAGCATTCCTCCATCACATTCACATAACTCCGCCCCGAAATCACCCTACCATCAACCCCCAAGCCTGCACCCGTCACATATCCCCGATGCTTCCTCCTCCCATCGCTCTGCATTCGTCCCCTCCTTTGTCACGTCAACTATTCACACACCTACCTCACATAAAACACCCGAATATGTCGTTGATCCACGCATACATTCGCATTCGCATTACTCGGACATTCCAGAAGAAGTACGCGCTCAAGGGGGCGCTTCCTCATGGGCTAGTCACGCACGGAGTGACTCCGATCAGATGGAGGTATCCTCTCCACAGGCAGAGCCCCTTCTCGATGCTTACCACGCGGGCTACCCGATGGAAGTACAATCTTCACCGATGGTACCGGAGTATCAGACTCGTCCCCGCGTTGAACCTGACCATCCGATGCCTGCCCATGATGCTACCCAATCGCCGAGCATCAAACTCAGCAGCAAGCTACACTTCAGCCTTGGCAAGAAGCCCTCTAAATGGGGTCTTTCCATGTTTGGACACGGAGAGAAGGTCCATCAGCAACTTCCTCCCGTCGACGAAGTACCGGGTGCGTCTTCCAACTCGACGCCGTCGCTCAAGCGTACGCAATCTACCAGCTCGGATAGTCCATCATTGGCAGAGTTACAACCTATGAACGGTTCAGCTCGTAAGAATGCCAAAGCTAT